ACGATCTCGAAGACATTTTTTATGTGACAATGGTGTATTAACATGAATCAGTTTGACACTAACGTGAAGGTAAGAGCAAAGTTCATTGTTTTTTTTTTATGAAAAAACCTGACGTGATAAGGATAATCCGTTTTTGGATTTGTTATCAGTAAGTAATTTAGAAGCAAAAAATATTTTTTTTATTTTTGGATACGAAAAAAAGTTTAAATTTGTAAACTAGTGTAATTAATGAAATGTCAAGGAGCGCGCGCTTAGTGACTCACCCTGTATATCTAAAAATTGCAAAATCGAAAAATCGTAAGTTCGAAAAATTGCAAAATCGAAAACCTGAAAATCTAAAAACCCGAGGAAACGAAAAATTAAAAACTTTTTTAAATCACAAAATTGAAAAATTCAAGTCGAAAATAGAAAAATTAGCTAGAAATTGAGGTCAGCCAAAATATGTAAAAATATATAGGGTGTTTTATTAAAAACAAATTAAATTGTATACACACGAAATTATGTGTTACACCTTAAAAGCAAAACACTCAGTATAGTTAAAATAATTTTTAAATACATGTAGTCCTCAAACAACCGGACAATTTGGTGACTTTTTCTTTTGTTTCTAATAATTGTGTAAGGAGATTTCGAGAATCGCACGCTTAGTGACTCACCCTGTATATTTTATTAATTGTGATACTAGATATAGTGTAAGAGTTATTTTAGGATATTATAGACACCATATAATACTATCGGGTAAATTTGCATGCAATCAGAAGCACAAGTAGGATTATTTTATAATAATATTTATTGTTTTTATCAAATACAGTGACCATTAAACTCTTATCTAGTGGCATAAATGAAAACTGCATTACAATGAATACTCTAAAACATTAAAATGCTGACTACTCCAACATTTTTTTATATTTTGGCCTTCTGAAACCAAATTCATTAACGAAACAATTCCACCACATCTGGTTTAGAAAATAAAATGAAAAGTTTCTTCTAAAAATTATATTTGTTAGGCTTGGGGTCCAACTCTGTAAACTGGTGCTATTTGGATTTTCATGGCTAAAAAGAGGCATTAGTTGTGAATTTTGGGAAAAATTAGAATTCTGCGAAGAATACCAGACACTCTCGACTAACATTTCCCGCAATATTCAGTCAATAATCGTATTCTTCCTCCTAAATATAAGCCCCGTTTGTATTTTTCCCCAATAAAAATATTCGAAAATCGGGCCCAACCCGACTCCGTTTCATAAATCCCCATCCGGGCCGCGTCCCGGTCTTCCTCCCTGCCGCGAATTCCGATGCAAAGAATACAATGTATGCAATCAATATCGTGATTTACAAGGCAGACGTCGTACGAAGAACCGAAGAACAACGCAAAGTCGTCGGTTGTCGGATCTAAGGCCCAGTAAAAAACAGCTGGTCCGGCAATATTTGGTTAAAATTAATAAAAGAACATCGGGTGGCGGCGGCGGCGCTTCCTCGCACGCGATTTGTGACCTTATATAAACGTGCAATACGTCAGAGCCGCCGCTCCGCACTATGTTTAATTCATTCGGCCGAGAGCGGGAGGAACACAATTATTGTAGTACGGAATCTGTCCCTGGGTGACACTTGTACATAATGACCCCTGAGGCCGTCCTTTTCCGTGTCGTGGGACGGTCTTATAGGGGCTCTCCGTCGGCGGCGCGACGCTCTTCCGTTTCTTTCCAACGCGAGGGGCTGCAGTGCACGCAACGCCGCCGCCGGCGGGGGCGGGGGCGGCGCAGGATGGAGGATTGCATCTTTAAGCGTGTTATTTAACTGAGGAGTTTAATGGTTGATGGGGTTGTTTAAATGATGCGGCGGAGAGGGGTGGGGCCGGGAGGCAACACGACGTACGCAAATGCATGCATTGTTGCGGAAAGGGACGGTGATTCCCCGTTTTCGTGCTAAAAGTCAGGTCAGATTGTGGCATTTGCGTGCTTTTCGGTTTTAGAGTTTTTCATGTTCGATTTGCTTCGTTTTTAAAATATATCAAAGTTGTTCACTTTTTACTTCCCGAGCGTAAGCTGAGGAAGTATTGTAATCGAGTCCATCGAACGACTATCTGCTTTTATGTTTTCTCGACCTTTCATGGCCCCTAGCATATGAAGAAGTAGGTCCTCCTATTAATAAAAGTCGTTAATAAAAATTTATTCGTTTATATTACAATTTTTCGTTTTTCCTTTTTCTCCGATTTTGCAATTTTCATTTTCCCGATTTTTCGCTTTTTCATTTCCTTTATTTTTTCAGTGTTTCTTTCGATTTTATAATTTTTTGTTTATTCAGTTCTTCAAATTTTCATTCTTCGATTTTTCAGTTCCTCGATTTTCCAATTTTTGATATTTCGATAAAAAAAAATTACAATTATTATTAGATACGTATTTAAAATGAAAACTAAAAAAATTGCAAATCAAAAATTGAAGAAACAAAACATTCAAAAAGCGAGAAACTGAAAAATCTGAAACCGAAAAAACGAAAAATTGCAAATCGAAAAATCTAAAAATTGAAAAACCCAAAAATTTAAAAAATCAAATAAAAAACCGAAACGAAAAATTGCAAATTGGTAAATTGAAAAAATGAAAAATCGAATAATCAAAAAATTGAAAACTCGCGAAATTGCAAAATCTAAAAACTGAAACATCCAAAATTTGTCAAATCGGAAAACAGAACAATTTTAAACTGAAAACCCGAAGAAATGCATATCGTAATATTGAAAATCACAAAAAAATGTAAAAATTGAAAAACGCAAATATAAAAACAGAAGAAACGAAAAATTGAGATCGAAAAAATTAAAAAAATATAAAATCGGAACATTGAAAAATCGAAAAATTGTCAAAATAAAGAAAATAAACCAAAACTAAAAATTGCAGATCGAAAATCTGAAGAAATGAAAAGTTGAAGAAACAAGAAAAATGAAAAATTATAAAATCGAAATATTGAAAAAATGATAATTTAAAAAAATAAATAAATAAACCGAAACGAAAAATTGCAAATTGAAAAATTAAATTAAATAACCTTCAACCGATTTTTTTTAATCATAGATACAACTACCAAAGTTCTTAAAATTTAAATATGGCCAATTTTCCAAAAATATTAGTGCCGAAAAAATTAAAAACACGTCTCTGAAAATAAAAATTTAAACCCATAAAAATTGTATATATGTACAGGATAATGATAACATAATAACATGCATGTTTTTGATTGGAATCACGTACTTTTTTCATATTTTAAAGCTAAATATTATAATTCAACCATTCCGAAAGCACTCCACGTAATACAACCACAAAATCCGGTGAGTGAGGTAGAGTATGAATTTTGAAAAGTCACCGGAAAAAACTTAAAAGAAATGATTGGTTTATCTGGCAATTTTCTGCGACACTTTCTTTGTTTCAGATCTACTCTGGTGATAGGGCTTTATTTTAAGAAAATACACCTTTGTTGAAGAGATTTTAATTTTGCAAAAATTAATTCATCTGCTTTCTTTTATACACAAAAATTCAATTAACTGCTTTTATAAACCATTTGCTGTAAAAAAAAAAACGTTGGCGACAGTTATCGTAATAATATAGTTGTATTACTATACTATTAACGATAAGTTGTACATACATCACCAGTTCGTGCGACTTGCTTGAGTAGAATTCTTTTCGTGTTTTTAAATATTCCAAATCTCATTCTGTGTGTATTTTCAATAGTGTTGCAGTTTTCTGAATTATTTTACTGAAAAAGTGAGCGAGGGCAATATTTTGGTAAAAAAGTAAGTGTTAGAAGTACAAAAGTGAAATATGTTTGTTTATAATTTCTGGTCAAAAATGTCAAAATTATTGAAAAATTTAACGTTTGGAAAAGTTGTCTAAAAATTCTCAAAATATTCTGGAATGTAGATGTTGACGTGTTGATTAGAAAAAATATAGCGTGTTCATACTCCTAGACTAAAAATTTCCTGAAGATTCCCATTGAAAGCGAAATTTTTTAAAAATCGTAAAAATTGAAATATGTATTTCAATTGGCGATTCTGAAAAAACGGTTATAAGAAAATGTTTTCAGCTAATTTTTGAAAGTGATCGAAAAGGGGTCGAATATTTCAAACGTATTGAAAATTGTGCTTTTGAAAAGATAACCTAAAAATCCTGGAATATAGATCCCGAAATCCTGATTCGAAAAATATAGTGTTTTTAAAGTCCAGGATTAAGAGTTTTGAAATAATCAATTTGAAAGTTAATTTTTTTAAAAACTTTCCAAGAAACGAAACCGAAAATAACTTTTAGTCTAAAAATCATAGAAAATTCGGGGATAGAGATTTCGACGTGCTGAATCGGAACAAGATTTCGAAATATTCGGTTTAAAATTATTTTATACTTCACATTGGCGATTCTAGAAAAATGATTTTCCATTGAAAATTCGAACTTTCGAAAAAGTTGCATACAAATCCACAAAAAACGCTAGACTACTTCTATCAGTAGAATGTTTTATAATCGTAATTGTAGCGTCTGCACTGAATTAAAGTGCTTGTAAATCAAAAAGATTTCAGTAATTTAAAAAGCGTGTCGTTGCATTCGTGCGAATTTTTTAAACTAGCACAAACTTTTACAGATTTTGCAGAATCTACGGATAATTGGCTAAATTTGCGTCCGGTTACGCTGCTCGCATGATTAATGCACACATCCAGCCACTCATTTAACAACAAACATCCACACAATCTCCAACACCAAACAGAGAAAAGCAAAGCAAACTCTATACACCAACTACCGATTTACTCATCCCGTCAGCCTTTTTAAATATTGATTTCCGAGACGCAACCACCCCGTCTCGCAATCATAATATCATTAAGGAAAACATCCAAACGAACATTTCCTCTCAAATTAGTCAAATTAAATACGAAAGACAGCTCCAGCTCCGTCCGCCCCCACTCACACTTCCTCTTTTCTCCCATCTCTGACTCTTATTATCGTTATTGTCCTCTAATTAACAAAATATAACGTTTTTTCCAGGTAAGATGAAATGGAGTGTGGAGTGCAAAGCGCAATGATCAGCGTGCCACCTGGTGGTGATTCCGTGCCGCAGAGTCTAGCCACTACGGTGTTTCCCCCGCCAGACTCGGACCAGGCCCAGTTCGAGGCCGACAAGAGGGCGGTTTACAAGTAAGGAGTGCGGCATTAAACCTGGGAAAGAACCTAGACTGCGTGTCTCTGTTAAAACACAGTCTGTTTCTTTGTCCGGTCTGTGGGAATCCGGGCTAGATTGAGCGGTGGTTTTGATTTTGGCGTGTTGGCAGGCATCCGCTGTTCCCGCTGTTGGCACTACTGTTCGAGAGGTGCGAGCTGGCGACGCAGTCGTCGGACCCGCAATCTAGCGATGCGTTCAATTTGGATATCCAGGCGTTCGTGCAGCACCAGGAACGGGACAGGAAGCCTTTTTTGGCGAACGAGCCGGAAATTGACGGACTGGTAAGGCGGATGTCGGGTGACGTCAGTGAACTTTGCTTCAAAACAACAAACAACTTTTGAAAACGTCAGTTAAGAAGCAAACATATCACACTCGATTAAAAAAAAATTAAGATCATTTTCGGAAAAACTTCCCGAGCGTAAACTAAGGAAGTATTGTAATCGAGTCCGAGCTACTGGCTACTTTCACATTAAAACTTGTTAACAACAAACAGCATCTTAATTACTTTCTAATAAGGAACCAGTAGTAATCCTTCTAGCTACTTGGAACGATTAAGATGCTTCTTCTTATGTTGGCTTATAATTGGACTTAGGTCTGTTAGCCAACCTATCCACAATAATAATAATAATAATTTTTTCTAAAAACACTTGTCTTTCTTTTATTGTCATAGAATTAACAGCATAGTATTTTGAATGAGGTATTTTTCCAATATAGTTCTGATTTAATGTTGTATTGAAGAAATGTGGAAAATATCCTTTTTTAAGTGCATTTAATCCGAATGTTTTATTAGGGAATTCTCTTAAAGCTCCTTGAACAAAATTACTACTATCAATAATTCTTAAATTAATTGATTTTGTTTCTATTAACATTATTTTAGATCCATTATAGATGCAGAAAGGTTTGATATCTCAGGAAAAGTTACTGTACAACCTTTTTTACTACAGTTTCTGCATCCTTTTACTTCGTATTTATTTTCACCGTCTTTCATTGTTGTTTCACATATTCCACCTTTTTGTCGTTTCCATTGCATATCACATTTACGTATTATTAAGTATTTCTGCTTCTGTATGACAATTTCAACATTTTTTTTTAATTTTTCAACATTTCGATCTTTTGATTTTTTGATTCCTCGTTTTTTTCCAATTTTTTTGAATGTTAGGTTCTTCGATTTTAAATTTTTCAATTTTTAGATTTTTTGTTTCAAATTCTCAATTTTTAGATTTTACAGTTTTTCGATATTTTATACAGTACAACCTCGATAATCCGAATTAATCGGGGAAAAGGTGTGTTCGGATTACCGATTTGTTCGGATCAGCGAATTTCCCAAAAATCTGAAGGGGAATTGAATAACAACGTCATACACTGCTTCAAGAAATAAACCTTAATTTTTTATTCGAAAAAAATATTACTCCGCGACCATAAACACGTTATATTTTTGGAATCAACATGTCTCTATCCCTGAATTTTTTTAGAATTTTTAGATGACTTTTTCAAAAATGAAATTTCCCATTATGTATCTCCCTTATGCAAATTTCAACCCATTGTGGACGATTTTCGAAATTTAACTACATTCTTCCATGTAGATTTTGGGCCGCAGAACTCGCTTCTGGCTTCACTTGTCCGATAACTTAAACCGTTTTTCCAGAATCGTCCACTGAAATATCGTAATTTTTAAAAATTTCAAAAAATTCGAATTTCACACCGAATTTTCCGAAAATATTGCCCCGTTACTATAAACATGCTATATTTTTGGAATCAGCACGTGGGGATATAGGTATATATCTCTGAATTCTTTCAGATTTTTTAGACAACTTTTTCAAAAATGAAATTTTACACTATGGCAGTACTTGCCAAATAATCTACCCTCTAAGAAAATAAAAGGCGGATTGGCCAGGCTTGTATTTGCCAAAATAAGACTTATTTTGTCAAATGACCTACTCTCCTAAGCAACGGTACTAGCCCCGCCCACCCACCCTTTATTGTCTTAGAAGAGTAGGTCATCTGTCAAAATCAATCTTATCTTGGCAAGTATGAGACTGATTTTTGCAAATGACATATTTTCTAAGAAAATAAGGGTGGGTGGGCGGGGCTAGTACTTGTCAAGATAAGACTGATTTTGGCAGATAACTCATTCTTCTAAGAAAATACGCTATATTTTTGGAATCAGTATGTAGATATCCACGTCCCTGAATTTTTTCGCAATTTTTGGACAACTTTTTAAAAGTGAAATTTTTTCAATGGTCCCCCTTCTTCAAATTTCGGCCAATTTTCGAAACTTAACTACCTTAAATACATTTTCTTGTAGATTTCAAGACCGAGAACTCATTTCGGACGTTGTTTCTGTGATAACTGCAATCGTTTTTCCAAAATCGACCGTTGCAATATCGAAATTTTTAGGAATTTTAAAAAATCCGCATGTCACATCGATTCTTTCCAAAATGTTGCTCCGTGACCGTCAACATACTATATTTTTGGAATTGGCATGTCGAGATCTACGTGCCTCATTTTTTTCACAATATTTAGACAACTTTTTAAAAGTGAAATTTTTTCAATGGTCTCCCCTTCTTCAAATTTCTGCCAATTTTTGACATTTTAGAAACTTCACTAAATGCATTTTCTTGTAGATTTCGAGCTCTAGAAATCATTTCGGGCCTCGTTTCTTTGATAACTGCAACCGTTTTTCCGGAATCGGCCGTTGAAATATCGAAATTTTTAGAAACTTTCAAAAATCCGAATTTCACACCGAATTTTCCGAAAATAATGCTCCGTGACCAACAATACGTTACATTTTTGAAATCAGCATGTTGAATTTTTTCACAATTTTCAGACAACTTTTTTTAAAAGTGAAATTTTTTCAATGGTCCCACCTTCTTCAAATTTCGGCCAATTTTTGACATTTTCTAAACTTAACTGAATACATTTTCTTGTAGATTTCGAGCTCGAGAACTCATTTCGGGCCCCGTTTCTTTGATAACAGCAACCGTAGAAATTTTCAAAAATTCGTATTTCGTACCGATCGAAAATGTTGCCTCGTGTATTCCTCATGCAAATTTCGACCCATTTTTGACGATTTTCTAAATTTAACTAAATAACAATTTCGGGCCGCAGAAGTCACTTCCGGCCTCATTTCTTCGATAACTTCAACCTTTTTTCCAGAATTAGTTAATTATCAACGCATGGAAATATCGCAACTTTTAAAAATTTCAAAAAATTCAATATAACACCTGCAGAAAGAAGATCTTGCGTCATTTTTGCGAGTAGGTGTATGTTTTCAAGTTCAGTTCGGATTGCAGAGTTTTTGTTCGGATTAAAGAGGCATCGACTTCAACGAGGCTCTGTTCGGATTACTGGATGTTCAGATAATCGTGGGTTCGGATTATAGAGGTTATACTGTATATGTATTTATATTTTGATTATATTCTTGGTTTTGTCGATTTTCAAATTTTCGTTTTCCCAATTTTTCAACATTTCATTTCTGGGTATTTATGTTTCAATTTTTCAACTTTTTAAATTTTTGCTTTTTTGCTGTTTCGATAGCTCGATCTTTTCAATTTTTTTTCGACACTTTTGTTTCAATTTATCAATGTTTGATTTCTCTACATTTATAAATATTTAATTTTTCAAAGAAGCGGGAATTGTTGTGAAATAACCTTCCACCAATTTTTTGTTTTTTTTTTTTATGTCATTTAATCGTTGAACATATCATCTATTAAAGTGCGGATAATGTTCGGTATAATAACGTCGTGTAGTATTATATACAGGGTGAATCACTAAGCGCGCACTCTTCGAATCTCATTAATCATAATTAATATCTATGTAATGAGATATCCATGACAACCAGGTGTTCTTAGCACTCTTACAGGTTACTATAAATTTATTATTTATCTACATTATAGAACTTCTAAATTCTATTTTAAAATTACTGGTTTGCCTCGTTTTGTAAATTGCACACATAGCTGGTCTTTGCCCTTGTTGCTTTGGCTTATCACAATCCCGTCTTTGTACTTAATACAATCCATCAAACATGGGGTTTAAACAATTAAATGCGACGGCTGTTTTTATAATTGCAATCCACGCCTCGCTTTCAGGGTAGTCTTCTACTCTGATGGTTATATTTTTCAAGACGCTCATTTCACACCGTTTCAATTTTACCATCTATTGGAAAGGTTACGATTAACCTATTAATTAATGTCGTTAACAGAATCAGTAACGATGTAGAGCGTTCTTTAGGTCAAAACGCACACTAAGGTCGCTTTGTTTTTCTTTTTCCCCAGATGATCAAAGCCATCCAGGTCCTGAGGATACACCTCCTGGAATTAGAAAAGGTTCAGGAACTGTGCAAAGATTTCTGTAATCGCTACATCACATGTCTCAAAGGGAAAATGCAGTCGGAAAACCTTCTGCGTTCGGATTATCCCCAAGGTGAGTAAAATGGGCAGAACGTTTTAGTTTTAGCTGAAAATTAGACGTTTTAGGTGCAGCAGGTTTAATGAATAATCTTGAAAATAACAATAACAACATGATGTCTCACGGGAACTCGGAAAGTGGGTCAGCTTCGAATAGCCCTGTTCAATATTCCATAAGTCCACCACAGCCGGTAAGACTAGTTTAGCTTCAGAAAATCACAGAGACTCAAACCTCCCACCTCTGATAAACTCGACAAACTAACCCGAAACGAGCCAAATTGAGTTTCATAAAAAATCCGACCACAACATCACCCAGAAACCCTCATAACTCGCCTTGCGCCCCCAGGTGGTATCCACCGTCATGGACCGCCAACTCGAAACCCCCTCGAACTACAGCGTCCCCCACTACAACGGCCCCACGCCGCCCCTCGCGCAGCCCCCCTGCGAGAACCTCGTGGTGCACGGCTCGACGCCGCTGTCGCAGATCGGCGCCAACATCTGCTCGGTGCCGGCCAGCGACACCTCCGGGCCGCTCTCGCCCGCCCCCACCACCCCCGGCGGCTCGAACGACGACTGCGACAGCGACTTCACGTCGCGCGGCGGCGGCGGCGGCAGCGTCGGCCGGAAGCAGAAGCGCGGCGTGCTGCCGAAGCACGCCACCAGCGTGATGCGGTCGTGGCTGTTCCAGCACCTGGTGCACCCGTACCCCACCGAGGACGAGAAGCGGCACATAGCCGCCCAGACCAACCTGACGCTGCTGCAAGTCAACAACTGGTTCATCAACGCCAGGAGGCGGATCCTGCAGCCGATGCTGGACGCCAGCGCGCCGCCGGAGAACAACGTGACGGCGTCGCCGAACCACAAGAAGAAGAAGAACCAGAACAATAACCGCAGGTTTTGGCCGCAGGACTTCGCGAACATGCAGCCGCAGATCGACAGCGGTGAGTTTTTGCGGATATGCAACCAACAATACGTGCTGGTTAGACGTGAATGAAGGTCGATTTATAAACTTACCCCTGACGTTGTCGTTGACATTGGGTTTTCAACCAATCAAATTGCGGTAGTGTGCAGTGCTGCCAACTTGCACTGAAACTGAATTTTAATGGAGAGAGCCTGGGAGAGAGTGAGGTCTACGAATATTAAGCCATTTAATCACCTATTCACCGAAACCCTCATATTTTAAATAGCTGCCGCCATTTTCTTCACTGTAGCTTTCTGTTAGTAGTTCTGCATTGTTAAATTTAGTTATCGACGTTTAAAACAACAAAATTTATTGCTATTTGTTTCAAAAACAGATTCGGTATTATAACTACAAGGGCTTACATTTTGCCCTTTTTGCAATTACCCTCCGCCCCTCGGTCTAACAACGAATGAAAAATTCATCACGATTGGGATCGAGACGGATGGATGGGGCTTCTCTTTTGGGTTTCTTTTTTAAGTAATAGTTTTCTTTGTAATTGTAATTTCTCGTAGAAAAATAGGGATTTTACAATTAAGCTCCGCCCCTCGGCTTACAACGAATAAAATAAAAACATCAGAATTGAGATAGGGTGGGTGGGCGGGGCTTGTATTTTGCCTTTTTTTCCTTATTATAAATACATAGCCATCTTTTCACAACAAGAAACTTAAAACATTGTACTTTTTGCAAGGAAATATGGATTTTACAATTATGGAGCGGAGCCTCATTGCAAAATTGTTATTTCCTGATACAAATTTTCCATTTTAAATATGTTTTAAGTTTCATGTTATGAAAAGAAGTCTACACATATCAAAACAAAAATGCAAAATGTAAGCCCGCCCACCCGCCCTATCTCAATTGTGATGATTTTTTTTATTTATTGTGAACCAAGGGGACGGAGCTTAACTGTAAAATACTTATTTCTTCACAAGAAATTAAAAACCTGTTTTTGAGTATCGTGTTATTCAAAGAGTATTAAGTATATTAAGAAAAAGAATGCAAAATATAAAAACCCCGCTCACCCACCCCGTCTCAATTTTGATGTTTTTTTTTATTCTTAGAAACCTAAAACGCGTTTAAAATGTTAAATTTTTGTAAGGAAATATGGATTTTGCAATTAGGCTCCGCCCCTAAGTCTGCCAACGAATGAAAACTTCGTTACTATTTAGATTGGGTGGGGCTGAGTCTTTGACTTACACGATACTCAAAAACATGTCTTACATGCAATTTTTTGCAGAGAAATAATAAGGATTTTGCAATTAAATTCCGCTCCTTTGGCTCTCGACGATGAAAAAAAATCATCACAAGTGAGATACGGCGGGTGGGCGGGGCTTATATTTTGCCTTTTTTTTCGTAATACATATGTGTAGACTTATTTGACAACAAGAAATTTAAAACATGTCTAAAATTGAAAAAAAAAAATGTATCCATCAACTTTCAAGTTTTAGTTAAACATTTAGTGGTAAATCGCTACGAAAATCATTTTATACATTTATAAGCCTTTAGAAAGTTAGAAATACTAAGTATATGGAAATAATTATGTCGCACTTTTTTGTATTACAACTTGCCTTCAAACTATAGGATTCTTTTGATAATGCCCCAAGAAAATAGGAGAAAATCCACAAAGAGAAATCTTGAGCTATAGAAGGAATCACTGTACAATTTATTTACTATCGTACACCCCTCATTAAACATTCACTGTATAAAACATCTGTTGATTAAACGTGAAAATATTTTTGAACAAAAATAAAATTATTTTAATTACATTTACAATGGTAAATTAAAAACATGAGTTTGAGTATCGTGTTGTTCAAAAAATATTATGTATATTAAGAAAAAATTAAGCCCTACCTATACTTAACCTGATTTAAATATGTAGTAATGGAGTTTTCATTCTCTGCCAGACCTAGGGGCGAAGCCTAATTGCAAAATCTATGTTCCCCAACAAAAATTTACCATTTGAAACAAACGTCTTTTCAGTTTATAAGATTTAAAAAAATCATCACAATTGAGATGGGGTGGGTGGGCGGGGTTTCTATGGTGCCTTTTTTTTAATCTACATAGTATTCTTTTGAACAGCACGATACTCAAAAACGTGTTTTTAATTTCTTGTAAAGAAATAAGTATTTTTCAGTTGAGCTGCTCCCGCTTCGTTCACGGCGAATAAAAAAAATCATCACAATTGAGATAGGGCGGGTGGGCGGGCTTACATTTTTCCTTTTTGTTTTAATATGTGTAGACTTCTTTCCACAACGTGAAACTTAAAATATGTTTAAAATGGAAATTATGATAAGGCTCCGCCCCATAATTGCAAAATCCATATTTCCTTGCAAAAATGTACCATTTTACCCATGTTTTAAGTGTCTTGTTATGAAAAGATGGCTACGTATATTAAGAAAAAAAAGCTAAATATAAGCCCCGCCCACCCGCCCTATCTCAATTCTGATGATTTTTGGCTTAATATTAGTGGACCTCATTATCTCTATCAAAATTTGATTTTCGTGGAATTAGTGCTGTCTACCAGAAAATGCCGCTTCCACTTTACGGAATTTTCCTTCAAGTTGGCAGTACTGCACGATATCGCAATTTGATTGATTGAAAACCCAACGTCAACGGCGAACAGCAACGTCAGCAGCAAGTTTATAAATCGACCTTTAAGGTCATTTTCTCAATTTTTTTTTTCGTTATGCAACCCCTACATCAAGCTACATTTTCATTTGCAGAAAAATAAGCTTTATCAAATAATGCAATCACAATTATACCTTCGTATTTAAAAAAATCATTGATGACGTCATAACTTTTACAAATTTGACGTAAAATTTTTTTGACATATGCCAAAAAATGGAGAGTAAAATAAAAAAGCTTGACATGTTTTTGCATTTTTTTTAAGCAAATGCTGCGCTTTTTATGAATTGTGTGCCTTACTTTATTACAATTCTGTGATAGGTATATAATAATAATTATAACAACAAAAGTAACAATAAATGTGGCAAATCAGCCTCAAGTGAACATCAGTCTCACACACTGTCAGTGAATCAGTTTATCCAACGTGAAGAAAAATTTCATGGTTCACTTTTTATATTTCCTGTCAGTAAGTAAATCCACTTCGCTTACTTTTCGATCCTGTTTTGTATGAAAAACAAACCGTTGATCACATATGTACGTATTTACATATTAATAAATTGTAGCGATGGCAGATGTTATTGTTGTTCATATGTAGTTCCGAAAAATATAATTTCTGCAATCTTTCACTTGCGCTTTGAATATTATAAGTGAAAATTTAAATAAAGACATTTGAGTCTAAAAATAAAAATATTCCGTTAAATTATTTTCTTTTTTTACTCAATGTCTAAATTTCAATGATTTTTCGACATAAAAGTGAAAAAAAATTGGATCAAAAATTTCTATCAGTGTTTGCGATACTCTCAGTAGTGGCACGTGACACTTTCTCGAACAATCACGTTGAAAGTGTTTTTTCTTCCGGCAGGCATGCTCTCCAGTTCCGACGACGAAGGCGACTCGTACAGCAGCGACGGCGAAGAAGGCAGCCTCGTGATAGACTCCAACGCCCAGAACGAAATCAACCAAAACGGGCACCAGGTGGACCCTCTCAGTTTCGCGAACAGCCCCGACACCGCCCCCGAAAGGCCATGAACCATTGACACTGACCCAGATTGAAATTCATTCATTGAGAGTTTCGTTTCAGAAAATCATATCGATGAGGCTACCAAAAACATTCACCACGTTTGTGTTAAAATCGGTCGAGACAAGACAAAAATAAGGCTGAATTAAAATTGTATGTTGATTTATCGAAACCTGTATACGTAATATATACCTCAATTCCATTGGACGTGTTTACGTTTTAAATGTATACGCATTTTCAAAGTTAATGCTCATTCCAGTATTATGTATAAATTAATAAATATTGTAATAAATTATAAATAATCACTTTTGCAAGATACGGCCCTCTATTTCTCTCTATTTACTCTCTCTTTGGAACCATCTGTTTGTTTTCGTCGTTGTATAAATCGTTGTCATTTTTATTCTCATCGTCGTACAGTATTAGCGTAAGATGTTTTTGATTGATCGGTGCGACATTCGAAACACGATTCGCACATTCCAATCTAACGAGAATTTTAGTTTGAATGTCGCGCTCAAAAAGTATACTACTTGGAACTAATATACGTAATTATACAATAAATAGTTTAAGATATCTCAAGTTTCCATCCAAATCATTGAAAAGCATATATATTGTTAGACGTAAGGGCCGAGAAGTTGGGGAGGTGGCGGTTAGAGGTCGCTCCAATTATTATTTTCCTGTTGTGCACAGACCTGTGATCGTCGTAGAGATCCACAAAAACTTTTTAATATAGTTGTTAAAAACGCAAACTGAATTATATTTCTAGGATTTTTTTTTAATTATAGAAAAGTTATATGTAGATTTGAAAACTCCATTGATAAAAACCACTTTGATAAGGATTTTAAAAATCATTTCTACTTTTTGTCGTAGAAACTTATGTCAAAGCATACAAATTGTAGTGTTTAGTAAATATGTGATTAAAGCCAGGTAAAATAAGTCAATTCTTAATTCGACAATTGTTTTAACGTAAAAAAAAAACAGAAATATAAATGTTGTTTTTGGATCGCTGTGCTAATATTTTGAAAGAGAATTTGAAATTTATTGTAAAAAAATTAATCAGTTTTAACATAAAAATATAAAATCTTAACGTGAACATTTAATTTGAAACTTAAACGTGAATAATTATTAGAGATGAAAATAATGAAAAAAAAAAGTCAAAGATTAGAGTTCTACGGTTATCTGAAGGCTATAATTTAAATATATTTTTAAGTATATAGATTGTTCTGTTTTTTAGTCGTTATACAGAACTTAGTTTTTTTAAATAAAACATCTAATATATAATACATATTCTCATTAGCCTTGTCGTAGAATTTATAACCACGGTTTATTTTTGTAATTCAGATGGGACGTTCCCACGTTATTTACAATAATTTCTGTAGAAATAAAAAAGGTACGCGGTTTTAATATACAAGTTTTTATAAAAAAAAATCTCAGATTTTTCAAACAGAACACTTGTATTTTATTACTGTTTGTTACTCTATTTTGTGTCCTTATTCTTCTACGATGCCGATGTGTTTCTTAAAAAATAAAAAATCGTAACAACTATCAACTTTAAATGTAGAAAATACTTAATAAAAAAGATAGAGAAGGAAAAATAGAATAAAATGTGATTTGAGAAAAACTAAAATATAGATATCTGAAAATTGTTGAAAAAATAAATTTCAAAAGCTTTTAAAAAATACAGACAATACAGGTTATATCTTCGATATTTTTCTTTTTTTGTAATTATTTTAAGAAATATTTTCGGTTCTAACATGTTCACAACCACATTTTTTTTATTTTCAGATTATGAAAAAAATTAAGATGTGACATATCTAACAAAAAAAAACTGTTCTTTCCGTACATTTGCATAATTTTGAAAGTATTTAAACATTAATAGAATGGAAAGTGTTTAGTAAGTTTTTTTTTGAACATTTTTTTGTCATGGATGTTTAAAAAAAAAGAATTATGTATTAAAAAGTTAATTATGTTAATTGTAAAAACAAAAAGCCGCCACTTGGAGTTTACCCGCCAACTTCCCGGCCCGTCGTAATTATGTTGCCATTCGAACATCGGGCATTAGAGACGATGCCATTTCCTTTTTTAAAACTCATGTATACGTAAAATGCAGTGTATATACGTTTTTCTAGTTGCTGTAGTGCGTGAGAACTAGGTTATTCCGCGCATCCTTGGACCAAACACCGCCCAGCAATAACCCATGTTTGGTCCAAGGATGGGCGCTCGCCCATATCGGTGTTACGTTTATTATTTTGCTATGTCGGTCTGTGATAACTTAACGATTGCTCGAAGTCATTACAAGAAGAAGATGAAGAAGAAGAAGCGTTTAGATATGCATTTGAAATACCGTCAATACGGTTTCGCTTGATCCATGATAGATAAGTGAGCTTCTTGTGACTATATGTATACGCTAAATACTCAGTTTAGAATAAGGTAATTAAGGAGATAAATCTAGGTCGAATTAGGACTATCTAGAATTGTTTTTCTTTTCTTTTCTCCTCTTCGTCGGATGTTATACTCGAGGTGAGCTCAACGCCACTCTCTACTTTGTTCTCTCTATTTTGAGATCTTTCGTGTTGTTTATCTTGTTTTTTGTTGATGACTTGTTGGAGACATTCGGTTCGGTGGCCGTTGGGCGGTTCTCGAGACTGTCATCGATTATAAGATGCAACAAGTATTTTTTATTGCAATATTTGTTAGGAAGCTATGTGTAACTTTGATTGTATCATAAATAAAAATCAAATCAGATTAACGACGTGTTTTATTTTCTTGGCGGATTTTTAATCCGACAGAGAGAAAAAATTGGTAGAAAGTAATTTCGACCGAACTTCCCTTATCCCTGAAGTGAACCGGATAATGGAAAATATATTTAAAGCAGTAGGTATTTACAACTTCTCAGTACATGCTTAACTTCGAAAGTTATATATCAGCGGTTAAAAGAAAATTAAATTTCATTGATTTTGTCTCCTTATGTCAGAAGACTTGAGTAATTAATGAACCATAATATATTTAAAGCAGACAACCAATGGGAAAGAATGCTTTTCGCAATATCGAAAAACTTAACAGAAAATCGAAACATCAAAAACTTGTAAAATTAAAATATTCAATAACTGAAAATTCCAAAAACTGAAAAGTTCTTCAAATTGAAATGTTGAAAAATTGAGAAATGGAAAACTTGAAAAATCCACGAAAAATTTAAAAAATCGAGTAACATGTCAACAGATCTAAACATGTAAAATTTTTAAAAATCGAAAAATAAAAAAATCATAAAACTGAAAAATTCAAAAACTAAAACATCGGGACATCGAAACATCAAAAAATCAAGAAGTGGAATAATCGAAAAATTGACAAATTAAACAATCAAAAAATTGAAACATTGAAATCTCGATAAATCAGGAAATAAAAAAATAATCGGAAAATTGAAATATCGAGAGATCTGAACAGCGAGAAACTGAGAAATCAAACAATTTTAAAAACTGAAAAATCGAAAAATCAAAATCCGAGAAGACGAAAAATCGGGTAGTCGGAACAGTCAAAAGCTCGAAAAATTAACATTTCCAAAAATTGAGAAATGGAAAACTTGAAAAATCGAAAAGAAAAATTTTAAAAATCAAATAACTAACATGAACAAATCGAAACATGTAAAATTTTAAAAATCGCAAAATTGTAAAATCAAAAATTTAAAAAATGGAAAATTCAAAAAAATAACTAAAAACTCGAAAAACCGAGAATCGAAAATCCAAAATTTAAAAAACCGCAAAAATCGAAGATTCGAAAAACTGAAAAATCGAGAAATTTTAAAATTTCAAAACTGAACTGAGGAAAATTGGGAAATTCAAACAGAAATATTCAAAAACTGAAATATGGCATTTGGAGACATCGAAACATCAAAAGATCGGAAATCAAGAAATGGAAAATTCATCACTGGAAAGGTCAAGAAGTCGAATAATCGAAAATTCAGAAATCGAAAAAGCCCAAAAGTGAAAAAAAAATCGAAACATAAAAATTAAAAAAATGAATACATTGAAAAATCGAGCAATTAAACCATCAAATAATTGAAATATTGAAATCTCGATAAATGGAGAAAAAATCAATAAAAAATTGGAAAACCGAAATATCGGGAGATCTGAATAGTGAGAAACTGAGAAATTAAACAATTTTAAAAATTGAAAAATCGAAAAATTAAAATTTTCAAAAATTGAGAAATGGGAAACTTGAAAAATCGAAAAGAAAAATTTTAAAAATCGAATAACAAACATGAACAAATCGAAACATGTAAAATTTAAAAAATCGCAAATTAGAAAAATCAAAAATTTAAAAACTGGAACATTAAAAAAAACTACATTTAAAAACTAAAAACTCGAAAAACCGAGAATCGAAAATCTAAAATTTAAAAAAAGTGCAAAAATTGAAGTATCGAAAAACTGAAAAATTGAGAAATTTTAAAATTTCAAAACTGAACCGATCAAAATTGGCAAATCGAAAAATTGAAACATCGAAACAACTATCCAAAAACTGAAACATCAAGACATCGAAACATCAAAAATTGAAGAATCGAAAAACTGAAAAGTCGAGAAAGCCAAAATTTTCGAAATTGAATTGGGAAATCGAAAATTTGAAAAATCGAAATCGAACATCAAAATATCAAAAATCAAGAAATGTCGAAAAATCTTAAAATTAGGAAATCGAAATAAGACAAAATTGAAAAATTTAAAAACTGTAAAATCAAACATTTTTAAAATCGAAAAATTGAAAAATGGGAGAAAAACTGAGGAATCGAAAAATCTCAAAACTGAAACATCAAAAAATTGAGAAAATGAAGGAAATCCGAAAAATCAAAAAAAAAAAATCGACACATTGAAAAGTCGAGAAATCAAGAAATGGAAAAACCAAAAAATCGTAAATTGAAACATCGGAAAATGAAAAAATTGAAATTCGAGAAATTTAAAAATTGGTGAGAAGTGAAAAATTGAAAAATAGTTTTATCTACAAATAATTTATTTGACAAAACTGTAAGATTAATTCCTGGGGGAGATGAACGCATAAATTTTTTACCATATTTCCGATAGCCTTGAACGTTGTTATAAAATTTGGCTTTTTTTTAAAAAACTAGATGCCTAGGGTAAAGCTGTATTCGGATTCATAATTTCATGCGAAGGAATAACTTATTTAATAAAATTGAAATATTTTGGTTGCGTTTTACCATTTACATTTGGACAGAAGGCAGACAGACGGAAACGCTTACGAAATAAAAAACACTCCAGACACAACCACGACTTTGCACATACTATATAACTTTAAAGCAAACTATCTTGGTAAAACTTGGAAAAATAAAACCCGATGACCATGTTAAATAATATATTTTGTACACTTTATAAACTATGAATACACATGTTAAACACAGAGAGCACCTTCAACTCAACTAAAAAACGGGACGCAATTAAGTACAATTCTCTTTAATAATAAAAAATTAAAATTAATAAAACTTTAAAACACACAAATTTAAAGCAGCTCTTCCTTACTTGACGACTCGTTTTGGGCGCGGCGTCTTTTGAAGAAAAGCCACTCCTGGCGTCAAAAAATTCTCCCCTTTCACAGGAGTAAAAGGCAGCGCTTCCGTCTCTTTCAGAACGAATGCCGTACTTCGACAATTATTCTTCGTCGAGACCTCTTTCTAAAACCGAATCTTGACACTAACTCGAAAAACAGGAATTAACTTACCTCAAAGTCGTGGTAACTTGTGGAGGCCGTCTCGTTGTGGTTCTCCTTATTCGAACTCTTACTCGACTTAAAAGAGAGCCTGTGCCTCAGCTTCTCCCTCCTCGCAGATCTCCGTTTGTTTCTCGAAACGTTCAACTTGGGAAGTCCGGTCTTTGAGACCTTATTCGTACTTCCGGTTTTGAGTTTTTTGAAGGGTTCGGTGAAAGGAGTGGTGATAATTTTTCTTTTGGAGCACGCGCGGGGTGTTAGCGTGGGGTTAAGGGCGCTGGCGGTGGAGGGGAAGAGATTCATGCGGGACCTGCCCACAGTTGAGGCCTGCTCTCTTTGTTGCTTCTTGGCGCTTAGCTTCAGTTTAAATTCCTGGAGGGATTAATTTGAATAAATAAAGGGCCAAAGGTTATTTCGACCGAACGACGGACAGACAGACGGAAACGAGACATCCTTACCTTGTCCTCGTCCTCGTGGAGTTTACCGATATACTCTTGAATCGTCCTTCCGAAAGTACGGAAATGCCGCCCCTTCCGCACGAAGAATGTTTCCGCAAGCTTTGTCAACGTCTCCTCGATCTTCGGGATTCTTTTCCGGAACTTGTTCCTCAGCTTTTCCTCCATCAGCAGCTGCCCACCTCTGTTCTTGTACCTATTGGCGCCTCCCGAGTTCAGTTCCAATTCCAAGTGATGATTCCACAAGTTCTTGTACTCTAACAGCAATGCAAACATCTCCTTATTCTCCTCGAAGTACGCCTTCCACTTCTCGATCTCCCTTTCGTGGAGTTCGAACAAGTCCTCGTTGTAGCACTCTGAATAGTAGAATGTGAATTCGCTCTTTTCGTTTTCCGTGCAATGGCATTTTTCCCACCAGTCGGCTAGCTCTTGGCGCTGCTTCATGATGAAGACTTTGATGTTGGCTTTCTTCATTTCTTCCAGTTTCTTCACTTCGGCCTTCAGAGCGTTAAGAGTTTCGAGGGAGTTGCCGGTGTTCCTTTGTCTGAAGGCATCTCTTTCGGCGATGTCCGTTTCGAGCTTGTTCCACAGATCGTCGACTTTGTTCCTCAGTTCGGCGATTTCTTCCTTCACGTTGGTGAGTTGTTTAACCAAGCGATTATGGTAAGATTCGAGTTGTTCCATCTCGGTGTCTGCAATGCGCACCTCCGTATTTGTTAGATTTAAAATGTCCTTCTCGAAATCGAGGCTCGGAGGGGATTGGAGTTCGTTCACGATTTCTTGGATCTCTTCCTTCAACTGGAAGAATTTTTCTTCGCGTTCGATTGCGTCATTCTCTAAAGTCTCTGCAACAATAGCACAAGATGCAACTAAATTTCTGCCAAAATTAGATTTTCTATCTTTTTTCTTAATTATTCCCCATCCGCATAAAAAGAGGAAAATCGGAAGTTTAATCGAGACATTTAAAATAGACAAAGGGTGAAATGATCAATTCTTAGGTAAGAGAATTGAAGAATTTAGCAAAAAAAATGGGAATGAGGAGATTTGGAAAGCGATTTTATTTCTAACGTCTAATTTGTGATTTAACTTCAGAGAAATCGAGCGAAAGGCTCCTTGAAGCTTCCAAAATGACCTTGGATAAGGCAGTTCAGGGGACTCGCTAGGGAAGGGAACAAAACAATGTTTTCTTTTTTTTTATGATAAAATGATATTAATATAGATGTGTTGATACATCAAACTGCTGCTTTTTCATGTGCTAATCTAACAACAATTCAATCAATCTAAAAAATGTGACAGAAAAATCGTAAAAAAGCACTATTGTCAACGCAAAATAATATTTCATAATTTCTCACCCACCTACAAACACCCTCAGCCCCTCCACGTCCTTCGGCAGCGGCAGCGGCGACTCGGCCAGCAATCTCGGCTCCCTGCCCAAGTTCTTGCACAACTTCAGCTGCTTCTGGTGCAACTCCCTCAACTCCTTCCTGCGGATTTCGGCCAAGGCCTCGAACTCCTGCACCCTCTGCTGGACGAGTCGGTACAAATCGCACAGAGGCACCTCCTCGTAGTTAAAGGTGGGAATGTCGATGTGCAAGTCGCGACACAAATTCTGCATCTGTTCTAGCAATCTCGCGATTTTGTCCAAGCTCTTTTCTTGAATTGCGTCCACGTCTGTTATGAGTTCTTCATACAAGTTTTGAACTTGGGTGACGAAGATGGAGACATACTCGTCGATGTCGAGTTCGGCCTCGCCGATCTTGCATACTATATTGCACCAGTTTAGTACGGCTTTTCTGGTGAGCTTCTGGGTGTTGGCGAGGAGCTGCTGGGCCCAAGGCTTGGTGGCGATGCTGGAAATGGGTGGGTTGTGTTATTTAGTCAAGATCTAGAATGGGGCATGATTTCAACATGCTTCCAAGTGTTTATTGGCAGCCTTTAAATCTCTGATTCATAGAACCTGTGTTCTTTTCACACAACCAATGAGAGAGAAGGTCAGCGATGTCAATTATCTTTACTGTAATCCCAAGCGGTTAATCATGATTTGAATTTACATCTAATTGAACACTTCCTGTCTCCAACGTTTTTATCCACTACCCACATCCCCAGAACCCAACATTCAATATCCATTCCAACTTACAAAAGCCAACTGAAATCATTCAGCGACTTTCCCGGAAACGTGCTCTAAATATTTACAACTGGCAATTCACTTTTTTTTTTATAAACAAGAGATAAAATATAAAACATGGACAAGCCTCATGCGACAACATAAACAGTGATTATTCATCAATTATCACCAAGTACTTACATGTTTTCACTCAGATCTTCCATTTCCGACAATTTACGCTTAAAATCGTCACTCATTTCAAATAAAAAGACAAAATTTCCTCATTAAAACGTTAAAGCACAAAATTCTCGCCGGTACACCTTTCAGACGGTTGAAAATTTGAATTTTGGTCAGTTAAAACCAGTTTGACAAGTCAAACGTCAAAGCTATTGCGCATGCGTGAAGTGCATCCTGGAAACTCGTAGTGTCGTCGAAAAATAGCGAGCTTTCGAACTCAATAAAATTATATAACGATTGTCATATAACATTGCTAGCAAAATTAGGCATGGAAAATATTGCGGCATTCACAGCTGCATAGAAAAATACGTAACAATTTACAAAAATATTACAACGAATAGATACTCCGCAGACCCAACGTTGACATTTGACTGCATTTGACCGAAATCAAAATAATAATAAATGTCAAGTCGAAAATTATGGAAAAGACGGACAGAACCAAAGTACAAACCTTCATCCTAACCCAAAATGAATTCGGACAAAAAATATACACGTCCCAGTCCGACAGGACCAAAAGGTAATCTCTCAAACGTGAAAATTACATTCTAACCTCATTTTCTCATAACAATCAATGTTAACAATTTGTAGCTATGTAATTGACGATGAAGGCAACATGGTCCAGTACCATCCTCCTACGTCCATGCGAGCAGTAAAACTGGAAGAGTGCCACGTTTCCAACGATGATAACTTTGAGTTGAACCCGGAAGAAGAGGGACCCCACTTGGGGATGATTGCGTCGTTAGAAAGTGCCAGTGATTTTGACGACCATTTGATGCAAGAGCTTGATTCAGATTTGATGAGCGTGGAAGATACACATTCAGGGTTGATCATGCAACATATGGATATTCAGGAACCTTTGTCAAAGCTGAGGCAGCTGTTGGAGCAGAGGTTGGGGCTGAGCTTAGAGGAGTACTCGTTTTACTTGCAGGGGGCACAAATGGTAACTAGCTTTGTTCATTAGAGCACATTTATCATTACTCCGTTAATTTCAGTTGGAAAACAACAAAAATTTGGTCGAGCAGTGTGTTCAAGGGCAGGGCTTGGTGCAGATCAACGTTCAACTGCAGGTCAACTTGAAAAGGATCAATATTTTGGATGTCTTAAAGCCCGCTGAAGACTATATCCACGTTGGTCAGTACGCAATAAAGTAAAAAAATAAAATAATAAAAAATAACTTGCAGACGAATTAAACCAAAACGAGCCAAAAGACTCCCCGCCACCGAAAGCAGTGGTGCAGTGGCAAGTGGACCTCGCATATAAGAAAGAACAGGACCGACTGAAAATCCCCCACGACCCCATGGAATGGACGGAAGTCCACGTCAGACACTGGGTTCAATGGGCCGTTCGCCAGTTCAACTTACCCAACATCAAACTCTCTGATTGGACGATGACGGGTAAAGAACTGTACGAAGTGACCCTCACAGACTTCCAGAAAATCGTTCCGCACGATCCCGGCGACATCTTCTGGACGCATTTGGAACTTTTACGAAAGATGAAAGTCGTGGCCACGAAGAAAGAAGAAGGGTCGCCTCAAGAAGAACCTCACGTCACTAAACAGAAGCGCATCAACCGAGTTATCAACAATTACGCTTCGGCGATGAGTTACTTCGACAACGGGGGGTCTTCGGGTAACAGGTCGGGAAATAACGGTCAGATCCAGTTGTGGCAGTTCTTGTTGGAGTTGCTGACGAGTAAGGAGTATAAGAGTGTTATACACTGGACGGGGAACGACGGGGAATTCAAGCTAAGGAATCCACAGTTGGTGGCGCAATTGTGGGGCGAGAGGAAGAATAAACCGACGATGAACTATGAGAAGTTGTCGAGAGCGTTGAGGTATTATTATGACGGGGATATGATTTCCAAGGTTCACGGGGAGAGGTTCGTGTATAAGTTTGTCTGTGATTTGAAGGAGATGTTGGGGTATGATGCGAGGGAGTTGTCGAATTTAATTAATTATGGAAATCCTATGATTAAAGAGAAGTGTTGATTGTTGGTGCAATAAAAGTTTTTTATGTTCAGAATTTATTTGTAAGAAAACTTGTTTGTACCCAGGTCCTTGTATCCGACTTTTATGCATACAAACTTTCATTGCAATCTTTCTATCTCTATGTGTTGACACAGCATACACATACCCTTGCAGTTGTGGTTTATGAATCCGTGTTGAGTTTTTACCTAGACTACCACATTTTTGCAAAAAAAATCAAGGTTGAATGACATTTTGGAGTTTAATCGAAACCAACTGCTCTGAAAAGCTCAAAAAATTAATAACGTCATCTCAAAATTTTGCGAATAAATTCTACCCAAAAAAATTGGTCGAAATTTATTTCAACAGAACTTCCCTCGTTCCTGAAACAAATCCCGCTTCTTTGAACAATTATAAAATTTGAAAACGATAGAAAATATATTTAACGAGAAAATTAACTCTTAGTAACTACATGGTTAACTTTAATGTCATTCGAATGTTGTTCGTTTCGCCACGTTTATTTGCATCGTGTTGACTGAGGATTGTTTAATAGCAGCCATTTTCGAATTTTTAAAAATTATACAGTTTTTTGGTTTTACGATTTCTCAGTTTTTCGATTTTTATTTTGCAATTTTTTAATTATACAATGTTTCGATTTTACAGTTAGCTAAATTTGTAAATTTCTATCGTTTATTCAGTTTTTGGATTTTCCAGTTTCTCGATTTTTAATAGGTACATATTTCGATCTTCAAATTTTCCATTTGTGAATTTTTGTTTCTTCAATTTTTCAACTTTACAGTTTTCGGATTTTAGGTTTTCTAGTTTTCAATCTTTAATTTTTCAAGTTTACAATTTTTGGCATTTTTTATTTTCATTTTGAAATTTTCCAGTCTCCTAGATTTTTGACTTGCAGTTTTTCGATATTTCAATTTTGCACTTCTCAGTTTTTCAATTTGTAGATATTTTAATTTTTCTTTATTTCAATTAACCGAGATTTCAATTTTTAATTTAGCTTTTAAATTTTTCAAGTTCTGAGTTGTTTAATGTTTCATTTTCCCAGATTTTAATTTTTAATTTAATTGAAAAAAAAAAACAAATTTATTAAAACTGAAGTCTTCACGATTTTACAGTTTTTGGGTTTTTCAATTTTTATATCTAAATTTTTCTTAGCTAATTAATTTTTAAGTGCTTCCACCGCGTTTGTTTACATCGTGTTGACTGAGCATTTTTTTAATAGCACCCATTTTTGAATTTTTAAAACTTCTTTAGATTTCCGATTTTGCAATTTGTCGGTGTTTGCAAAATTTGTTTTAAGTTTTTCAAAGTTTCTATTTATTAACTCATGAATTTTTCGATTTTATAGTTACTTAGATTTTTAACTTTTTCGGTTTAGAATTATTCAAATTTACAGTTTTTCGCTTTCAAGTGTTGTAGTTTTTAATTTTTCGAATTTTTAGATTTTCGATCTTGCAAATTTTCGTTTCTTGGATGTTTCGATTTTTTAAGTTTCCGGTTTTTCAATTTTTCGTTCCTGCGATTTTTCGATTTTTCAATTTGTAGATATTTTAATTTTCCTGTATTTGAATTAAACGACAATTCAAATTTTCATATCTTCGATTTTTTGACTTGCAGTTTTTTTAGTTTTCAATTTTAGGTTTTAAATGATCAAATTCAGATACAGATTTATTCAAACTGAAATTTTGAAAAATTGTAATGCAGGATTTTTTTCATGTTGCTCTTGGATTTTCGACGTTTCTTCGAAAAGTGGAAACATCCAAGATAAAAAATCAAAAAATTGGTCTAAAGAGTTTAGCCAGTACTTCCCTCGCTGTTGGAAACGTGACGACTGCATGCCTATTGTGTTTTTTTTCGCAGTAGATTTCATATATTTTTTTTTGAGTTACCCGGTATATGCAAATTCAAAAAATATGAATGGAATGATAAATTACAAGTACAGACTCATCATATTTTGTATATTCTAGATAGGATTTATTCGGCAAACTTTTGAGCTGACGTCAACAAGTTTTTGGAGGGGATAACCAACTATATTCTGACTAAAGATTTATGATGCTCTTTATAACCTTAAAATATCTGCAAGATTTCAAAGCATTCGGTTTTGTAGTTCTTGATTAACTCAATAAAATATATTCACCCATTCATTAATTTTTTGGAGTTACCCTGTATATAGAAATCCAAAAAATATGAATGGAGTGATAGATCACAAGTACGGACTCATCATATTTTGTACATTTTAGATATGATTTATTCCACAAACTTTTGAGCTGACGTCATCAAGTTTTTGGAGGGGATAAGCAAATATTTTTTGAGTAAAGATTTATGATGCTCTTTATAGCCTTAAAACATCTGCAAGATTTCAGAGCATTCGGTTTTGTAGTTCCTGATTAAATCAATAAAATATATTTACGCATTCATTAATTTTTTTGAGTCACCCTGTATATGCAAATCCAAAAAATATGAATGGAGTGATAGATCACAAGTACAGACTCATCATATTTTGTACATTTTAGATATGATTTATTCCACGAACTTTTAAGCTGACGTCATCAAGTTTTTGGAGGGGATAAGTAAATATTTTTTGACTAAAGATTTATGATGCTCTTTATAGCCTTAAAACATCTGCAACATTTCAAAGCATTCTGGTTAGCAGATTAAAAATTAAATTTCAAAATATTGTTTTATAATTTTGATTTTTTTTCCAAAAATCTGGACGTTTTGGGTGAAAAGTCGATTCAGAGTTGTAAACTACATGTGTAGGACTATGTTATTTTATACAATTGAAAACCCATTTACTATGTACAATTTTGAAGTGACGTCATCGCATTAGTGGTGGGGATGATTAGACAAATTTTGGTTAGCGTTTTACCATCTACATGATATTCTTAATATAAGTACAAAATTTCACAACAATCGGTCGAGTACTTTCGGAGATTATCTGTCTAATAAAAATCCGGGACAACAGACGGACAGACGGACGGACAGACGGACAGACGGACAGACGGACAGACGGACAGACGGACAGACAGACGGAAATGGGAGACCTATTTCTTCGTCTTCTAGGGGTCATGAAAGATCGAGAAAACGTAAAAGTAGAGAGTCGACCGACGGACTCGATTACAATACTTCCTTTGCTTACGCTCGGGAAGTAAAAATTGGAAATCTAACTAATGAAAAACGAAAAAATAAAATATCGAAAAATTGAGAAATCTAAAAATAATAATATGTAGAAAGAACCAATCTAAAAGGTAAAGCCACGAAATATTGAAAAACTGAAAAATTCAAAAGTGCCAAATCCAAAAATTAAAAAATTTAAACTGAAAACTCAGAAACTTGCAAATGAAAAAATTGCGGAAACGAAACATTAAAAATCAAAAAACCGAAAATCCGAAAAGTGGAAAAATCAAAATTTTAAATTTAAAATTTCAAAAAAATTGGCACACGAGAAATTGAAGAACCGAACAATTTCAAAATAGAAAAATTGCGCAATCTAGAAATTGCAAATCTCAAAGGTGAGGTAACAAAAAACGAAAACATCGAAAAATTAAACTGGAAACAAAAAATTGCAAATCTTTTGATTTGCAATTTTTTGTTTCCAGTTTATTTTCGATTTTTATTGGAGAAAAAAAAAATTAAAATCGAAGAACGGAAAATTCGAAACACTGAAAAAACGAAAAAAGTTGCTAATCGAAAAGTGGATTTATCGTAAAATTCGAAGAGTTACATTACGGACAGCCTGCATATTAAACGACCTCAATTTTGCGTACACTGCAGAGGCAAGATTCGAGTCCGTATCTGTGTAGCGTGTTGAAGGGCAATGTTTAACTATGGGGACACCGAATATCCACCTTTTAAGATGACAGTGTAGGTAAGCAGAAAAAATGTTGTGCCTCGGTGGGATTCGAACCCCACATCTCTTTGCTTTCCGGGCAAGTATGCTAACCGCTACACCACGAGACGACTTATCTTTTCTCTGCTTACCGACGTGTTATTGTGCCGCCACAAGAGTAACAATAAGTTTTCACATTTATTTTTAAAATATTAAGAAAAAAATTATGCTCCAGAAATTATCGGTTAAAAATAATAATATTATTGCTCATATTCATCGCTGAGGCTTTGCCTCACCTGCCTCAGAACAAGCCGCCCCCCTGAAAATAATTATGATTCAAACTAAACGCGGATTCGTAAACTACAAGTATAGGAGTATATGATTTTATAACATTTAAAAAATATTTATTGTTAAAAATTTTGAGGATATGGTATCACGTTTTTGGTGGGGATGATTAGACAAATTCCCAAACGTGGATTAGTTGTGCTATAGTTTTCTGTTTAAAACTACGTGTTCAAGTCAGACGGAAAGGTGAAATAAATTAATCATGGTTAAATTATTATATGCAAAGCCATTTATTCGTATCTATCGTACATCAGTCTAAATTTAAAAAGAATTATTCATCGAAGAGCAGTCCATAGGCGCCCTGTGCCAAAGCAACGTCAGACTGAGCCCAGAATCTGTGATACGTGAACTCGGGAGCGGAACCTCCGTTAATGTACGCCTCAACTTTGGGCCAATCTGGGTCTTCTTTCAAGAACGATCTGATGTCGATGAAAGTGATCCCCGACTGGATGGTATCTCCGTTGGGGTAGGTACCAGTCCATCCGGAAGGTACATACACCGGCTCGGTGAATCTGTTGTAGTCTTCGCGGACCTCCGGGCTGGAGACACCCTTGTCCGTCTGGTAGAGGTTCCACATACCGTCCAACAGCTTCTTGGCCGCATCCTTGGCCTCGGTGTTGCCAGTCTTCGCAGCGTAGTAGGCTAGAGTTCGGGCAGTGCCGGCGGCGGTGCCCACATCGTTGGTGAAGTCGGTGATGGTCACGTGAAGATTACTGTTTTCTTGAGCCTCGCCTCCGCTGTAAGCGTTGGGAACACCTTGCCACTCCAGGTTGGCCGGCAGTTGGTAGTCGTCGCCGTCGAATTTCAAGTTGGGGAGCAGCCAAGCGACCCACTTGTCGAGAGTAGCTTGGGCCTTGACGTCACCGGTCACGTAGTAGTACTGGGCCAAACGATCGGTAGACCAACCCTGCATACCGTACCATCTGTTGGATGGCGGGTCATGGTAGACGGGTTCCCAGTCGTAGACCATACCGTAGAAGGTGTTCGAAGTGAGATTGGACGGAGGTTGATCGTACCTGTGGAGGAAATCGGGATGCTGGTTGTCGTCCAGAACAAAACGGAACGTTCTTACCTTCCCTTCCAGGTGTTGGTTACTCCACCGGCGAACGCCCCCTCAGCCGTCTGGACGTACGCGTACAATTCGAGCTGCCTTTCCAGCGACTGGGTCCAGTCCTGGACGGCCGTCGCTCCCTTGGGTTTCAGTGAAGGTTCGTTAGCCAAAGCCCACGCTGTCAAAGGATTCTGGTAGCCGAAGTGAGCGGACCCATCTCCGATACGCCAAGCCCATCCGGCGCTGGTGTCGGTAGCTCCACCCCAGGCGTAGTACCACGAGAGCAGATAGTGGGCGCTGTTTTTGCCGGAGCCGCCGGGGCACGAGTGCGGGTCGAAGCATTCGCCGACTTGCTTGAAATATTTGTCGAAGAGAGCATATCGAAGGTAATCTCCAAGTTTGGCGGCCTTCTCCAGAGTCGCGCTGATTTGGCTGCTTTGGCCAGCTGCTGCGGCCCACTGCGACGCCCAGTACGCACCTTGGATGGCACGGGCGTCGGCGTCGGGAGCGTTGGTGTACTTCCATTGTTTGGCGTAGTTGCTATCCCCGGTGAACAGATCCAAGAAGCCGTTGGTACCTCCATATTTGAACGAATCGCAAGTGGGTTGAGGAATGGTTCTCCAGACGGACTCTTCAGGTCCTCTCTGGAAGGTGTTAATGTAGGATGGTCCCGGAGTCCCCGGTCCGCCCTCGCAAACGCCGGGAGCGTCACCGAAGCCGTACACGTTGTCGACGTCCTGGAGCCAGTGCATACCGTAGATGTCTTCGGTCCCGTAAGCGGTGGTCAGCTCCTAAACAAGTCAAAATTACTACAGTCCTTTGGTTTACTGAAACGGACGCACCTGGAAAATCGGGTCCTGTCCGACAGGCACACTCGAATCTATGGGCGACGGGTAGTCATTGGGGGTGTCCATCTCGGCGGCGTAGGTAGCCGGGCTCGACGGGTTGTAGAAACTGTTAGTAGGCTGGTCCGCGTGAGTAGGAATCATGTACTTCTCCATGATATCCCAGGCGTCGTTGAACGTCTGGAAGTCACCGGTGATGGCACCATGCATGGCTTCCAACCAGATGAAGTAACTGTAAGCCTCCGAAGTGGTCTCATGACCGTGGTCAGGAGCTTCGCACATCAACGTTTCCACCGAGTGGTAAGGAATGCCGTCCTGGGAGAAGTACCCATTGGCCGAGTTGTGGATCTTCTCGTACTGTTGTAAGAATCTGTCGGTGTAGACGCCGGCTAGAATGCCGGTCGCACAGCCCAGCACTACCAGCGGTAGCAGCAGCTTCATTTCGGTTTTACTCTACCTACAAACAATTAAGAAGTCGCTTGTTAATCTCAAAAATGAGACTGATGATTCCGACTCGGACCGGGCTTTTTATACCGAAATTTTCTACAGCACATCATTTGCATCGAGCTGAGTAAACAATATTATCAACTTTATCTCCTTCGAACATCTCGAACTATTCTTCTTGATAAGCCAAACTTGTGATAGGTCAAATCGTTCGATTGCCGAATCTGCCAATTGGCTTTCAATTCTTTTCAGATTTATCTCGTTTGTTTGTTTTCCTTCGTAACGCGGAAGATTATCTTGCCAATTGAGATTTGATAGAAAATGGGACATTACAGTGCGAAATTTTTAAATGATTGTTATCCCTGAACGGTTTTGGACAAGTGGACACTTTATCAAGTGTTTTAAGGAACGAATTTAGAATAAAAATGCCAAAAATTTATGTTTTGACACGGAAGTTGTTACAACGCATTTAATCTCAAGAAAGTTAAAATCTACTCATGACCAGAGTGCCTTGAGGTATTATATCGTTTTTGAGTGTGTGGTCACGACTTACAAACTGTCAAATTAGAAAGAAACATAGAGATGGGAGTCCTTCGCTACCCTTGAGAACAGTGTAGTGGTTCTTTTTGACCCTAGGGATAAAAAGTGTTTCTATAACAACCAAACACTTTTTAACTTAAAGTAGTAATATAAACATATCGAAAAATTCAAAAAGGCTCGTCTTATTTACACCTCTAGCCTTGGTTACTCGACAAGGCTTACTATCGCGATTGATGATGGGTTATTTCGAATATTTTCTTCCAATTTAAAATTTAGTATCTATTCGCTAACGCTCGGGCACTAATCTCTACTTTCGGAATTACATCGTGCATTTTAGTCTCTTGGTATATAATATATCTACTATTAGTTCTCTGTTTGTGTCAGTCAAATTTTCAGGGACAACTTCATTCCTATTGTAATCGAGTATATATACTTTGGGCGACTGGTCAGTTTCATGTTTTCTCGACGTTTCATGGCCCACACAGCATGAAAAACTAGGTCTGCCGTTTCCGTCTGTCTGTCTGTCCGCCGTCTGTGTCGATTTTTATTAGACAGATAATCTCCGAAATTACTGAATCCATTGCTGTCAAATTTGATAGTTATGCATGTTAGGAATATCATGCAAATGGTGAAACGCTAACCAAAATTTGTTTGATCTTTCCCCAGCAACAATAGAATGACGTCAGTTCCAGATTTTACAATAGATAGGGTGGATTTCACCAACGTCAATTAAAGTTAACAATAGAATAAATCCATAGAAACGATTATTACAACGATAACAACGATTGTTTTTAACTGTTCGTTAACTTTAACTGAGGTGGGTGAAATCCACCCTAAATGTTATTTAAATTTTATAAAATAACATGCTCATCAAGCATCCAGATTTTTGGAAAAACATATGACATTTTACAATTTAACTTTGAAATTTTAAAATCGAATGCTCCTCCGTTATATATACAATAAAATATAAAGCCCCAAATCATGTAAATCAATCCCAAACGTAGCTTAATTTCCCTTTTTTTTTGGAATTTTTATTTTAAAACGTCATAAGCTCAGTGGTATGGTATGTTTTGTTATCTACATTATGTATCTAACAATTTCGGGAGGAATGTCAATTAATTTTAACTTCAAATCACGTTGACGGCTTTTTATATCATCACAGTAAATACTGTTATTTTATATTTACTGCGATATCATACTCAAATCACGTGAAATTGTAAACAGTGGGCACTAATTTTCTATTTTAAAGTAACTTTTACACTGTGATCTTAACTGTTTTTTACGTCCAGAAGTTGGTAAATAAACAACCATATCAATTTTTAATACTTTTGGAATAGTCAGATTTTTATTAAACCGGAAAACTGTCGAATAAGTATAATAGATACATTAATTGAATTGGCTGAAAGTTGAACGAAATAATATTTTTTGATCTGATTAATATGAAACCTACAATTCATATATCAATAAACAACAAAAATAAAGTGCTTCTCGAAATACGTACTTGAAATGCTTTTAGTGTTGGAGTACTTGAAAAAATATTTTAATTTTGAATTACTTGTTGACAAGTACCTGCAAATTATCTTTTTCCCATTGTATTTGAACAACTACTTTATTTGTCGATTAACTAAGAGATTAATAGTTCGCTGCTTGATTTCATCCACCTAAAAGATAAATACAAAAAAAAACCCTACTGGACCGATTGTTGTCAAATTCTAACGTCATAACAATTTTTTTATTGATCAAATTGAGAACGAGTCCCCCCTTTTCGCAAAACGGTTCGATTGTGGTTTAATTAATAATTTTAGTCCTCTGTTTTCAGGCGACAAACTCATCCAAATCAAAAGAAATTTCTACGTGACATTCTTCCGATGTATAAACAAACACTTGAAGTTAAAGCTTATTATTATTGCTGAGAAACCATTTAATTATATTTTACCTTGTCGTACTTGTGTATTTTGCACAATATTTTGCATTTTGCGCCCCCGTTGCGCAGGGGTGTTGCAGTAAAAAGTCCTGTCCTTAAACATTTTTTTTAAATTAATACCGGCTATGTCACTGTCTAAATTTGTCAACTGTTTTAATTTGAGCCCAAAAATAATTTTACTAATTAAAATAAGGCTAAACTAATACACGTACAGTTTTTGCTATTCCAGTTACACTGATAAAACGAACACTCTATTTGCAAAATCGTTTTTAAATTAATCATGTGATTAAGTAATAATGTTATGTGTCACGCAAACGATAAAATCACCTTTTCGTCCTAAATATAAAACGACAGTAAATTTTGTGATGCATTGACCCGCTTGGAAAATTTTGCTTATGTCTTAACAAATAAGTGTAAAGGGTAACTTGTTTTTGTACTTATCAATTTTAAAATGAGATAATAAGTACCACTTGAATAATTTGTTTTTATTTGTTGTTTTTTCTGCCACTTAAAATATGTTTACGTCACAACTTTAAACTTTTTTTTTATTACTTACACTAGAAATTTTTAATTTTGTTTCAAAAATCTTCGGCGTGGGAAAGTTTGATTTTAACGGAATTTTTTCAATAACGTCATTATCGGAATTAAAGATCCCGAATTCTGAAGTGCCTACACTTCAGATTTTGTTCTTTTAATTTTTATACGTGTTTTATTTGGCAACATCTAATCAACTTTATTAATAAATAAAATACTTAAACTGATAACATTTCGTGTATTTTATTTTATAAGGACGTTGAGGCAAAAGAAGATAAATACATCAGAACTTAGTAAGTACTTACATACCGGATATAATTGGAAAAATACCGCTTACAAATATATCTTAGCCGCAGCTGTTCAAATTACTTAACAAAAGTATCTGAAGTACCAACACTACACAAAATATTTTCGAAATTAATTATCAAGTGCTTTCTTTCGAAAAGTAACCGACGCACGATGCAAGTTTTTTTTACTAATTAATTAACGAATTTTAAATGCAGTCATTTTAAGTCTATTCAACAAAACAAAAACAGAAAACCTATTATCAAGTATAAATATTGTTACGAAATAAGCCCATACGCCGCCCCGGTACGACGCCTATGCGTCTTCTAGCATCTACGCGTTGCTTCTCGTATGTAGTCTGAGTCATCGGCCGCGCGAATGCAAGCGGAAGTCGCGACGAGCCGAGAAGAAGTCTCGATTGCGGCGTCCAGAAAACTCCGATGCGGCGTTCTGGATCCATCGAGAGGCACGCGGGGATTTAAATAGAGGCCACCGTCGGGAACCAGGCATTCATTATTCAGTCAAGAGTGGAGTGCATTTAAGTTGCGAAATTGTAATCGCAGTTATCGTCGTGTAAATACCACTTAAAGAAATAAATTGTTGAGTTTTTACCTACGCCCGATTAATTATTCGCCCGTCCAACGTAACAATATGTGCCTTAGCCCAAGACTTTAACACTAATTTTTCGTAAAAAAGGGGTTTCTCCTGCGTAAGCCTTCCTAACTTGTTTAAACTCGAAGATAAATTTATTTTTTCGGTGTAAAAATCTTGCAAGTTGTAAAACGAAACATGCGTCAGCAAAACGGAGATAAGTTGTATCGTTCTTTAGATAACTTCCGAAACTACGCAACCGACTACTTTAAAATTATCGTGTGGATGAGAAACCACCTAAAACTTCAACCCATACTACTATATGGATTGATTGTCCTAAACAGGGACAATTTGATTTTTAGATCCAAAATTATTTGGAATTGAATTAATTAAGTTATCATTATATTTTGAACTGTTTTAGCTTCTAAGGATTTTGCTCTGTATTAAAAAAAAAATAAGATTTTAAAGACTGTCATGTTTTTATTAAAGATTTACCATGCTTACGCCAACCTTCGCAAGAGAACTTTTAATGTTTTTCCAAAAATTGTCTAAATATACAAAAATTAGGTTAAGTGTACCTACTTCTGTATAGGTACACTCACAACACTTTTATATCATGTGAAGCGTGAGCGATACTCGATCTAATCTTCTCTAAAAATAATTAATCTTTTAACTTGATCAAGAAGTAGGTTTTGAAGAGGATTTTGACCAACAAGTGCCTTTATCTTTGAAACAATTTATTTATTTACCATTTAGGGTTAGTACGGTTTGTATTTTTAACAATGTTATCTTTTATTACTAAGCATATATACTGCGTTTCACTTTAAATAGTAACACACATTTTTTTCTGTTTCTTGATCGTAAACTGAAGTTTTGTACTCATTTCTCAATTGTGAACAACTTTCCTTAATACAAGTTCTTTGTATTTTCAACACACCAAGATTTAGAAATTTTGGACAATCAAAGAGACTCGTGTTGGAGTCGAAACTATGTATATGTTACAGCTAATATCCGAAATCCGTTATTATGCATAATAACTAGACATTTTAGGAATTATGCGTAATAACTAAACTTGTCAGTTATTATGCGTAATAACTGAAATTTTCAGTTATTATGCATAATAACGGAAACGTTTGGGTAATATTGATAATAACTAACAGAGGAACAGGAATTATGCACAATATTTTCAAAAAAGCTACCCACTCTGCCTCCCTTTCCCCTACATATCACATGTACAGTTGATTTAAAAAAAACGGGACAAATTACAGTAACAGAAACTTCATATTCCCATTGCTTTTCATTGATCTATGAGAACCTGAATTGCTCATCTTGTCCCGTTTTTTGTGAAATCAGCTATTATGCATAATTTCTGTTCCTCTGTTAGTTATTATCAATATTACCTAAACGTTTCCGTTATTATGCATAATAACTGAAAATTTCAGTTATTACGCATAATAACTGAAAATTTCAGTTATTACGCATAATAACTGACAAGTTTAGTTATTACGCATAATTCCTAAAATGTCTAGTTATTATGCATAATAACGGATTTCGGATATTAGCTGTAACATATACATAATTTTGAAAGTAGGTCTAGGAAGCACCTGAAGGTCGTAAAATTTTTAAAGCAACTTATCAACAGTAACAAAATTAGGGTGCTGTTGCTATGTGAAGTGTGACACCCTGTATTGGAACACTGGTGTCGGAATATTACGAGGACAAAAACATGTTTTTCAAAAGCAGGCACAAACAATAAATTAGTAAACACTTTTGTGATAAGGGTTAGAAAACAACAAGTTATCAAAAATATTACAATGCCTACTAAGGACAATGATTTTATCATTGCACACGGTGCGACAAAAACTAGGTACTTATAGATCCAAAAAAATTGCAGTTTTAATCATTTAATGCCGATTTTTAACTAGAATATGATCTTTTACATATTTAGATCGAAAATTTCAGTTTTTGGATACTTGCTTTGAATTTTTAGTGTTTTTTTCTTGTTGTTAGACTCATTGCGTAAACTTAAATTAACTATAAACTGATTAGTGCTTACTAGGTGCGCACCACTATACTCTGATGTAAGCAGGTACTTTGTTCTATTGTCCACTTAAAATTATTATTAGTTGTAGAAAAAATACATTTCGCAACAGAGAACCTATAAAATATAATGTACCTAACATTTCGACAAAGACATGTCTGCTACGAAACTTCAAAAACGGTTTAATTTGGTCAAAGTTATTTTTTTAACACAATGAAGAATGAAAAAGACAGCTAAATACAGGACGAGATTTATCGATAGCACGGTTTTTTAAATTTTATTTTTATGTAATACCGAGTGGCACGTTTGTTACGCGTGCTCGTGTCAAAATTGACAATCGTGAACTGACATACTAGCACGGATACGAATAATTCACAACTGCCAATATAAAAATTATATTCATCTTATTCGTTTCAGCACTTCATTTCTCAAGACTAACAAGTCTATGTAAAACATAAAAAAAGTTATTTGTTTTGGTACAGAACGTTCCAAAAAAACGAGACTAGGTGAAAGAGAACAAACATTTTTCTGAGCATTCATGTGAAGAGTATAATTTTTTCAACAAAAACTTCGAGATATGTCGAGCACGCATTCTTTTGAACATCGCAGAATTAGTGCTTAGAGTTTCGTCCAAAATTATCCACTATAAGACAGATTGTTCTTATCTGGTACGCCAAGTAAATATATTTCTTGGTTGCTATCCGATCAAACCGTAGCGCTGACAGTTTCACGGTGATTTTCCAAATTTTAATCTTAAGTTGAAATCACCTATAGCTATTGTATGTAGATCCTATAACAAAATATGTTATGATCTGGATGATATATCTTTAGATGTGCATCAGAATATGTATTAAATCGTTCACACCATGTTCGATTGTTATTTATTTTATCTCTAAGGGTGTTCTTAGCATTTTTCTTATTTCTAATAGGTTGTTTATAAAATCAATTTAATAGTTGTGTAATATTAATATGTAAGTTTGTATTTATATTAAATAAATTATATAGTTTTTCGTCTAAGTCCTCGGCTTGTCAGAAATTTAGTTGTTCATTCTTTAAACAATTTTGAAAAAAAAAAACTCTTAAAATGCATTTTTCGCAACATTTACTTCAATTTAATCAATTATTCTGATACTATTAACTAACGTCAGATCATGTCAGACTTAAAGTCAAAGTAGTAGTGAGCTATTTTTGAGCGCATTTTGTGTGTACAATTAGAATTATCAGTTTTAAAGGAAAATTGAAAAGATGAGTCAGATCCAACTACCTAATTTTAAGATGATTAGAATACAATAGTTACTAATAATACAACGAAAGAATTCGCTTCAAAACACTGTCAACATCTTAAATAAATGGCTCAGTTTTGAAACGAGCTTTTCAAATATAAATCCAGTGGGTGTGCAGCTGCAGATATAGGAAAAGTTAGATCCAGATTGCAGTGTTTTTCAAGGAATTCTTGAAGAGGGCCTTTCTCCAATTTTTTTAAAGGTATATTGGACTGGATCATCATTTTACATAAATCGAAATTAAACTGAAACTGCTCATCTTTTGTGGAAGTAGATGCAACAGATTCATGTATGGTCTGCTGTTTAATTTTAGAAACTTCAAACATTTTCTTCCTTTCTACATGAGTCGTTCTGACATGTTGCGTCACGTTATATTTTTTATCACTTTGAATCTAAAACAACGTACATATACAGGATTAACAAAGGAAAATAGATAAAAAAAATTAGTTGGCTTACGGTTTTCACACAAGCTCTGCAGAATATTTTGTTGTGTTCTAATTTTAATTCTGGAAAATCCCTTATCCACGCATCCGGCGTCGATTTTACTTTCGGCATTCTTTTAAAATATTAGCAATATTACCAAAAAGAACTCAACATGTAACGAGGGAGAACCACGTATGACACTGTACTACGACAGATGCGATAGACTGATGGTTGTGAAATAAACGGTTCATTTACTTAAAAGTTTCCATTAGAAAGTTTTAAGGTAGGTAGTTGGGTACAATAATCCTTTTTTCTAGAAAATCTTCAACGGTCTTGCCGCAAAATGCCGAAAAAGAACATCTGGTTAAAAGCTTTAATTCATTATCAACGGAAGTAAGGATTTAAAGTCATAAAATCTATGGAGTATTTTTCCAATCCTATAATAAAATTTTATTACCCAAACGACCGGAACCTATTCACAGAAAGGGTCTTGAATAAGTGTACTTCAATGGTCAAGTCCAGGTAAAATGCATACGATACGATACGGCTAACTAACAAGTATTTGTCATCCCGACAAGGCCGGCATTTGAACAAAATATGCATTAAAACTCATATTCGTCGAAAAAAGCATTAAATAAGCATATAAGTTTTAATATGCATAAAATGGAAAAAAAAGCAAATAAGCATAAAAAAATGTGTCAAATGACTCCAAATTGTATCATAGTTACAGATATAAAACATTTTTGAAGTGCTTACATTTTTCACAAAAAGCATTAAACCTAGAAATCCGCTCCCTAGTTATGAATATACCTCTGTGACTACTAGCACAGTATCTACTGTGACAGTATAGATATCAATTGATATCTATACTGTGGTGCTCCAGTCATGGCAGGCAACCAATTATACCTAATACAAATTCGACTTTTTTAATTTGAACTTTTAATTTTTTTTTTATTTCTTGTTTTCAAGGTTAAATTTTTGAGTTTTGCAATTTTTCGATTTGCAATTTTTCAACTTTTCATTTTTTTGTTTCTTCAGTTTTTCATTTCTTCAAATTTTAGGAAATTAAATTAAGTTAATAATCTAATCCTTATTTTAACTTCTTATCCTGTAATTCTTCTTTATGCGATGTTTAGACAAGTCCTGATGAAGCCGCAAATAAATTAGTGGCGAAACGTGGACTTGAATAAAAAACGAAGAATTTTTGTCGATCCGACCCGCTAAAAACTGAGATTAAGTGACACATATGGATAATAACAACGAAATTAATTTAGAAATGTTAAAAAAGCGTTTTTTATTAAATTTTTTGCTGTTATCGAGTATAAACATTTAACAGTTTTAATTAAACCAGTCAAACTAATTTTTTTCCGTAATTTAACAAGATGTATTTGTCGTTTAATAGAGTCAAGGTTTCCTTGAAAATCTCAAAAATTTTAAGTCCCTTTTAAAATTTTTAAAATTTGCGGCAGCGCCATCTTTGGGATCATAACCTCAAAATTTTGAATATAAATTAAAACAAATAACTTTGTTATGTTTTATGGTGCGATTTTATAATCATAATTTATGCTACAGTTGTCAGCATAGAATTGGTAATAATATTCATTAAACAAATTTATAAAAATAACGATTATAAAATCGTAGAAATTTTACGTTTCTTATGTTACCCTTTTTATGTTGGCCACACTTAACTGTCAGCTGATTCTAACGTCACAGCTGGTGCTTGACTATTTATTTACAAATATTTAAAAAAAGATGTCTGATTCAGACGACAACGCAAATAATCTCCCAGATGGGCAAATGGAGAACGGACACGTGCCCATGGAGGCTCAACCAAGCCCATCGAACGAAAGATATTCAGGTTTGAAGTCCATTCATTGTTATTTCAAGTTTTAGTACGCTAAAAATCTGTTACAGGTCAGGCTTCTGATCAGTTCGACATAGATTTACCGACATCGCATAGGGTAAATCATTTTACGAACATAACCAACCGTACTTACATTCTCTGTTGTAGTATTTAGGAAAACTGGACAATGTAACAGGCTATGCGTTCTATGATGATGGAGAAGTAACCACATTGGCGGCAATTCAGACCAACACGCTTGTTTTCCCAGGTTTTACTCTACCTTTGGTTTTGAATAACGATTTGGAGATCAATATGTTACAAAGACACACACTGAAAAAGAACGCTTTTGTTTTGCTCACTCCCAAGTAAGTGCACTTTAAACACGTAATGTGGTTAAACATTTTTTTAAATCATTTGTAGCAAGACATTCAAGGGCGTGTTTCCGTATGGAGTCATCATGGAAATTTTCGAGACGCATCTCCGCAACGACGTTCTCTACTTAAAGGCCCGAAGTAGGCAAAGGTGCAGGTTGGTCCCAGGCAAAGAAATAAAAACCTTGATTGGCGAACTCTACCAAGTCACTGTAGAAGTCCTCTTAGAACCAACCATCACCTCACCCATCAACTGCACACAATTAAGCTCTCTAAAAGCGCGCCGAAGTTTCCAATCCTCAGAATATCGCGAATTTTACAAGTATCGCAAATACAGACAATACCATCTCTCTCAGTTCCCTTTGCCCGGTTGGGTGTACGACAAGCACGAGATCTGTTTCCTGATGGATCAACTGATCCAAGGATTATCCAACTACTACTTGATAGAATTCATACCCGACGATCCTGTACAGTTGTCCTACTGGTTCGTGCAAAACTTTCAACTGAGACACGAGGAAAGACTGAGAATTATGGTGACGCGGACGGCCATCGAGAGGCTGCGTCTCGAACTCAAATTTTTGAATATGAAAAGACTGATTTGTTGTGCGAATTGCGACGCCGAAATTGCCCAACAGAACAACGTTTTTCCGATGTCGAAGGACGGGGTCCAGAGCAACTACTGCAATCCAGGTGGATACGTGTATGAGACGGTCACGGTGTCAAAGGCGACGAATTTTAATTTGATTGGGTCCCCGTCGGCGCAGTTTTCCTGGTTTCCGGGGTAAGTTTTTACTCTGAGTAATTTTTCAAAAGTTTTCGTTTTGGGTTAGGAAGTTTTTAATTTTGACTAAAGTTGATGTTTGTTTATTCAGGTACTCTTGGACTATAATGCAATGCAGAATGTGCAGTGCTCATCTTGGATGGAAGTTTTCTTCAGTTAACTTGAAACCGGACACATTTTATGGCCTCGCCAAGAGTGGCTTTGACGTGAAAATCATCTATGAAGAGAACGAAGCTTTGTAATCAATTAAGGCCAAAAGTAAGATTAAACTTATTCTGTATGGTTTTTTGTTCACTTGGCTGGATTAGGCTGTGAAAGTAGGTGTAGCCTACTTAAGTAAGGTCTGGGACGTGTGGCGCCCTTTCTGTAATTTATTCAGCGCAAACAAGCAATAAATGGAATTTATTCATTGTAAAAGTTGTATCGTTGAACCCGGCATTGAATTTAAACCTCGTTTCACGTATTTAACAATTTCGTAAGGAATTTCAGTATTGTATTACAGTGTTACAAAAATTGTACACACTTGTGTTTCAGTGCATAAGTGGAAGTTAAGGGGGGCGTCTGCGCGCCGGTTTTAGCACTTTAGGAAAGTCCATTGTAAAAGTCCGAGAGGCGCTGCCCCTGGTGGTGAGTTATTGAAAATATTGGTAACGGTGGAACTGTTGTACAGATTTTTTTACGTACCTCTTCTACGGAAATCAATTTTAGTACATTTTGCGCACTGCTCAAACCAACACAATTTTCTCAATTTTTCGCATGTCTGTTAATTATTACTTTTTATATAAAATTTTCAGATTTTCGTTTCGTGGTTTGTTGTTGAGCTGGGTTTATTTGTTAATTGTTGTAGATGGGTGAGAAGGAAGCATTTTTTTTCTTTCAATCCCCTAATATGATATTACAGTGTGTATAGTAGAAAATAATATTAGTGTATGCTATTTAAAAAACCATACCATAATTGAATGCGAACTAGTATTTTTTAAGTTCTTGTAATTAAGATCTAATTCGCTCTATTTCGAATTTTGAAATCATCTGTGAAACTGTATAAAATGTCAGTTATTTGTAAATCCGGGTAAAAATATTAAAATAATTGCTATAAAATTTCTTTTTCAATATACTGTATGCTTGAAGTCTCTTTGATTTAATTTGTGTTAATTTAAAATGATCAGAAATCGAGAAATCGCGGAGAAATACTACAGCAGATAGACCTAAATATCTAACTCATTTTTATATAGACTAATCACAATTTTTTTAACCAAAAATTGTCAGATATTAAAATAGGACAAAACCAGATCAGACGCAAGCCGTGATGAAGCACAAGGGAGTAGATATAAGATGACCTAGAAACTATTTAGATTTTATTTATAAAAAATAATAAAGCGATTATATACATGTTTTACGATAACTGACAATACCATAAATAATGTAGCTGTGAAGAATAAAAAAATCTCAAACAAAAAATAGAATTAAATATAAACAAAAATAAATAAAGCGTCTTGACCATAAAATTCTGAGGTCCAAGGAATGACAATTTATTCGTATATTTACAAAACTTCTGAAACAGTGACACATCCTTTCCAGAACCTCCTATACAAACCGAAAAAAATTATCACCTTAATAAATTACAAATTGATCGAGTAAACAATATTTACATGAAAATCCTTTCAGTCTTGAAAAATCTGCCGAAGAAAAAGACAACTATGTATACTATTTACAAAAGAAAAAAATTTTGAGCGTGTCCTCGGTTGGCCCGTCTTACGGCGGCGTGTGACCTCTATTATTCCTATTGTTCCTGTTTCTAAAGTTTCTATTGCCATTATTCCTGTTGAAGTTGTTCCTCCCTCTCCTCCTATCCCGATTGAAGTTCCTGTTGTCCCTGTGCCCGAAATTATCCTGCCCCGGATAATAGTCATCGAACCCACCCCCGAAATTGTTGTTATCAGGAAAATTCCCGAACTGTGGTCCGTTGTTCATGTTGTTCATCATCCCGCCCCCGTTCCTCGGGTCGAAATTCATCGGGAAATCCCCCGGAATGTTGGGGATCCCCGGCGCCGCCCCCAACAGCCCCGGCTGCACCATCTGGTTCATCATCCCCGGATTCTGCCGTATAACCATCGGCCCCGGAGGGTTGTTAGCCATAATCGGCTGGTTCAGCTTGTTCACGTTCGCCAGAATGTTCAAAGCGGCCCCCATGTTCGGATTCGCGGTCATGTTCTGCGGAATCAGATTCAGAGTCGACAACATGCTGTTCAGCACAGGGTCGTTGAAGCCGTTCTGTTCGCTCTTTGTCGCCAGCTCCTGGTTGAGCAGCAGCTTCTGATTGCTAGTGAGGCTCTGGAAGAAGGCGGAACTCTGGAGGATGTTCAGCTGCTGGTTATAGCTCAGGTTGTTGGTGTCCGGCTGCTTGCTGTCTTCGATTTTCTTGAGCCGGGGATCGATGCGTGTGGAAGCTTTCGGGGAGGCTTTGGGGCTCGCGGGGCTGTCTTTCTCTTCGGTGCTCAAACGGAAAATCTTCCTCAGCCGCGGATCGCCCGTTTTCTCCGCGTCTTGGACGTTGAGTTTGAGGCCGGTGTAGTCGGGCCGAGGGATGTCGACGATTTCCACTTTCCACGTCTAAAAAGTCAAAACGTGTTCATAATTCGTTCGCTATCCACACTCCACTTACCATCGGAGGATGCGAGTTGACGCTCGCGTCGATTTCCTTCGCCGGCGTATAATTCAACATCCCCTTAAACGGTAAATGTAAATTCCTCAAATCCACATCGGGTCTTCCCCGGATGTCGGTGTCCACCACCTCGTCGGGGCTCCGAGGCTCCGTTTCCGTACACGTAATACTGCCTTGTTCATAAATACTAATCTTTTGCTCAGTCGATGGTTGCTGCTGCGACGCCTGCTGCGACCTCAGTTGTCTCGGATCTCGAATCGCTGGCTTCGGCGCTTCTTTCTGTTGACTCATCGAAGTCAACAACTTCGTAACTTCTGCCGAAATATCAATTTTCGACAGATCTCCCAGTTTCTCTACGACCTCTTGAGGCTTGATCTGTGTCGGACTCATGATCGTGCACTCGCTCCCTTCCTTCTTCTCTTCTTCGTTGTCAACTTTGATCGTCAGACGATTCTCGTCTTCGTCGTCATCATCCGAGTACCTTTGAAAAAAATTAGTCGAAGATTATTTCGACAGAACTTCTCTCGGCCATAAAGTACAGTAAATACATCAAATCCACTTGTTCCGAAAAATGGTAAGATTTGATTTTGCGAATTTTATTTTTTATGATAACCCTAAGTAAAATAAGGTATTACGGGTTTGTTTCACGTTAGTTTTTCCATTAGAAAATTTTGTGATGTAAATTTATTTCTCGAGTTTTCAGTTTTTAGATTCTCTAATTTTTTATTTCTTCGATTTTACGATATGAAACTCCTCTAGTTTCCATTTTTAAATTTTTCACCTTTTCGATTCTGTAACTTTTGGATGTTTCAAATTTTAGATTATTCAATTTTTCGTATCGGTCTTTTTTTATTATAAAAAAAAACCGGTTTTTCAATGGTCTAATTTTATTATTATTATTCTTTTTTTCAATGTAAAATTTTTCAATATTTGGATTTCTGAATATATCGATTTTTCAACTTTTAGATTCTTCGATTTTTCAACTTTTAGATTCTTCGATTTTTCAACTTTTAGATTCCTCAATTTTTGATTTGCAAGTTTTCTAGTTTTCACTTTAAATATGTATCTAATAGTTGTTATGATTGTTAAAATTGTTCACTTTTTTATTTTACGATTTTTCAATTTTTAGATTTTCCAATTGTTTGATTCAATTCATTCATTTTTTTCCCCCAAAAAATGAAAAATTGCAAATCGAAAATTTGAAAAATTAAAGAAAATGAAAAAACGAAAAATTGTAATATCAAAAAATTTCTCTAAAAATTTCATTTTTTATGATAACCCTGATAAGTAAAATAAAGATATTACGCGTCATATTTTAGAGAGGAATTATTCGGCAAAATTTTGAGATGACGTCATAAAGTTCTTGAGAGGGGATAAACGACTAAATTTAGATTAACGATTTATGATGCTTACAAGATAACCTTAAAACGTTTGCAGGATTTCAGAGTATGTATTCGGTTTTCAAAGTTAAGTTGCTGTTATACAATTTTGATTTTTTTTTCCAAAAATCTGAATGTCTAGGATGGATTTATACATCGCAAGTGCAGGAGTATTTTATTTTATAACAAACAAAATCAAATTTACTATTGTCAATTTTGGAGATTTTATCATCTACATGATAGTCGTAATATACACACAAAATATGATAACAATCGATCTAGCAGTTTTGAAAATTATTATCTGACTAATAAAAATACGGACAAACGACAGACAGACGGAAACCAGAGACCATTTTTTTCGTACTCTAGAGGTCGGACACGTCGAGAAAATATGAAAGCAGCTTTAGCTTAAGCTCGGATAGTAAAAATTTAAATGTATCAGTTGTTTAAATTTCGTGTTAAAGCCTTACCAGTTGATGTTCTCATCCACCTCCACACTCTCCTGTGCCTGTTCGGGCAAATTCGTCTTCTGCTGCGACTGTATCCGCATATAGAGCTCCCTCTGCGTCTTAGGCAAATCGGCCGGCAGCCCTTCCCCGCTCTCCCCAGTGTCAATCTGCAATCTGTTTTCGTCCTCGTCGAAGACGGGCGGAATCTGCCGAATATCCACGTCCTTACTAGCCAGAATCTGTTGCCGAATATCCACGTCCTTCGTATCGAATTGCAACATGTTCGGATTACGGATATCTATGTCTTGGGTGAAATTGTTCGTGTCAGCGTCAACGTTGGGCTCTTCGCCCGCCGCGCCCATCATGGGCGTCTGGGGGGCGATCTGAGTCAGAGGAGGCAGCGTCCGCATGTCGATGTCGCCGTTGCTGTTGATCCTCATGTCTTGGTCCTGAGGGGTGTAGAAAGGCTTGATGGGGAAATTCGACGGAGGCGGCTGGGACGTGTCCATGGGTTCGGGGTCCTGCCACCGCGACGGACGGTTGCGGGAGGGCTTGTCGGATTTCGGCTTAGCGAAGGCTGGAAAAAGTCACAGGCTTTTTATTGGTGTTTTGACCAAAGATTTTTTCGCTTACCGTCAACGTTCGCCTCCAAAGGTGCAGGAACGTTGATGTCGAACACGTTCGCTACGCCTTTGTCGTCCTTTTCGCATCCGTACTGACCCATCAGGCTCTGTTGCGCTATGTTGATTTTGTTGAGCGCTTCTTCGCGGCTCATCCTGGGGAATCCTCCTAGGATTTCGCGAGGCGCAGTTTCGATGTGCTTGAAGAGGATCTGCTTGCGGTGTTCGTCCAAAGGTCCTCCATGCGCAAATTTGCAGTTTTCGGCTTGGAGGCACACCAGGCCCGTGTGGTAAAATTTACAAGGGAATTCAGAGTGCATGTACGAGCACTTTTCGCCTTTGGCGCAACAATCTTTCAGGTAAAATTTACACAGCTCTAGTTTCATGGGGGGCATGGCTTCGTGCGAGTACGGGCAGTCGTTCTGGAAAACGTTTTTTAAGCGATTTTTTTTCTAAAATTATATTAAATAAAAATATGTATTTTGTAATATATGAAAAAAGTTAGACGTAACTTTACCGTTTTTCAAATTCCGGTTATTCTAGTTACAAAAAATATTAACAACGCACGACATGACTATTTATACCACATGTTTCTTTTACTTATTTGACACAACCCCTGTAATTATTTTCTTTTTAAAGATAAACATATAAACGTTCTTTGAGCAAATTTGTTTCATTTTAAAAGATCACTTATGTGAATAAATGACATGAGTGTCAATTTTTGAAGCTACTAGACTGTCATCAATAAATATGAATGGCTGTCATATATCAGTATTTGCCATACGCGAGTTTCATAAAAAATTCTGAACACTGACAACGCAGTTAACATTAACGTACCTTCTGGCATTTGCCTTGTAAGAAGAACACGCAAACACCCTGTTGATCCTTGAACTGCGGTTGATCAGGCCGCCTCTCCCGACTTCTTTTTCGATTCCGTTCTCGACTTCTTTTACCCTTCTTATAATCTCTCTTCCTTCGATCATCCCCTTTGCTCCTGTCGGAAGAATATTCCGAATCGTACGAATCATCGGATCGTGTAGGAGACACCGACTTGTCCTTCTTGTTATCGTCGGACTTTGGGCTCCCGCCTCTAACATTCAAAAATTCGTTCTCATCCACATCTTCCGACTTGGGTGAATCCAATTTCCGCTGTTTGCTACCCTTCTGTCTGTCTTTATCGCGACTTTTCCTCTTTCTACCTCTCTTCTCTTCATCCTTCTCCTCATCGCTCGCGTGCTTATCTTTTTTAAGGACGCTAGCGATGGCCTTTTCGATGTTAATGGCGAAATCATCGACTGCTGGAAACAAATACCCTAGAGAGAACTTTTGAAAAACAAAAACAATGCTCTACAGTCGACTATTTCCCGAACTCTTCTACCACATTATTGTTTATTATTAGCAACTGTATTTACTACCTGGTGCGTCCATATTCTGCTCTTTCCTGAACTTCTCATACTTCTCCCACTTCTCCCTCTGCATCCTCTCCCTCTTCCTCAAATGCAGGATACTCTTCTCCGCTTCAGTCATGTGTTTTTTCTTGTCTTCGTGCCTTCTCCTTTCCGATCTTTCGTGCCTATTCCTCTCGATTCCGCGTTCGATTTTCTCCTTTGGAGGTTGCGTCTGCTCGATTTCTTTGGGTTTTTCGGCTTCCGGAGGCGGGACTTCATCTTCGCCGTCGTCTTCGATTTCTCCGTCTTCCAAGTCGTTTTCTGGAGCGAGTTCTGCAGCTGCCGGCTCTTCAGAGGCTGCGGGGGTGGAGCTGGAGACATATTTGAATTAGGCGCGTTTGTTTGTTTTCGCGGGATAGGCGCGGGCACGGTGTGGAACAGTGGCTCTCAAACTTTGTTTCGCAACGACCAATGTTCAAATTGTAAAAATCTATTTATCTAATTTTCGTATGTACTTTGAAATAATCACAATCTTAAGGTGGAACATTTTTTAATTACAAGAAATTGATTTGTTTCAAAGTTTTTGAACTTCCTCACCTAAAGTGGCTGTCAAGAATTTTTTTCGTTCCTCTCGAGTTCAAAATTATCTTAAGTAATAAGTGAGACATTAACATATTCATACTATAGTGAAAAAATTTTAAAATTGAAAAGTTGTGTCTACACTCGTTTCGCAAATGTCCGAGAATATTTTTTCATTATCAAACATGAATTCTGATAAGATAAACCAAAAATGGGTGATAAGAAGTGGCTGAATTTTAAATTTCCATTTTTGTAATATACCTATAACTATATTTATCTTCGCTATTTTTTTAGGTAGTGACGTATGCATTTTTTTGTCATATTCTTCTATATTGAGTACGAAATGACACTTACATTATCATTTTATAATTTGGTGACTGACTAAAAAAACATATATATTAAAAAACTAAATTTGACCGGTTGTTCAAAATGAGCATAAATATGGTTTTGACTAAATTTTTCTTTTGTTCGTTGTGAGATTAACATTCGGGATTAATGCTAGTAGCAATCTATAAATGGGCAAGGCGAGACGCACATTTCATTCCTCTTTTTGACAATAAGTATTTTTTCTCTTAGTTATCAACTGTCATGCTTTTATTAATTAAAGAAAAATAATTATAATCATGTAAGTAAGACTACATTCGAATATTTTAATGGAATTCCGTTAAGAGGAGTCGCTACGTTTGGCTCTTATGATGTTATCAATGCATTTTCAGAATGTAATATCTCCATTATTAACATACTTACTGTTATGAAATTTTAAATGTAACCTGTCCAAAACTTTCACTATATAATGCGAAGGCAGTTTTTTTAAACAGTTTATTATCACATATTTTTTAAATTTTGTTGCAATTTTTGCATCACGTATTTTAAAAAATAAATATTTCACTTATTTATGGAAATTTTTGGACGCGGTTTCTACCACTGCTTATGGCTTACAAAACTTTAAAATCGCATCAAATATATTTTCCACTTTATTTATTGGAATTGAGTACAGTAAAAAGAGGCCTCTCGCAGCTTCTACGACGCAAGCTTTTTTTAATCTATCTCGTTTCTGTAAGCTGGAAACAGTGTTGAAAATCGCGTTCCGAAATTTCCCTAAATAATGAAGATACAAAAAAAAAGGTGATCACAAACAAAGCTGCCCTTGCGTTACATAAAGAAAGTTGTGGATAGGTCATATTTAAAATTTCACTACCGTAAGCCTATTAATATAAATTATATTTTGAAAATGTACCGAAAATTCCATGCAGAAAACGTAGCGACTGGCCTTAAGTGACCCACATTATAAAGTAGAACATCCTGTATATGTTACAAACTTGCTTTTTGCCATATGCGGGCACCCAAAGCAATTACAATAAATAATTCATGAATAATAAACAACTCACAACTAATGCATATGGAAATTACAACTGTTTTTTGTTTAACTTTTCAGACTACCGAATCACCGTTATACGAGTATTTTATTTTATTTTCTACTGTAACTATGATTAGAAAAACTGCGCCCGTAGATTTAGGTGCAACGCTTAATTTCACACAAAATGTAGTAGAAATAGAATTTTGATTAATGATAATATGTTGAACTACACGCATTAAAAAACGACTCCACTAAATTGAAAAGCTTATGTAAATTCATAACTTTTCAATTTAAACAGATCAATTTACAAAGTGATGTTCTATTAAGCAACTTTAAAAACCAGCCACTTTAAATTGAGAAATCATTTATGCCTGTAAATATATTTAATGTTTCAAACCGATAAAAACATTCGCTTTGTAAAAAAAGTTCAATCTTCATTGAAATATACTAGTCTTTCTCAAAATGACATTGAGAATAACAAAAATGCAATTTTCAGAGCATGCTCAATTTGAAGGTCACCCGTAAAAATATTTTGGGACACAATGTACACTGTACATCTGGAAAAATCATAACCCAAATAAGAAGAGCTTAAGAGCAAGGGTGCTGGACTGAGTTTTGTAACAAAATGTATCATTATGCGTGGCTGTTGGAAAATTGTCTTTATATTATTCATTTCTTTTATCAAATGTCATTTTCTTTCCTATATGATAGCTTGTCACCAATGTGCCAGTTTATTTTATTATTGTGGAAGTGTTTGTAAATATTAAAAAAAAATAAAAAAAAAAAGAGAGACACTTTCCATCGGTCATCCATAATGCGACACCTGCATAATAATAACCAACACCATCCTACAGCTATTATATGCCAATGAGGTTATCAAAAAGCAAGGAAATACGAACATCCGAAGATTTAGGACGTGGCAGTATCCACCTTAATTATAATTAATTAATTAATTTAAATTTAGCCGCTTAGTAACATACCTCTGGTCTGTTAACTTTTGCAAATTTCTCAAAACAGCGGTCCTTAGCGCTTCGCAATGCCTATATGGGGATGAAAATCAAAAATAATCGAATAATATACATAAACCCACGTACTACGGTTTTCCGGCGAATCAGATCCACGAACAAATTCAAAATTCCCGCCTTGTCAAGGTCACCGTGTCAAATTCAGCGACCTTGCCAAGCCAAAAATAATGAAATGTTCACGTGATCCCAAACGACGGAAACGACCCGTACAAGGTTTCGTTATCAATATGATAATTATATACGGATCGATTTCGGCCATCGATTGACAGTTTGAGAGCCACTGACTCGATTACTCAGCGATGGCCGTGTGCAAATTCTCGTCTTTGGGGGCGACTCGATAAAAGTTTATCGTCGAGAAGGTCGATAATTGTAAAAACGATTTAAAAAAAAAAGGGTAAATAGTGGAAATCCCACACCACGTTAAATGAGAAATTTTCGGGTTATTACAAAGCGACAAAGGCGAAAACCGTCAAGTGTGCGTGTACGAGAATTGGCACACGGCCATCGCGGCGGCCATCTTGTCAATGATAACACAGCAATTTTTATCACTTCTTCGTCCAAGAAATATGCCAAAGGCCGTCGATGGCGCAATTTCCACTGTAAAACAGAAGTTAGATTGATAATCGTGTTACCTTGCAAAAAAATTCCCGACATGTCAAATGACGCGTCGTTTTTTAGGGCGTGACCCCGCGCAAAATCAAGTGGAAATTTTCCGCGCAAAACGACGATCTTTAACATATTTCAGGGCTCGATCTCGAGACGGCGATTTTCCGTGTGTGGTAATTTCTGGGCGGAAAAATAAATGCAAACCTTTCGATATCACATACGAGCGCCATTGAACCTAATTATATGATCACTAGGCAGGATAATTGTGATTTTATGGCATGAAAATAGTCACTCATTCACTGTTTTATCTGTCCTGAAGTGTCGTCGTCGGCGTTTCGGTGGTTAGGACAGACATTTAGGCAAGTTTTTACGCATAGTTTTCATATTTTAACCGACTGTTCGCTTTGGCGTAGAGACCACAAATGATTTTCTACGCAGGAAGGAATTTCGATATCGAACGTGTCATCGAGGGACTCGGACCAATCACGAGCGAGAATTCGCTGTTGCCAAGCGCCCGGTGACCCCGATTTCTCGCTCGGCGCACGCGATTTTGCGCCTAATCGCCACCGCACCTAGGGAACTACCCTTGATTTTTACACTTTTTCGTCGATAATTACCACAGAGATTGATAAATCGACAAAAATTGAACTACTTTTTGATTAACAAAAACCTTGAATTTGCGAAACAAATGAGCGGTTGGTCTGGGGGCGATTTTGCGAGCGTTGTTGTATTTTGGAGCAAATTTACCTCGAATTGTTGATCGAGGGTTAAAATGTGTTGTGGAAGACACATTTTCTGAAAAAGTTAAAACGGTTTCATGAGTTTTTCCGGGTTTCTTTGTTGAATTGACGATTTTTGGAGGCGGAGCGTCATCTAGTGGTGAAAAGTTACGTTCATGTGAACTTCAGGGTAGGAATCTGCCTGGAAGACAGTAAATTACAAAGGTAATTATTTTAATTTATGTTAAACTCCGCTTTTTTGCTTTTTTTTAAGAAAATAAATCCTTCTTTTTATCTGGTAAACAATGTGCCCTACTTTTTTGAAATAAACGAACAGCAGCAGGTGTAAGATTTACTTAGGAGCAATGAAACGTTAAATTATAGTGACGGGTTCCTGTACCTTTTTTTCGACCATTTATCTTTATTCTATTTACATTTTGTTGTTTATAAATAGAGAGAATATGGATGACATATGTCGACGGAGTATTTTTATTTCTTGAACATTTTCTCGACGTTTCATGGCCTTTAGAATACAAGAAAAGTGGTCGTCCATTTCCGTCTGTCTGTCGATCTATCGCCTGAATCAGTTTTTATTAGACACACAATCTCTGAAACTACTGCACCGATTGCTGTCAAATTTTATATGTATATGATGATGTCATGTCCAAAATTTTCAATAACATATTTTTTACTTCCTGTTTTCACCCTAGACATCCAGATTTGTGGGAAAAAAAATCAAATTCGTACAACATTTAAAAAATTAACTTTGAAACTGCAAAACCGAGTGCTCTGCAACTGCAAATGTTTAAAAATTATTGTAATCAGGGTCAATCGTTAATTAAAATGAATTCGTTTATCCCGTCCCAAAAATTGATGACGTTATCTCAAATTTTGCCGAATAAATCCTCTCTGAAATATGCAAAATATTATGACTCTCCATTCGTAGTTTATCAATGCACTCATGGTTTTTAGAATTGCTTATTGTATTGATTAAATCAGGAACGACTGATTCCATTTTTCCGAAAATTTGGGAACACAGCACTATTATTATTAGTATTACACTGCATCTACCCAAATTGTTACATGTGTCCTTGTAAAAATAATAACAAAATAAATAAAATTCGTTTATGATTTTTCGAAAAATCTGGATTTATTTGCCTTCGGCCAATTTTTTTATTTAGTTTTTTCAATTTTTCGTTTTTCCATTTATTAGTTTCTTAATTTTTCGATTTTACAATTTTTTGATATCACAATTTTTCGTGTTTTACTTGTTCTTCGATTTTATCATACTTTGATTTCATAATTTTTTCGTTTTTCATTTTCTTTTTTTTTCAATTTTTTCGATTTTTCAATATTTCAGTTTTACAATTTTCCCACTTTTTGATTTCCATTTTCTCGATTTATATATCACAATTTTTCGTTTTTTCATTGCCTTTGTTTTTTCAGTATTTCTTTCGATTTTTCGTTTATTCAATTTTTCAAGTTTTCATTTAATATATACTTGTTCATTTTTGATTTTTCAATTATACGATTTTGCAAATTGTAAATCTAAAAGCTGAAGATACAAAAGAAAAAGAAAAGTTGAAAAATTCAAGTTAAAAAATACGTAAATAACACCATTGGTTTTTTTTTTCGGGCTTAAATTTACCTAGAAAGTGTTTGTAACAGATTAAAAATTACAGTCGGAAAATATAAATACAACTAGAAATCTTACACATATTCTCATCACAAATTGACAAAACATTTACTTTTTTGTATTTTATCTTCAAACCGTAAAACCCCGTAAATTTAGGATAAGTACTTGTAAAACCTGCAGATTTTCCAATTTCTATAAATGAAATCACTGATAACTAATCAGGCTCATGTACCCGAAAATAATTGAGTCATCGTTGAAAAGGTGACATTATGAAAACGACGCACTGACACGATAAATTTTCTGTTTTAACTAGTTGTACAAACAAAATTTGAATAACCAGAAAATAGATTGTCACACATCAGAATCAACAACACACACGCCAAGAATACTAGGAAAAGTTACTATTGATTTTTAATTAGCAAATGCGTAAAAGCAATTGTTTTTGTTACGATTGTTAAGAATTTTAATTTTTAAAAATCCGATTCAAAACGATGAAAACTTTAATTACCTGCGTATACGAATTCTAAAAATACCCCGCAACATATTATCATCGAATAGGTTTTTTAGATACGATCGTCTATTTTTGCAACATTCCAGCTTTATTTGCGTCTAGAGTTTAGAAACCGAATTTTTAATAGCGTGTAACTGAACTTTGGGTATAACTGTTTTAGTGAAAAAGACAGATGTTGTTTCCACGAACATCAAGGTCATCGTATATCAGCTGATAACATTTGCATAATAATATTGATTTATACAGGAAGACAATTGTTTAAAGTGTAACGCAAATTTATCATTACTAGGAATTAGGTGTTTCACAGAAATGTACGAAAGATTACGGATTACCCAGTTTTGATAGCCGAATTTCATTGTTGGCGCGATAATGCGGCTTAATCTATAACGCGGTGTTGTCATTCGCACGCCCTATATGGCAACAGCGCATGCGTTCAATCAGGGGAATTACCACTTTATCTGCTGCTATTACGCCAGTTGCAACAGTTGCATGCGATGTTCAGTTCACGCAGTTGTGTATGCGAGGTCATCTATCAAGTCTGTGATTAGTGCATCGTGTGCATCCAGAAGTTTTAAACTCGGCGTAAATTTAAACCGCCAAAATTAGTGACATTCTCCTGTCAGCGAGTTTTCAAAAATCCGCACAGTTCGTCCCGGGTTACGCAACGCGTATCAGAAAAATAATTTCGCGACATCACTGCATGTATAATTAGATTAAGAGAGTATAGCGCAAAAATCAGTCAGAGAAAATACCTTGGCGATAAATTTAGATCCGTACAGTCATTGGCGGGACTTTGTCAAACCTAAAAATAGGTTTACGGTCTGTTCTTTCTCAGTGCATTCACACGCGCTTTGCAAAATTCTCGCGAAAATCGTGGAAAGTGCTGTCCCAGGATGAATGGCCAGACCGAGCATGAAATCTGCGGAAACTGGTGAGTTGGTAACAATAAACGTCGTAATCGGTAGTAACGTCGCAAGTTTGCGGCAGTTACTTGAAATTCCGAGTTCGTGGCGAGGGAAAGAAGTTGAATTCTAGAGTCCTAAACCTTTGCGATGTTGTATCTAATCTTGGATAGAGCGTTGTCCAAGTTAAGTGTCTTGTACCAGTGGCGTAGCGTTAGATTTTACTGCTTCTGCTCACTACTGTGTAGCAAAGTGCATAGATACTTGATTTTTTAGCATTTGTTCACAACTGTGAAGATAAATAAATACAAAATGTAATCAAAATGTAAAATTGAGTGAGAGATAAGAGTGGCCTGCTGCCAAAATGTTACCGTTTAGGATGTTTTTAGACAAAGGTAGGCCATCTAAATCTATTAATTTGGTTGGAAACTGATTTCGTAAATGCAGAGATACCTAATGAAAAATGAAATTTATCATGTTAGGTAAAGGGGAATGCCAGGCGACAGACAAGTTTGAATTGGGCGCCATTTGTTGCCTTAAACGCAACCAGCAATTCTTCTTTAAATCTACCTGACGCGCTGGGATAGACGCCTACCGGACGTGGGTCAAAAAACATCGTAAGCCGATAATGAAGAATAATGATAATTTATGACAGGCTGTCACAACATACCTTCAGCACAGAATAATCATTTCTCGTATTCTTTTGACATATTAATTTTAATATTCGAGATAATTATTATGTTATTCAAACACAATTTAGACACTGTAGAGCAAACAAGGCTTATCAAGCCCGTCTATTATTTTATTCGCCTAAATGTATTATTAATACCGTTTTCTTGTTATTTAGATAAGGGAACAAATTAAATGCACAGTTCTATTTTTAAACGCTCTGTATTTTTGCTCGGTAAAAATGATAAATGCTAAGTTATATAATAAATGCTCAGTTAAAAAATAAATTCTCAGTAAAAATAATATATGCTTGGTGAAATAATAGCTGCTTAGTTAAATTAATAACTGTTCGGTTAAATAAGGAATGCTTAGTAAGAACCCGTCAAGTGCAGCACAACAAATAATACTCCCGCAGAAGGCGCAAATTGAAAAATGAAATATACTTAAAATAGACAACAAATCGGAAAAATCGAAAAATCAAAACACCCAAAAATCGAAACATTAAAAAATCAAAAAATCAAAATATCTGAAAATTGAAAATCTAGAAATTGAAAAGTTCTCAATATTCAAATCCTGAAAAATTGAGTATTGAAAACTTGAAAAATTGAGAAATCCAAGCATCAAAAAATAGTAAAATTGAAAAATGTAAAATTTAAAAAATCCAAAAATTGAGAAATAAAAGAAAAGAAAAATCAAAAATTTAAAAATTCGAAAAATTGAAAAATTAAAATATCGAAAAATTGAAGAATTGGGAAACACCAAAAAAATCAAAAAAACAAAAATCTAAAATTCAAAAATCAAAAAATTGAACACTCGAAAAGCCAAAAAGTCGAAAAATCGAAACATCGGAATGTTCAAAAACTGAAACATCGAGAAATCAAAACATCAACAGTAGAGGAGTCAAAAACTCAAAAAATTAAGAAATCAAATTAGACCAAAATTGAAAAATCGAAAAGTTAATTGAAAAATTGAAACATTTTAAATGAAAAACAAAAATCGGTAAACCGAATAATTGAAAATCTAAAAATCGAGAAATTGAACAATCTAAAAATTAAACAATTTAAAAATCGAAGAATTGGAAAACCAAAAAATCTAAACCGAGAACTTGAAAAATCGAATAATCGACAAATCAAAACATCAAGGAAACCAAAAAAATTAACGGAAAATCGAGAACTTAAAAATTGGAAAATTAAAATACCTATCGAAAAATTGAAACCCGAGAGAAACATTGAAAAATTGGGAAATGGAGAAATGGAAAAATAAAAAAAATCGATCTAAAGAGTTTGGACAGTACTTCCCTCGCTATCGGAAACGTGACGACTGCATGCCTATTATGCAAATCCAAAAAACATGAATGGAATGATAAATCACAAGAAGAGACTCATCATATTTTATACATTTTAGATTGGATTTATTCAGCAAAATTTTGGGGTGGCGTCATCCATTTTTTAGGAGGGATGAGCAAATATGTTTTGATCACAAATTTACCATGCTTATAATAAATTTAAAACATTTCCAAGTTTTCAAAGCAATCGGTTTTGTAGTTCCTGATTAAATTAATAAAATAAATTTGGGCATTCATTAAATTTTTTGAGTCACCATACATATCCGAATCCAAAAAATATGAATGTAATGATAAATTACAAGAAGAAACTCATCATATTTTGTACATTTTAGACAGGATTTATTCAGCAAAATTTTGAGGTGACGTCATGAATTTTTTAGAGGGGATAAGTAAATATATTGTGATTAAAACGGTCCTGGTTTAATAACAAAAAAATATTGCTACTGGGCGTAGAGCTTTTTTAAAACACCTCCTTTCTAAGTAGATACACTTAGTTTCTATACGTGTTAAACAAAAGCTGTAGGTATTTTATATATTTTTTATTATTATAAATATGTTCATTAGTTTTATTAATTAACACAGCAAAATATATATTAACAATAATATTACAATGAATTTTTAGTAACCATGTGTATTGAATTCAGGATCCTGAGTGGAGTAAAAATATTATATATATATTATATTATTTAAAAGTTAATTTCCTTAACAATAGATTACTACGGCCGGTCCTGGCGGCTTGTTATAAAACTGAGTTCCTTGCCATAAATTAGAAAAATCAGCCGAGAACGCTAACAATCAGCTTATGGTAGAGCAGGCGATAAGGGTTTTTCCTGGAAAGTCGCTTCCGTAAATTTCAGTGGCGCTCCTATCGGCAAAGTACTGAACTAACGGCTCAAAATCTGTCGAATTGATACCCATTTTTTCAATAATTGTTAGTTTTTGTTAAAAACTTTGCTAACCAATAAATCATTAATTTTCCTTTGATATTCCTGCTAAAATTATTCGACGTATTTTGCATTAATTTGTGGTATATTTTGATTTTAATAAACACATTATTATTTAAACAAATTGTACCACTAACAAACATTTAATGACTCTGCGGCCTGTAAAAAGTGATGTTTTATCCATGTGCGAATTTTCAAGCGATTCTGTTATGGTTATGACTCAAAAAACTTGAAAAGAAAACATACAATGGTGCTTTTTTTACGATATTCCCCAGCTATATTTTTTTAATTGATTGAACTGGTCTCTGCGCTCTAGAATACGAAAAAAGCTGCAGTTTGATGTATGATACATCTATATTAATATCAATTTTTCATACAAAAAACAAAAAAAATGTTATATCTCGTCTAGCGAGTTCCCTTAAGGGGGAATGCTAGACGACAGGCAAATTTGAACTGGGCGCCATTTGTTGTCTTACACGCAACCAACAATTATTCCTAAAATCATCAAAACATCGTACGACGATATTGAAGAATAATGATCATCTATGACAGGCTGCCAACAGACCTTCAGCACAGGATACTCATTTCCCGTATTCTTTTCAGATATTAATTTTAATGCTGGAGATAATTATTAAGACACATCTATATTAATATAATTTTTTCATACAGACCTCGTCTAGCGAGTCCTCCAAATCTGACAAAAACTGTAACACTGTTGTCAGTAATTTCATACTTTGGTATTTATCATTACAATAAGCACTGAAGTAAACGATTATTATTTCAGTATTTAATAAACATAGTCAGTATAATCTATACTTATATAATAAAGCTGAAGCTGTTGTTTATTTGAACACGCTAATCTCAGAAACTACTGGTTCAAATTCAAAAAATCTTTTTGTGTTGGATAGTCCATGTATCATATCTACATATAGGCTATATAAAATCACGTTACGATCATTAGGAGCGAAGTAGCAATGAAAAATTCGGAAAAACGGGAAAATTATTCCTCCTTTGACAGCTTCCGTTGCTTACGCTGCTTAAACGGTTAAAGTTACTTAAAAATCATGTATGACGAAATTGTTCCCCTCTAAAAGTTCTAAAGAAAAGTCCGTGACAGCATATGTCTATCTTTTAAGGTCGAGTCAGTATAACCTTTTTTATGGTAATGAAATTTGTTCTAAAATAATAATGCATTATGTATAAAATTCTCGCGTCACAATGTTTGTAACCGAACTTCTCCGAAATGGGTAAACCGATTTGTATGAAATTTTTTGTGTCTATTCGGTAGGTCTGGCAATAGGTTGTAAACTATTTTTTAAACCCCTAAGTGATAAGGGTGGTCCACCCTAAAAAATTTTTGTCTATTTTTTAGACAAAATTTTTTATTTTTATTTTTTTAAGAATTGGCATCAAAAAATACACATAACCCTAAATTTTCACCTTTCTACCACCAACCCCCATTTTTTAATCGTCTATATAATAAAAATCAATTGCTGTTCCTGTTAGTCTCGCTAAGACTCAAAAACGGCTTGACCGATTTGAAAAATTTTTTATATTACGGAGATGGTTTATAAATAAAAAAAAATAAGGAAAACTTAAAAGAACAGTTAAAAAATAAAAAAATTCTAAAAATTTTGTATGGGAATCGCCACTTCGAATTAATTTCAATAGTTGGCGTTTCTGACGGACCTGTCGTCTAACTGACGTGTCATACAAAACTAATTCTTCCGTGCAATTGTGAAAAGTATATTGCATTTCAAATCGTTCTTTGTTTTTCGTAAAAAAAACGTCGTTTATTGTAAGAAAAGTCTTGGTTAAAGTGAATTTAATTACACATTGCGAAAGTTTCTTATTAATTTTGATCTGCCATTCTATTTACCTATATTCACTTTGTTGGTTTCGACAAAACCTCAAACTTTACCGTTATTCGAGGATTTAATTTGAAGTTTTCAATATTTTAAAATTCTCAAGACAAAATTTACAGATTTGATTGACTGTGAAAATAATTCTGTGTCGTTTTATGAAGTTCATTAAAATGCCGAGAAGACGACAACCTCACATAGGTCCACGAAGTCAATCAAATGTGCGACGAACTACCTCAGGTGCAAACCGCAATGATTTATTTCATGGGTAATGCGGATATGGAAGTTGATCAGCGTTGTGCTCATAATCAACATAATAATCAAACATTGAAGCGAGACATTGAGTGGTATGAATAAAACTGAATAGATACTCATATTCGAAGTACGAAGTACCTACTTCATTATTACTCTTATATACCCGAGCATCTACTCTATGTACTGGGTACCTACTGGGAAACATTGTATCTCCCCGAACACAAACTGAACATCTACGCGTTTTGTGAGCATTTAATCTAGAAATGAGCATCGGCGTGGCAAATAACTGAGCTGTCTGTAAAGCAGCTTAGAAAACCATTAGGATCGTTGTAAGAGTGAATTTTAATTAAACATGGTGACTTTCATGAATGTGGAACGTCGTCAAAAGGTGCATTCAGTTTGAAAAACACATTAGGAGCAGGAATATCGAAAACTTTTCATGTAATTAACTTTTATTTATTCATAAATTGTGCAGTGCGTTTTTTCTAACACTGGCCATAGAGATTCTCATCTCAAGGTGTCTACCCCATACTAACTTATATTTTGGTGACTCGATTTTTGCCTTGATGGTTGAACACTGTCACTGTCATGGGCGCCGGCAGGGGGTTGCAAGGGGGTGCACTTGCACCCCCCTGGCTTAGTATAAAATACACACTTTAATTTAAATCTAAATTGCAATCTTCTAGGAAGTGGATAATAGTTTTTGAAATGGCTTCCGCATTCAGTTCTTGCAGCGGCACATATCCTAAAAATTCTTCGCAAATTATTGGATTTTTATAGTCTTGATCATAACGCAAATACCGAAATCCAATCGATAGCAGTCTCATCAGCCAACACCTAAAAAACGGATGCCTGATTCACCTCCTCAATTATTTTGCTCTTCAGAACATCAGAACAAATTTCAATCAATTCATTTTGAATTTGATGCGATATATATGTACAAAGAGTCTCTTGCTCCTGACTCTAAATGATTTTTTAAAATTTCATCCCCAGATTCAATTCGAAAATGGAGCAAATATATACTACTCGCCGAAAAAATCGCAACACCAAGAAGTAGCGGTTTTTTATTAATGAAACTTTGTGGAAATATGTATCTATGTTTGATAATGTACTGATAAAAGTTACAACAGATTTTACCGAAAACCGAAGCTTATAAAATTTTTTCTTTCTTATTGTTCTCTGCCACTGATAATTTCTTTGCATTACTGTTCACCATGGGAATTTGTGTTTTATTGTGCTATCTGACAATATTAGTACTCTCACAATGTCTCGTGTGCGTAGACGTAGAAATTTTCAACAACTAAGTCTGTTAGAGCGAGGTCGCATTTTGGGACTTCGCGAAGCAGGGTTGTCATTTCGGGAAATCGCTGCTCGCGTGGATCGCAATGTTTCAACTGTATTGCGATGCTGGCGAGCATGGCACGAGGAAGGTAGAGGTCACCGAGCTAGAGGTTCTGGGCGCAGGAGGAGCACGAATCCACGTGAAGATCGGTACCTACGAACATTGGCAGTAAGAAACCGACATGTGTCTACACGCAGGATAGCAGATGACTGGTATGCGGCGGTTGGTCGGCCGATTGCGATGAGAACAATTTACACCCGCATTCAGTCTTTTGGACTACGTTCCTATCGTCCCCATTTGGTACTACCGCTAACTCCAGAACATCGCCGTCAACGCTTGGAATGGTGCCGCGAACGTTTAGGCTGGGATCTTGAGTGGAATTCAGTAGTCTTTTCAGATGAATCCCGCTTTTGTTTAGGCATGCACGACGGTCGGCAAAGGGTTAGAAGATTTCGTGGAGAACGAAGGAATATTGCTTTTTCTGTGGAACGGTATGTGGCTCGAACTGTGGGCATAATGATATGGGGAGCTATTGCATATGGCAGCAGGTCACCTTTAGTCATGATTCAAGGCTCTATGACAGCTCAACGATATGTTGATGAAATCCTGGAACCGGTTGTTATACCGTTTGTTCAAACCATCGAAGATGCCCTATTTCAGCAGGACAATGCCCGGCCGCATATTGCACGGGTCTCTTTGAGGTGCTTAGAAGATGCCCAAGTGCAAATTCTTCCTTGGCCTCCTCGTTCACCGGACCTGCCACCTATTGAACATGTGTGGGACATGATCGGCAGAAAGCTAGGTGAATTACCACAGGATCCACAGACTCTAGCTCAACTTAGACATGAAGTCCAGGTTGCCTGGGAATCCCTGCCTCAGGAGGATATCAATAATTTAGTTAGAAGTATGCCACGGCGAGTTGCAGAATGTGTAAATGCAAGGGGTGGACCGACACATTATTAATTTTTTACTGTTGTTGTTCGTCGAATTTTAAACTGTAAATGTTATGGTGCATTTCTTTTGTTAAGACAATGACACCCACAAACTTTAGTTAAAATAAAAACACTACTTCTTGGTGTTGCGATTTTTTCGGCGAGTAGTATACTATATCCTATAATGTATGGGTGCACCCCCCTGCAAATAATTCTGCCGGCGCCCATGGTCACTGTTGTCCTTTTTTGTTGTATCGAGATGCTACTTGAGCATCAACTGTTACTTACTGAAGTATTAGTATCATCTAGAAAAACTAGAAATATTTTGATTTGATATTCGAGTAGATACTTCGTATTTCGAGTATGAGCATCTACTGAGTTTTATTTATATCAACCATTGTCAAAAAATTGATCGAACGTAGTTTCGACAGAACTTCCTTCGCACCAAAAGTATAATGAAACATATTCAGCATTTTCGAGTTGAGTCTTTTCTTCACACAATTTTGTGATGACCTAATCAACATTTACTATCAACACGTAGATATACCACCTTGGATTGGTGCAGTGTAATACTAAAAATAACTGTATTGTATTCCCAAAATTATCTGCGAAAATCGAGTGAGCCATTCCATCAATTTTTTGGGGGGAATAAATAAATATTCTTAACAATTTACCATGCTTACAATAACTTTAAAACGTCTGCAAGATCTCAAAGTATTCATTTTTGCAACTCTTGAGTTATTCACTAAAATAAATTGACTGATCCATATATTTTTTTGAGTCACTGTAAAAGCAAATCTAAAAAATATGAATCCAGTGATAAATTACGAAAATATACTGATGATATTTTCTACATTTTAGATAGGATTTATTCGACAAAATCTTGAGATGACGTCTTCAAGTTTTTGGGCTTGATAAACAGATATATTTTGATTGAAAACCTACCATGTCAAACAGTAACTTCAAAACGTCTGCAATATTTCAAAATTCAGTTTTGCAATTCTTGATTCAATCAATAAAATAAATTGACTCAGTGATTAATTTTTTTGAGACACCCCCTATAAGCAAAACTAAAAAATATGAATGGAATGATAAATCACAAGTATAGTCTCATCCTATTTTGGACATTTTAGATAGGATTCATTTGGCAAAATTTTGGGCTGACGTCATCAATTTTTTGGAGGGGATAAGTAAATATATTTTGAATAAAAATTTATTATGCTTATCATATGTTTAAAACATCTGCAAGATTTCAAAGCATTCGATTTTGCAGATTCAAAATTAAATTGTAGGTGAAACGGAGTTCACGGGGTCAGCTAGTTAAATATAAAATTCACATTTGAATAAGTAATAATTAAGTTTTAACTTAAATAATCCATGCTTGATTATATAATCTAAGAAATTTTTAATGGGCGAGTCGACGGGGGTGGTACTTACTAAGAAAGACTGATTTTGCCAAATGACATATCCTGTGAGAAAATGAAGGGTGGGTGGGCGGTACTAGTACTTGCTAAGTGATGACTGATTTTGTTAAATGAAAAATTTAAATTTTACAATTTTCAAATATCGATATGTAAGTTTTTTCAAATAGGACACCGCGTGTTTTATTACTATATCTTACTCTATTTTTCTGTTTTTCTTCTTTCAATATCTCGATGTGTCCTAAAAATGTAAAAAAATGCACGTTCAGGTTTTGTTAAAAAAAGATGGTATAAAATAATAAAATTTTCAATAAATAGATTGGCTCATTCATTAATATGTTTTTGAGTCACCCTATTATAAATAAACAATTAATGCATAATATTTTACTTATTTTTTGATATGATTTATCGGGAAAATTTGAGATTACGTCATCAAATTTTGAGAAAGGGTAAACGGATAAATGTTGATGAACGATTTATCATGCTTACGATAACCTTAAAATAAAAATAAAATAATGTAAAAAAATGAAGAATTTTAAAATATAGATTACAATTACAAGATATCGTCTGAATGATAACAGGGTGATTCAGAATTAAATAGTTAACGAAAAATACATCCAACAAGAATAACAAAAGGTTAGGAATACGAAAACCTTTCACTTTTTTTTTACATTAAATTCGTTTGTATTTTTGACGTACTACCTCAAACTTTCGATTTGTTGCTTTATTCAACCACATGATTTTCAAGCTATTTGTTTTAACTAATTCCAGCAAAAAAGAAATCCCCCAACATAACTATGTGATGCATTCAGCCCACTGTTCCCGCAACTTCACCCTCTGTCAGGTATGCAAGGAACTCTTCTCGAAGTCCGAAATCGAAGGCCACAAAAAGTCCTGTGTGGCGGTGAAACCAAAAGTGAAAAAACCCGAGCCGCCTCCGACCAATCTAGAACGCAGTCAGTACTTCCAGGAACGGAAAGTGATCGAAGACAAAAAAATTGCAGCTAGGAAGGAGAGACAGCTACAGAAATACGAAAGATTGGTAGATACGGGATATTCTTTAAAGGAAGGCGAGAAAAGGGAGAAGGTGGTGAAGACGAAGCCGGTAACGGCGGCCCGAGTTGAAAGTAAGCCCAAAAACTCTTCTGGACTGTTGGCTTGCAAGTTTTGCGATTTGGAACTTCCGAAATTGGAATTGGAGGAACACGAGAATTATTGTGGGACGAGGACCGATAAGTGTTTGGAATGTGGGGAGTTGGTGATGTTCAAGTACAAACAGATTCACATGGATTCGAACCACGGATTTTTGAAGCTGAAAGATGGTGAGTTTTTTGCGGACTGAATAGTGTCTGGTGGTTTATCTAATCGGAAAATGATAAGATTTCAAGTTTCCTCGTACGCGGGTTCGTATAAATTTTAACTGCGCAGAATTGTTATCTATTGGACAATATTTTTGGTAGCAGAAAAAATAAAAGTTGTGGATTTACGTGCTTCATGGAAAGTAGATACTATTTGTGTAAAAAATAATAAACGAGTTCAGTGAACATTGCTTTTTGGGGCGAAATTTCAAATAAAAATTTCATTTAACAACTGCGATAAAAGTTAAGTACCTATATCAATTTTTTACGACTTTTATAAATAAAATATCCACACGAGATTCTTTATAGTGATTATAATTTCTAGACGTTGAACTATTTAATTTTAGATGGTATGGTTTCATATCAGTGTGTTATTTTGCTGTTTATTGATAACTGTCGAGGTTTGTTATCAATAGTACATTATGTAACAACGGGTATACATTATTTCATGTTTATTGACCCAGCCGTCCAAGTTGCAATGTAATAAATAGGTGTATAAATTTAATATCCAATAAATTGAATTCAGAAGCTTATTTATATTTCTATTTACTTTTTCGCTATTTAATATGTATTTTCAAAATCAATGGGTTAATTGCGGAACACAGTTTTGCCTTCGATTTGAGTTTCTCGAGTTTTAATTTTAATTTTTCAGTTATTAGATTTTTTAATGTTTCGTTTTTATAATTGCTTGTTTTTCCAATTTTATTTTTTTCAATTTTTCGTTTCTTCATTTTCTCGAGATATCAATTTTTAGATTCTTTAATTTTTCATACTTCAATTTTTCGATTTGCAATTTTTCGTTTTGGTTTATTATTGTCTTTATTGTTTCAATTTTTGGGGTTTTGAACGTTCTGATTTTATAATTTTTATTTATACGAAATTTTTCAGGTTTGGGATTTTTCAATTTTTTGAATTGCAATTTTAGGGTTTGCAATTTTTCGATTTTTCAACTTTTAGATTTTTTGATTTTTCGTTTTTTCAACTTTAGATTCTTCAGTTTCACATAATTTTTCAATTTTTCGCTTCTTTAATTTTTGATTTGCAATGTTTCTAGTTTCTTGTTCAATATGTAATAATTATAAAATTCCTAAATATTTTTGAATTTTTTTATTTTTCGGTTATTGGATTTTAAAACTTTTTCATTTATTCGACTTTTCAAATTTTCGATTTTTCCATTTTTCGCTTTTTTAATGTTCTGTTTTTTTAATATTTCGTTTTTTCAATTCTACTTTTTTCAGTTTCTCGATTTTTAAATTTTTCGATTTGTAATTTTTCAGTTTCTCAAAATTTCATTTTTCAACGTTTCGATATTTTAATGCTACAGTTTGTCGACTTTACAATTTTGACGATTTTATAACTTTTCGATTTTACAATTTTTGGATTTTCCGATTTTTCGATTCATTAACTTTTGGAGATGACGTCATCCCATTGGTGGTGGGGATGATTAGCAAAATTTTACCATTTAAACATTACATTAACCATTGTATTACATACCTAATTGGTATACATACAAAATGTCAGAATAATCGGTCCAGTAGTTTCGGAGATTACTTGTCTAATGAAAATGGATACAGACACCGACACACAGACGGACAGACGAAAACGGGAGACCACTTTTTTCGTACTCTAGAGGTTATGACACGTCGAAAAAATATGAAAGTGGCAATTCGGCCGATGGACTCGATTACTATACTGCCTTGGCTTACGCTCGGGAAGTAAAAACGAAGAAGTATAAAACGAAAACTTGAAAAATGTAAAAATTAGAAATCAAAATTTGAAAAAGTGAAGACACGAAAAATTCAAAAATCGGAAAAATAAAAATTGAGAATTGAGTCATAATATTTTGCATATTTAAGAGCATTTTGTTTTGTAGTTTTTAACTTAAATTGCAAAATATTTGCAATTTTTATTTTTTTTCCTAAATCTGGATGTGTAGGGTGAAAACTCAACACGAATTCATATACCACAAATGCGATAGTATCTTATTTTATAAAAATAAAAACAAATTTAATCCTGTAAATTCTGAAGATGACGTCATCAGGTTGTTAGTGGGATGATACATGATAGTCCTAATAATTATATGTATGCATAGAAAACAATCAGTCCAGTACTTTCGAAGATTATCTGTCTAATAAAAATCCGGACAGACGGTAGACAGACAGACAGACAGACGGACGGAAACGGGAGACCTATTTCTTCGTACTTTTGGGGTCTTGAAATGCCAAGAAAACACAAGAGTAGAGAGTCGTCCGATGGACTCGATTACAATACTTCCTTAACTTACGCTCGTGAAGTAATAATTGACAAATGAAGAATTTCTTTTTCACAGAACCGGGTCCTCGAGCGTCTTGGGACTCCGCCACCCAACGCACGACCACCACCGACACACCTTCATCGCCACGTCCCAGACCAGCCCCTTTGCGTCCATTTTCGAGCTTCGACTCAACTCTATACTCGTTTCCAGCAACTTACTCGGCTCCTCCGGTTAAGGACAAAAGCGAAACTTACAAGGAGATTTCCAGGAGACTCGACTGTAAGTGTGTTCATCCGCACCTGCGACTTCTTGTATTTGTACAACATAATCATTCGCAACCTTCTCCAGGCAAAACTGAATACATTCGTAATTTATTACACGATTCGGCTAGCATCACTGTACCATTAAGACATAGCGGGGCGATGCCACGAAACCATTTCAATCACAATAAAGGTGCGTTGGTTTTGGTAGGGTAGTGGTCGGTGCTATCGCTGCTAAATTGTGTTTGTAACAGGCTGCAATGATGAGATAAATAAAAGAGAAATTGGTCTCGGATTTAGTAACTAACCTAAGTTAAGTAGTTGGACTGCTTTTGGGGTTTGATTTGATTTGTTTAGTTCAAGTGTTATATCTAGAACAATTTAAAACTTATTGTGTGGAGTGTAGATGATCAAAAATTATCTAGCGTGGTTATAACTACATATAATGAATAGATAATGTATGAAGATTTTTTTTTAAATGAGATATCTATGCCACAAGTACATTCAAGTGAGATTCGAGATACTTCCCACAATCTAAAGAAAATAATGCAATATATAGGTTGTCCAAAAAAGTAGAAAGTTAACCTCAAATTTCACTTTAACACATTTCCCTCCTTTGTATTGATCGCACGGAGAATGACCCTCATTAATTTTAACCAAAAAACCTTGTGTGTCGTACTAAAAAAAATGACGAGGCCAAAAATTCTCAATTAGGCTGGCTGCCAATTTGTACAGAGGTGTGTGTATTTTTTAGGTCCTGCACCACTCCCTCCACGAAGGAGACCCAATCCTCCCACTGAACTGACTATTCCTTGCGAATTCTGCAGCGTGCCGATTCCTCATGAAGATTTAATCCAGCACGAAACCGGCTGTAGACCTGATTTGGCTCGTTTCGATCCCAGAAGGAGGCGTTCTCCAGAACTTGATGAATTCTTTGTGGCTCCTCAACCCACTTCTCCTGAAGAGGAGTTGCCTTGCGAGTTTTGCGCTGATATGATACCGGCGTCGCAGCTGCTGCGTCACCAAGCTACGTGTATCTAATTCTATTTTTTATATACACATAAGTACATATTTAAGGGAAAGCTTTTGATTTGTGACTTTTTTATTTTTGTTACTTAGCACTAAGTGCGGAATTGTTCACAGTTAGGTGCTATTGTGTTTTTGCGATTATTGTTGTTAGGGTTAATAGCTCAATTAATTATAGGTGTTTATAAAAATTAACTTTTGTACTACAAGTTGTTTTTTTTTCACGACCTTGGCGTTTTTTTACTCTTTAGTCGTGTATTAATTTGTGTCTGGTGTTTGTTGGTGACTACAAAAATTAGCTGTGTTATTGTAACCACACGGCTTTTCACATAATAATAATAATAATAAACTGATGAGTATATACCGTTCAGGATGTTTTTAGACAAAGGTAGGCCATGTCAATCTGGTAATTTGGTTGGCAGCCAATTTCGTATATGCAAAGATTCCCAATGAAAAATGAAATTATCACATTAGATAGTTTTTTTTTTCAGTGTAATAAACGACGAAACTCTGTCATGTGAGATCCGAGTAACGAAAAACGTCATCAGTCAACTTGTCATTCTCATATGCTTTTCGTAATCTATTTTTTTCGCGGTGCATCAAAGTGACCTTGGCAGACCTGTCATTGTCATTCATGTTTAAAAATTCCCGTCACTTCTTAATTTTTCATTTCTTTTCACCTGCAAAAACTCAACAAAATGCTCCTGAGACGTTTCCTGCCTAACATGCACTTAAGAATTCGCCATTTTTCCGAAGCAAAGCTCCTAGAAACAGGTACATCTAGATTTTCCGTTTTGAGGTTATGTGTGTCTCCACAGTTGTTCCACAGTATCCCCCTTATTTGGATTTGAGCGAACAGCTTACACAAGAACCGTCTCTAGGACAAGCCCTCGCGTCGACTATGACAATCCACAACGACTTCATTTCAGAAGCTGAAGAACAAAGTTTGATCGATGAAGTTGAACCATATATGAGCAATCTCAAGTACGAATTTGATCACTGGGACGACGTCAGTTTGTCATTTTGTGAAAACATCGCTTATTTATAATAATATTGCTAGGCTATTCACGGTTATCGCGAAACTGAACGTCTGCAGTGGAATGAAGCCAACACAAAAATTCTAGGCAGGGTACGAGAACTGGCTTTTCCACCTAACGTGGCGCAATTAAAGTATGTACACATTTTGGACTTGGAGGAAAAGGGGCACATCAAACCGCATATTGATGCCGTTAGGGTAAGTTGATAACTGAGTTTAAAAAGCAAATGTAAAAATCAAGTCTTTAGTTCTGTGGAGACACCATAGCTGGCTTGAGTTTATTAACGGATAGCGTTATGAGGTTAGTGCATGACAAAAAGAAAGCACTTTATGCAGACGTGTTGTTGAGAAGGCGTTCCCTGTATGTCATGAAAGGGACAGCTCGGTTTGACTATACACACGAACTTTTGGCAAACAAATTCAGTCTGTTTAAAGGTGAGAAAATTTTCAAGGGTAGACGCATTTCGGTGATTTGTAGAAACGAACCTAGTTCTGAACGCACTAGTAGTTAGGTTTTGTAACCAAAGTATTAAATAAAACTTAGGATAACAATATAAATTTTATTTAAAATAAATCACAATACCTAGGTGCAGTAATGCTATTAGTTAGTAAAAGCGGCGTCTTATCGTAAAATATTTTAATTAAGAGAGGCGCGAATCCAGTCCAGGTATTTGGCCACATCGGTGAAGACCACATAGTGCGAAGAGTCGCATTTTAGCTGGTTTTGCAGTGCTACGCTAATTGAAACAAGCCCCCGCAGTTGCCATACTGGGTTGCCTGAATTGGAATTCGATTTTGGGAAAACCATGCCGCCTCCAGAGTCGCCATTGCATACGGAAGTACCTTCAATTAAAAAAATATAACGCAAAAGTCACGCTCCAGCTACACAATAGTGACTCAAAATGGGTAGGTTAAAGTTCGTAAATTTCGAAATACTTAGTTTGAGATGTGGGTGAAGTGCTACGTCGCTAAACAAATTTTTTGTGTTTGAAGTTTGACTCATTTAAAGTTTCTACTTGCCTAAATCGTTTGAATGTATGAGAAAGCAGAGATGAATGTACCATGAAAAGTAAAAACAGTACTGGCGCCTATTTTCGGCAGTTATTCGATTTGGCCCTTTTCTACTGATGATATCTAAAATCAGGACCAAATGAATGTGCGGAGCATTTCGATGAAAAGGGGGTACTCTAACTCGCTCATCTATTGTTTTATTTCGAAAAAAAAAAAAAATATTTGGGTGTGGAATTTTTTCAAAAATTTTTAGATTATCCGAGTTTCCAAATTTCTCGATTTTCAACTTTTCTTACACTGTTACTGGTATTATCTATTTTTGTTTCAATTTATAGGAGTTCTCATAAATACAAATTCTCAAAATCAAATTTTTTAATTTTTCAAAGAAGCGGGATTTGTTCGATTTTTTTGTTTTGTTTGCTTTTTTGAAAGGAATGAATATCAAATTTACAAATAACATGGTTTTGATTATTTCGGAAATTATGTGTTGTGTATTGTGTTTCATTAAATCGCCGATGAATAAACAAAACAGAAATGGGACCCTTAAGTTCTCTTGAAATTTTAGGAACAAGGGAACTCCAGAATTAGTGTCTAGTGTAGGTATCCAGATTAATAAATGTATATTTATCCCCATCAAAAATTGATGTCATCAGTATTTTATTTTTCCAACAGGTTTATTAAGTGTGTATTTTCTCATAAAACTTTTGTTTAGTAATTTCTTTGGTTTGTTTATCCCATCTGACCAAATGATAACATTTTCATGAGTTATTATTATATGTTAAGACATTTAGTTGTGGTTATTTACACACTATCGCGGTATGAAATATATATTATTTATGTATATGAATATAAATACGAAATTCCAGTTATGTACTTAAGTGAGAGATAGAATTTATGGTGGTAGCCAGATTATGCCAAAATAAAAATACTTACCATTCTTAAACCCTGCACAATACGTCGTATTAGATGTAAACCTTGAATAAAAGTCCGGAAACGAGTAAATACAGGTCTCTTGAGAAACCACCGGCATTTTCGCCTTCGTCAGTTGCTCAGTAACACGACCATTTTCATCAAACCCCCAACCAACAACAGTGCCTTAAAAAACACGTAATTTTGCATCACTTTTACTAGTTCTCGACTTACCAACTCTGTTGGTAACAGCATTCAACCGTGTGTCTTCATCCCACAAACACACCGGCCGGACATAATTGGTAACGTCTACCGGGGAAGCGACTTTCAGCACCGCAATGTCGTTCGTAAAAATCTGAGCGTTGTACTTTGGATGAATTGTAATCTTCTCGACATGTTTGTCTTGAATGCCCGGATTCGACCATCTCTTCAAATAGTATTTCCCCAGGTAGACCACCAGATTACCCGGATCAAGAGACTTCTGGGATTTGGGTTTAGTTACACAGTGTGCTACGGTTACCAGGTGGTAACGTGTTATAAGAGAAGCTCCACATATGTATGTGAGGTCTATGCCTTTGGCGTGGTAAAGCGCTGCGTGCCAGGGGAATTCGCCCTCTCGGGTGGCTTGGCCGTGGGTGATTAGGGGGCGTGGGGGCATCTAAAACACATCAAAATACATCATCAACAGAAGAAGTGGTTTTTCTTTTTTTCCTTACCACAACCGTGCCACAGGTTAAGTCGTTGAGTGAAACTACTGGCCTCGGGTTATTGAAAATGGCAAAATCGCCTTGGAAAAAGTCGTCCTCATCCTCATTGGACGACTGGTGATTTTGATTGAAAGCTCCACCAGGTCTTACACTAGAATCATCAGTAGATGTAAAAATACTTAAAAAAAAGAAGAGGTGGTTGAAGAATGTGTTTATGACGTCCTTTCCAGAATTTACAAAGTAAATTGTTTTTATTTTTACTTTGTTTTCACCCTATACCATTTATCAAAAATTAAAAATTCAAAGCTCGAGAAACTCGAATCGAAAAATTTGCAAAATCTAAAAATTGAAAAATTCAAAAGTTGGAAAATAGGAAAAAGTCAAAATTTAAACTTTCAAACTCGAACAATTGCAAATCGAAAAACTGAAGAAACAAAAAAAAATGAAAAATTAAAGAACTGAAAAATTCAAGTCAAAGAAGCTTTTTTTCATTTTTTATAGAAGCGGTGTATATTGGGCTTTTAGGGTCAAGGGAAGTTCTGTCGAAATAACCTTCGACCAATTTTTTGAAGTGGTCGGTCCTATTTGACTCGTTTTGGTTGGTGTGAAATTATGTTCATGGACATTCAGGAACTTCGGGGCTTTTAAATTTTTAGATTCAAATTCTTCAAGTATGTACTTGAATGTATAGATAATTTAATGGCCTTACAAAGTTCCGCCGTTGTTGTTGTTGTTATTGTTGGAAAAAGGATTTTTCGTAGTAGACAACAAACTGCTCGTTATCAACTGCCCCGTCGTAACCGGCGGTTCCGTGGTGACTCCTCCTTCAGGACACACAGTCTTTGCATTTAGCCTGAACATGACGAGTTGTGGAGGCGCCTCGTTCGGATTGTACTTGATGTAAAATCGAAGATTGTATGGCGCATTTGCCAGTAACTTATGATTCCTATTTTTTACAAGGTACTCTTTATTGTCAGAAGTGACTACCTCGCCGAACCAATTCTGCAAAATATTTGCCCATTAGAACGAAATTTGATAAATGAAAATGCAGTTTTTACTCCGAGTTGAATAGACTGTTTGTCGAAAATCAAACGCAGCCACACTCCTGATAACTCCGAATCACTGAGTAACGTGACTACACCGTACCATCGGTCATTTTCTGCTCCCTGTGGTTCGTATTTGAAGAGTCTGGGACAGGGGGAAATGAGTTGGGCACTTGCAGGCGCCAGAAGGAGAAAATACAGCAGATAGTTCATTTCGATTTGTTGTTACTAGAAAAAAGTAAAATATGAAACAAATGCCATATTATTAAGTTTAATATGTACTTAAAGTGAAATTTACATGTAATAGAAAAACTTACGGATAAGGAAAATTTTTTGTGAATTTATGCTGAATTTTGTTTGGTTGGTTCATAATTGGAAATATTTATATGATTTAAAAATCCTTGAAAGCACCGCTTTGATTCAACAAAACTTCAAAATTAGAGTGTCAATCACTTTAAGAAAGCTTAGTTTCTGCAGTTACCTAGCAAGAACTTTAAAATTTTCCACGTTTATTGTGACATCGCAATTGGCTTAATCGCAATCTTCGGGCAGCCCTTTACAACTTTCTCTCAAGAAAATTATTAACGGAATTTTAAGTTAATTTTAATAACATGTTGAGTAGTCAACAATATTAGTGTATCTCCGTGATGTTGACCCTCGTTTTTTAATGTCTTTAGAGTAATAATCTTTTCTGTTATATACTAACGTGTGTGGATACATGATTACTTCACAAAATGCAGTTAAACCTTCCTTTTATCGTGTACAGGCATCGTTATCTCTAAGGAAGCTACCGATGTCTAAGGCCAAATCAGGGACGCCCGGTATACTAAGATAAAAAAGTCTGCCAAACATAGGTGTCATATCGTGAATTGTCATTGCACATTAGCTTTACATAATAATTAATAAGCCACATTTTGCAGATCTTTTTCAAAAGACTGCATTGTCTGAATTGTTTGCTGGAGTTTATATTTTACAACTTGTAGAACATATTGTACGTCCATGATGATTATGGGCTTTTCCGGGCGCATCATTCCGTAAGAATGTATGTAATTTTGTTAATAACAGTTTTTGCATGACCTTTACCGAACCATAAGCAGCAATATTTTTAGCGATTATAAAATAGCTTGATGGTTCCAAGTAAATCGAATATTAATATCTAACTGCTTGAAAAAGAGAAAAACAACACTTAACCCACACCGCATGAATGTAATCAACTTTAAAACAACTGGTTAGGTGAAATATCAAGGCGATTTGGCAAAAAACGGAAGCGTTTGGGGTTTTATTGTCTACCTTCGAGAAAAAAAAAAACACATACCTACGATTAAAATTTTACAAGCGACTGATGTTAACTGGGCACTATACCACTTAACTGTGCGTTTCGCATCGATAAAAACTATAAATACGCAAATAACATCCGAAATAAATACCGTCCACAGAATTAAAAGAAGCTTTTCGAGTCGAAAGAGTTCATCGGAGTATCATATTATCACAAAAGTCAGTAGTGGCATTGACCAAAGTCGCAGAAGCACTATTAAGTCTGTTCAGCCGATGGAACGTAGATTAGGGCCCGCCGCTGACGATTTTGACTATCTGTTTTTGATACGACAATGGTAATGTCTTCAGAAACCAGTTTTACACTAATAATTGCTGGTAGTTGTCTTCGGTAGATGATGTAGTCAAGGACAAGGTAGGAATCCCCATTGCCACCGATGGGTCAATCCCGGTCAAGGCGTAAGGTGCCGTTTGAATTTCCCGTTCTGAAAAACAGTGGGTGGTTTTTTCGGTGCAATATTGTAACATCCATGTGCTAATTTATAAAGAGGAATACGTTGTGTGAATTTTTAAGAAAGTGACAAAATAAACTAGACAGGGTTTCAGAGTTTATTTTCACATTGTAGGTACACCTGCAACCAAAAGTCCACCTATTTTTAAAATTTGACACCGCTGTTCTCGTAATAAATCATTAAAATAATAATTATAGCGAATTTTTAAATAACTTTTCAACTCGGCACGAAAATACTCTTAAATAAGTGCTCATTACGAATGTTTTAAGTGAAGTTTTACTAGATATCGTAGTTTGTGTTTTTAACAATGCCGAAGAAAAAAATTGTTTGAACACACAAACACACTTTAAACAAACCGCCTAGGGGTTTAGGATCCTATTGTGAAAACTTGTATTTTACCAATAGGAGGACTGGTGTTGAGTCACATGATTAAGTCTAGCAGAGTTATTGGTACGGACACCTTGTATTTTATCCTTATGTCTTTGTACCACGTGCTAACCTCAATATTTTGTGCAAATGCAGATTTATTTCGAAAAAAGATAGTCTTTGTGCAAAACACCCAATTTTAAATTGATCAAGTTAAATCATTTGTTCGAGTGAGGAAGCTGGTGTTTAGTGGTACATTTTTTTATTTTGTGCAAAGAAGTTTTACTGGTTAACTTTTGTGAGGTTATATTTTACAATGACGAGTTTAATGCGATTTGTGCCTAAACTACTCTCAGTCGGGTAACCAGACCATCTGTTTATTAAACTTTGTTATATTTGTAATGTTGTAGCAACCTGACCACTTCCTCGTTTATAGGCAGCGTATATGAAACTTCCGTCCGAACTATCATCCGCTGGCATTTTCCAAGACCCTCTGAACGCAAAAGAATTGTGCGTCACGGCTGGAAACAGCGAATGTCAACCCCTGCAGGTCGTAGAATACTTATGAATCGAATACTTAAAGGTAGACATGTTTATTCTCATTGATTGTAAAAAAATATAGTATAAATATCACTAATTTGAGTATTGTAAATGAGGACGGATTTGATTTTATCTTCTCATGACTTGTTTGATCCAGTCTAAGTGTTTTGCGACGTCCGTAAACACGATGTAGTGTCTGGGGTCGCACACTCCTTCTCCTTGTAGTGCTACACTGACGGAAATAATTCCTCTGATTTGCCAAACGGTGTTCCGACCACTTGTAGTCGATTTAGGAAAGACCATGCCGCCGCCAGAGTCACCATTACAAACAGTAGTACCTATAAATTCACTTTAGTGTTTGAAACAATTGATTCTTGGTAGTTACCGTTTCTGTAACCGGCACAGTAAGTTTTTTCAAATGTGAATTGCGAGAAGAAGTCGCGGTTTGAATATATGCAAGTGACAGGTGAAACTATGGGCATTTGTGTTTGCAGTAAGGTGTCCGAAATTTGTCGTTTTTCATCAAAGCCCCAACCAACTACAGTGCCTAGAAGTCTGATCTATTATGTCAACGTTACTGGCTGTTTAAAGTAATACCTAGTTTGTTAATAACACTTTCGAGCTCAACACTGCCTTCCCATAGACAGCAAGGTCGTACGTAATTAGTTATATCAGCAGGGTCCTTAAGCTTCACAACAGCGATGTCATTGAAAAAAACCGTATAGTTGTATTCAGGGTGTACGAAAATATTAGAAATTTCTTTATCTTGCGTTCCGAGTCCGAATTTTTTCAGGCTATATTTACCTACAAAAAGACATTTTCTACACGTTTTGTAAAGTTTTCACTTTTCCACACCTAAATAAACGGTAAGTCTTTGTACATCAATCGGCCGAGTTGTTTGAGGTTTAGTCACGCAATGAGCTGCGGTTATCACGTGATTTTCGGATATTAAAGTAGCTCCACATGTGTATATAAAGTGAGCACCCTGTGTGTGATAGATGGCCGCATGCCATGGCCATTGACCTAAAAAAAAAAAGGGTACTATTGTAAAATTTCGTGAGAATACATTACCTTGACTAGTATTTTGACCATAAGATATCAATGGTGTTGGTCTGGTAGCCACCGTCCCACAACCAACGTTTTTGGTAATCTGCACAGATGGTGGAGGTCTGGATGATGGTCGTATTTGACTTGGAAACTGTAGAGGGAAGTCGCCTGAAAATATCTCAGATCCGTTGCTTGATGGTGAATCCTCATCTTGAGAATTACCATGGGAAGATTCCACTCTAGAATTTACCTTTTTTTTTTAAATACACTTAATCGGATCTTTTTAAATATCAATTGGTGTTTCCTTTTAATATCAGGTATTTTCTTCTTAAAAAAAACTTCCAAACTTACATAGATCCTGGGTTAGATAAAGGAATACTAGTCGTCGAAAGTATGCTACTAGTAAGCGGTTGCCCCGTCATGACAAAGGCCTCGGTAGTCGCTTCATTCACAGGGCAGAGGGTTTTAGCATTCAACCTAAACATTGTGAGCTGTGGGGGACTCTCATTTGGATTGTACACTACAAAAAATCGAATACGAAGCGGAGTATTGGCGGCTAGTTTATAGTTGGGCTTCTTTAACACATATTGGATGTTATCAGTAGTGGCCACGTCGCCAAACCAATTCTATAAAGAAGTCTTGAGTACCTTAAAAGTACTGAAAATTTCCCTCTTACTCCAACTTGTGTGGACGGTTTGTCGAAAATCAAACGTAGCCATACTCCCGACAACTCGGAGTCGCTAATCAATGTAACAGTACCGTACCATCTGTCGCTTTCCGCACTTTGAGGTTCATACTTGAATATTTTGGGACATGGAGAAATCAACTGGGCGTTTGCGGGGACGAGAAGAAGAAAATACAATAAATATTTCGTTTCCTGAAAATGAAATCGTGAAATAATGCGTGATGGATTTTTCCAAAGTACGTTATTTTACAAGAAATCATTTCGTAATTAGGAATTCGGTGAAATGTAAACATGTTTTGTTAGGACTTGCGGTAAAGAGACGGAGGTATTGTTACGTTTTTTAATGTTTATTTTTTGCGTACGTACCATGATGAAGATAAGGAGAACGATTTCTAGCGCTACGACGGATTCACACTCGCACTGTTCTTTCTTACAGGACCCAAATTGTACAAGTACCACAACTCAAATGAAGATCAGAGGCGCACTGAAACTTAATTAGTGTCGTTATCAGCGCTTTGTGATTAGGGTCATTTATTTGTCATTTTAACAAAATATTTATGTGACGGAGGAACTGTAATGTTTTATGAAACTTGTTTACGAAAACGATGAGTTCGACGTGAGGTTATTTGGAAGTGGGATTACCGCAAGTTTTTTATGTTTTGTAGTGTGAACTATGAATTCCTCGTCTTCCTTACCGGTTTTCTTTAGAGACGTCGGTTATTATTCTTTCATTCAACAAGTAGGAACCGCTAAAAATAACACTGTCGTTAAAAGAATTCAAAGTTTTTTTTTTCAAAACTAAATTCAAAAAATTAAATAATAAATCGCAAATGTTTGTCGTTGTTATGCCGCTCTGTCACTAGTTTGATAATCCATCATAATTTTATTTTAACAAATTTCGTTCAACTTCTGTAAAATGTTTGCACTAAACATTAATCAATTTTACTTATTTATCTCCTTCAAAAAATTGGTGACGTTATTTCACAATGTTAGTAAGCGGATAAATCTCACTTAGAATGTGTAAAATGACAAGCTCCCTTATTTTATTTTTAACTTTACGTACTTTAATGAACGCTTCAGAATTTGCGATTTTTAGGTCGACAACAAACAACAGCCAACAAAATAAAACGCCTAATTCCACTTGGACTTAAAAAATGTATTTAATTAAAGTACATATATCACAATATGAGCATTACGTAAGTAAGCATAATTTTCATTCGTTCATAACTTGTTTGATCCAGTCTACATGCTTTGCCACGTCAGTAAAAACGATGTAGTGCTTCGGGTCGCACACCCCTTGCCCTTGCAACGCAACTCCGACAGAAACAATCCCTCTAATCTGCCACACGGTGTTCTGCCCGTTCGTTCCGCTCCTCGGAAAGACCATGCCACCACCAGAGTCACCGTTGCATACAGTTGTCCCTGAATCGTCTGTTATTGTTGCTTTGATATAAATTGATAACTATAAGATAATACCGTTTCTGAAGCCGGCGCAGTACGTTTTCTCGAAAGTAAACTGCGAGAAGAATTCCCGGTTTGAGTAGATGCAGTTGACGGTAGAAACGACAGGCATTTGTGCCTGCATGAGCGTATCAGAGATTTGCCGTTTTTCGTCAAAACCCCAGCCCACCACGGTCCCTGGAAGTACGCAACGTTAGTACAAGTAGCGTTGGGGCGCAAGCACCAACGGACCTAATTTGTTGAGGACGTACTCCAAATCCACGGCACCTTCCCACAGACAACAAGGTCGGACATAGTTTGTAATGTCAGCAGAGTTTTTAAGCTTTAAAACTGCAATATCATTAAAGTAAACACTATAATTGTACTGAGGGTGTATGAAAATGTCAGATACTTCTCTGTCTTGTGTGCCGGTGCCGAATTTTTTCAGACTGTGTTTGCCTAAAAAGAGAAAGTTTTAGAATCTCTGTTATCACCACGTTTGGTGATAGTGTCATCTCTTCCACGTTTAAATCGTGAAAGGAGTCTTATTCGTACCCAGATAGACAGTGAGTCTTCTCGTATCGATTGGTCTATTGGTTTGGGGTTTTGCCACGCAGTGTGCGGCCGTCAGGATGTGATTCTCCGATATTAAGGTAGCCCCACAAGTATACGTCAACTGAGCTCCTTGGGTGTGGTATAGAGCCGCATGCCATGGCCATTGCCCTGCCAAAAATTTACTATTGTTTTTCCACTAGTATTTTGCAGCACACTGTACCTTGTGTCGTGTTCTGGCCGTACGATATAAGGGGACTAGCTTTCATGCCGACCGTACCACAAGCAACGTTTCGTTTGCTTACTGAAGAAGGTCTGGATGGAGGCCGAGAATGAGTGGGTCGATGGATGGCGAAATCACCTGGGAAGAAGTCAGAGTCGTCTGAAGGTTCTTCTTTCTCGAAAGATAAGCCATTGGAATGCGTACCTGAATCTGAAGGTTCCCTGGAATTTCACGCGAGTTAGAAGAAAACAGATGAAGAGCTGGGGGGTTTGTAAAAATGATGGGTATAGAGTACCTTTGATTATTGGTGATGGTATTGGATTGGCTACTACTTGGGCGTCTACAATTATTATTTATATTTATTATGAATGTGAGGTAGTTGGAGGCTTTGGGGTTTTTACCTGCTTGTGGTGTAGATCTCGTGACTACTGGACCTGGAATGAAAAACAGACATGATTAAGTTGGACAACTTATGGATTTTAAGTAATTTTTTCGTTTGATAGATGTATATCTATAAATATATAAATCTATTTGTATGTTCGTAACAGGCATCTTCTGGATTTTAGGGATAAATATCGTTGATGATATGACAGCAATCTTTGATCCAATATTAAAGGTAGGTATTATCTTTTCTTTTGAAAGCTCTTTTTGCTTAAATCTCGACGTTTTCGGTAAAATCTACTAATTCAATTGTTCAGGTTTTTAAAATGTTAAAATTCCCTGTAAATTCGATAAAGTGCACAAATTGAAAAGAAAAATTTCACGGTTTATTCTATAACAATAGAAAGAATTTAAAAAATCGAAAAATTCAAAATTTTAATAATCTGGAAAATGGATAAATCGGAGAACTGAAGAATCGAAAAACTGTAAAAACGAATTCCAAAAGTGAAATGACGAAAAAACAAAAAACTGAAACATCGAGAAAATAAATATCAAAAGATGGAGAAATCGAAAACTCGAGAAGTCGAAAAACGGAAAAGTCGAAAAATCCAAGAATTGAGAAATTAAAATAGCCCAAAATCGGAAAGTTAAAAATTCGAAAAATTAAGAAATCGAAATATCGAAGAACTGAAAAGTGAGAAACCGAAAAATATAAAATTTTAAATATTGAAAAATCAAAACATGGAAAAATTGAAAAACCAAAAAGTCGATTAATCGAGGAAATCCAAAATCGAAAAAGTGGAAAAAATGAAGAATCCATGAATCGTAAAATCGTAAAACTGAAACATCGGGAAATTGAGAAATTGAAAAATAAAAAAAACGAGAAGTTGAAAATTTGAAGATCGAGAAATTAAAGAATCCAAAAATTGAAAAATCTCAACACTGAAAGATCGAAAAAGTGAAGAGTCCAAAAAAAATCCTAACACTGAAACATTGAAAAATTGAAAAATCGAGAAATCGGAAACCAGAAAAATGGGAAAATTAAAAACTGAAAAATCGGGAGATCGAGAAGTTGGGAAATCGGACAGCCGAAAAACCAAAAAATCAATTAATCGAGAAATTGAAAAATCGAAAAAACGAAAAAATCGAGAAATCAAAAATTTGAACAACGAGAATTAAAGATTCGAAAAATTGAAAAATTTAACACTGAAATATTGAAAAGTTGAATAATCGAAAAATTGAAATTCGAGAAATCGAAAAATTGAAAATCGGGAAATTGAAAAATCGAGGAAAAACTGAAGAATCGAAAAATTAAAAAATTCCAAAACTGAAACATTGAAAAATTGATAAATCGGAAAGTCGAAAAATTTAAAATTTAGAAACGTCGAAAATTGAAAAATTGATAAATCGAAAAATTGAAGAATTGATAAACTGGAAAATCATAAAACTGAAACATCAGGAAATTGAGAAATCGAAAAATTTGAACATCGAGAAATTAAAGGATCGAAAAATTGAAAACTTTCAACACTGAAATATCGAAAAAGTGGATAATCCAAAAATTGAAAAATCCTAAAACTGAAACATCGAAATGTGAATTCTGGCACATTATTAATTGTCGCCACTGCATCTGCCCTCAGCTCAACAACTAATTCAACCACTAAATTTTATTTTTCGAAATGAATCTTAAAAAAAATGACGATTTTGATAAAACGACAGTTAAATGTTACCTCACAAATTCACGAACGCATGTTCAATTTCCAATTTGCCCGTTTCATACTCTCCTTCCATTTATTGAACACCAAAAAAAATCACAGCCAACAGAAAAACAAAAAAAATATATATTGACTGATACTTCAGTGTCGCCAGTCTTTTCAGTAATTTTTAATGCACTTTACTAGTAATCGTAGCGTGGATCTAATCGTTTGTCATTTTGTTGTTTAAATTCTTTTTTATTTTTTCATTTTTACTTTCTTCCAAATACTTTTCGCTCAATTTTCTGTTGTTCATTTTTAAAATGTTAATTCGTATATAAACAAATCAAAATGAATTCCACTATTTGCCTAACATTTAAATATTATTTAGGAACTTTACATTACCGTACAAATTCTTACAAGCCTTCCCTATAAGCTTACTTTAATTTGTTAGCACTTACTCTTGACTGTTGTAACTATCCGGCCTTTCCTGCGACGATCCTCTATGGTTCCCGTTCCCGTAGTTATTGTTGCTAGGTCTTTGCTGCGTCGAAGTCCCCACATTCGCGGGCCTTTGCTGTGTCGAAGTCCCCACATTCGAGGGCCTTTGCTGCGTTGAAGTCCCCACATTCGCGGGCCTTTGTTGAGTCGAAGTCCCACCATTCGTGGGCCTTTGTTGGGTCGAAGTTCCCACATTCGTGGGCCTTTGCTGGGTCGAAGTCCCCACATTCGTGGGCCTTTGCTGGGTCGAAGTCCCCACATTGGTGGGTCTCTCGTGCGAAGAAGTCCCATAACTACTCGGTCTCTCCTGCATCGAACTTCCATAATTCGAGGAGCTTACCGGCTCCCTGTTGTTCAAAAACGCGCCTTCGTCGCTGGGTCTTCCCGCGGGTGTATTGCTGGGTCGAGTAACCTTACTACCACCATTGGGTCTGATCTGACTGATGTGCAACTGAGGAGTAGTGGTTGCCACTTCCTCTCTGCCCGACGTGCAGATAGTTTTACCATTTAGTCTAATCGTGTTAACACTAGGGATGGTAGCGGCGAGGTTGTACTTGACGAAGAACCTCACCGATACAGGAGGTCCGGCCTCCAGTTTATATCTGGGATTTTTTATCGTGAATTCTTGGTTGTCGCTGGAGACGGTTTCACCGAACCAGTTCTGAAAAAATGGGCAAGTTTATATTGTAGCTGTAGTGTTCAGAGCTTGCTGCGACGGTACCCCTAGTAGTTCTGCTGGTCGATCGAGGATCACTTTTAACCAGACGCCGTCTAGATCTTCAAGGGTTTGAAGAGATATAACTCCGTACCAACGATCTTCTTCTTGGACGCGAGGTTCGTAGGAGAAGATTTGTGGACATGGTGATGGGTTTTGGCTTTGTGCTAGCTGGGCGGTGAGGGCGAAAAGAGAGATCAGTATTAGCATTGCGGTGCTGGAAAAGAGAGCTGGAAGTTAGTGTCCTTGAAATAAATTACAGATTTGCAGAATTTTCGTACTCTTGTGACCCTCACACTATTTGTTATATTTTATTTAGAAGAGAAAATTATCTTCCGACGCTATGGAAATTATGTAAATTTCCGTCAACAGGCAGACGATATAAGTAAGAATTTGGAATACTTTTCGATCATACTAACTTATTCGACGTTTTTCTATTAATAAATAAAAAATATCCATCATATTAACAGTGGGCATTTGCCGAGTACAAAGAAGAGATTAGTACGCACTGACACCAAAACCAAGAACAACACTAAATTATCTGGAACTTGTTTCACTCTGTGGATGCATTTCACCAAGTATGCTCAGAATCAACCACTGACCTTCAAAGTCCAAAAATACAATTTTTCTCAAAACTTCGTTTTTCCTTCAAAACAACATATGAACACACGTTTCAAGAATTCACAGTTAAGGATGTACCATCGCTCGAATTTAATTAACATCTGTTTGTTTAATTCAAATCAAAACAAGTTTATAAAAATAAAAAATAGCGGTAAAAAATAACGTACGTAAAAACAAATCAGTGGAATCCGTGCTCACGCAAACATTTCTTGCCACTCATTCAGTTTCCGGTTCCAACTAATTATTGTGTCGCTTATTACTTCATAATTATAACGAGGATGGTGGAATAATTTGAGAACCTCTCGACAATGTCTGCGACGTCAGAGTGGATAACTCCGTTGACCTTATCTAAATGTTGTCAAAAAAATTGTCTCTAGTTTTCGGAATCCGTCATATTCAACAGAAAAACATTCTTGGAATCGCGAAAAGTGGAATTTTTAGTTGTACAAGTTATCTTTAGTCGAATTCAACGACAAAGTCATGGCACAAAGCTTATTAGCAATTATAATTATTTTAATGAGTTGGAATGAACAATGTCCATCAGACTAATGGTGTTTTCCCGTCCTTTGACAAGGTAAAGAGTTTTTTACCTACCTGGAGCGTCTTCTGTGGTGTTGACGGTTCAAATCTTTGGGGTTCGTTCCTCTTCGATGTGGAGTTCTTCACGATGTACAACACTTTTTGCAAGTCTCGATGCTAAATCGTTCGCTACTGAGCCCACAAGATTAAACTGATTCTTACAAACCTGTTTACAAACATGAGCATTTATTTATTATATGGTAGGAATTTCCGATTCAAAAACTTGACCTAGAGGTTAGCGCCAAATTTTAAAATGACTTTCAAGAGTTTTCTTCTTACGACATGAGGTGTGACTTTCAGCTGCTAAGAAAAAAATTGGTCGAAGGTTATTTCGATCTCGATTTCTCGCCTTTGAGGTACAGTTGAACAAATTCCACTTCTTTGAAAAATTATAAAATTTGATTTTGAGAACTTATTTATGATAATCTCTATAAATTGAAACAAAAATAGACAATACTAGTGACAGTGTAAAAAAGTAAATTGTAGTCTATAAATGAGCCTTAAGGGTGGCGTCTGGTTCGGTTTCGCCCAATACTAAATACATTGAAAACATCGTCGTAGTTTCCGGAATTGCATTTTTAAAATACTGAAATCTCCAACCAAGTCAGAATCTAAGTAAACCTGCATTCTGCTACCGCATCACAGCTCGTTTAATGCCGATTTCTCGTTTCGATAGATTTTGACTTTTCGCGAGTTATTTACCTCAGTCGTGGATTTTTTAATATTATAAGTGGTATCAAAAGAAAGCTGACACTTTTCCCCAGGGGACCTCCTATCTCAGAATGCAAAAAACTTCAGCACTTCGTCAAAAAAAGCATCAATGTGCCGGTTAAAATGTGATGTAAAAGTTGTTCAACTTTATAATTTTTTTTTGTAAAAACTGCATACTGGATATGAATATAAATATGGAGGTCCCCTGGACTGAAGTTTGTTAATTCGAAATATATTTTTTTAAAGCGATATATCTCATATTTTTAAAATGCAACTCCGGAAACCGCGACGATGTTTTCAATGTATTTAGTATGGGGCTAAACCGAACCAGACGCCAGCCTTAACACTCTGAAATGTCGAACAAATTAAAAATGAAAAATCGAAAAATTGGAAAATGTGATACTTGATAAAGCAAACATTGAAAATTGATTCATTAAAAACCGGATAATCGAGAAATCGAAAAAGTGTAAAAAATAAAACTGAAAAATCAAAAAATTTATTGCAAAATTACAAAATTGAAAAATTGACTGATTTTAAATCGATACATTATTTAACTGTAAAACTAAAAAATTGCAAATATAAAATTGAATAAATGATGAAATGAAAAATCAGATAATTGTAAAAGAGAAAAATTGGTCTAAAGAGTTTAGACAGTACTTCCCTCGCTGTCGGAAACTTGACGACTGCATGCCTATTGTGTTTTTTTCTCATTACATTTTTGTAGTGGGAATTTAAAAAAAAAATGCGATGACGTCATCAACATTTTTGCAAGGACACGTATATCAGTTGGGATAGATGTAGTGTAATACTAAGAATAAAATTATTATATTCTCAAATTTTCGGGAAAATGAATTGGGTCGTTTTGAATATTGATTTGTAATAATCAATAAAATAACGAAACAATTTACTCACGTATACCTACGTATCAGAGGCAACTGAAAATCGTGTATGTATAAACATTCTTAATTTAAGATGACAGGCGTAACAGCATACGTGAGAGTCAAACAGAGAAACTGTAAACAAAACGACCATCGGTTTTATTGCTTCGACTTCCGCTTATTATATAAAACATTGGGTTTTATTTTAATTCTTGACGGTGAAATTCACAATTGGTTGATTATAAACATGTCTATTTCACATTCGCGGAACCAAGTGAGCGCATAAAACAAATGCCGGTCTGTAATGTTAAAGTCGATGTAAATAAGCGTGCTACCCTTATGTTTCAACCGAGTTTTTCCTTTAACAAATTTTGTGTCTACCAAATTGGGTTGGTTGGGGTGTAATACTAATAATAAGTGTTGCCTTTAATTTAATCAATAAAATAAATTGACTTCATTAATTTTTTTGAACCACCTCTTAAGAAAATCTAAAAAATATGAATGGAATGATAAATCACAAGTACAAACTCATCATATTTTTTGCATTTTACATAGGATTTATTCAACAAAATTTAAGGGTGACGTCATCAATTTTTTTAGGAGGGATGAACAAATACATTTTGAACCAAAGTTTACCATGCTTATAATAACTTTAAAATATTCCCAAGATTTCAAAGCATTCGGTTTTGTAATTCCTGATTAAATCGATAAAATAAATTCACGCCTTCATTAATTTTTTTGAGTCACCCTGCATATGCAAATCCAAAAATATGAATGGAATGATAAATCACAAGTACAGACTCATCATATTTTGTACATTTTAGATACGATTTATTCGGAAAACTTTTGAGCTGACGTCATCAGTTTTTTGTAGAAGATAACCAAATATATTTTGACTAAAAATTTATTATGCTCTTTATAACCTTAAAACATCTGCAAGATTTCAAAGCATTCGGTTTTGTAGTTCCTGATTAAATCAATAAAATAAATTTACGCATTCATTAATTTTTTTGAGTCACTCTGTATATGCAAATCCAAAAAATATGAATGGAGTGATAAATGACAAGTACAGGCTCATCATATTTTGTACATTTTAGATATGATTTATTCGGCAAACTTTCGAGCTGACGTCATCAAGTTTTTGGAGGGGATAAGCAAATATATTTTGACTAAACATTTATTATGCTCTTTATGACCTTAAAACATCTGCAAGATTTCAGAGCATTCGGTTTTGTAGTTCCTGATTAAATCAATAAAATATATTTACGCATTCATTAATTTTTTTGAGTCACCCTGTATATGCAAATCCAAAAAATATGAATGGAGTGATAGATCACAAGTACAGACTCATCATATTTTGTACATTTTAGATATGATTTATTCCACAAACTTTTGAGCTGACGTCATCAAGTTTTTGGAGGGGATAAGCAAATATTTTTTGACTAAAGATTTATGATGCTCTTTATAGCCTTAAAACATCTGCAACATTTCAAAGCATTCTGGTTAGCAGATTAAAAATTAAATTTCAAAATGTTGTTTTATAATTTTGATTTTTTTTCCAAAAATCTGGATGTTTCGGGTGAAAAGTCGATTCAGAGTTGTAAACTACATGTGTAGGACTATGTTATTTTATACAATTGAAAACCCATTTACTATGTACAATTTTGAAGTGACGTCATCGCTTTAGTGGTGGGGATGATTCGACAAATTTTGGTTAGCGTTTTACCATCTACATGATATTCTTAATATAAGTACAAAATTTCACAACAATCGGTCGAGTACTTTCGGAGATTATCTGTCTAATAAAAATCCGGGACAACAGACGGACAGACGGACAGACGGACAGACGGACGGACAGACGGACAGACGGACGGACAGACGGACAGACGGACGGACAGACGGACAGACAGACGGAAATGGGAGACCTATTTCTTCGTCTTCTAGGGGTCATGAAAGATCGAGAAAACGTAAAAGTAGAGAGTCGGCCGACGGACTCGATTACAATACTTCCTTTGCTTACGCTCGGGAAGTAAAAATTAAAAACTGAGAAATTATGAAATTGAAAATTTAGAAACTTGAAACATTGAAAATCGAGATTTTGAAAAATTAAAAATCAAAAAATTGGAAAATAAAAAACAACGAAATTCGAATAATTGAAAAATCAAAAACTGATCATGTAATTGAAAAAACGGAAAATTACAAAATTGGAAATTGGGAAATTGATTAGTAAAAACCGTATAATGGAGACATCCAAAAATTCTAAAAATGTAAAATTGAAAAATCAAAAAGTGTAAAATCGAAACATTGTATAGGTACCTTTAAAAACAAAAAATTGTAAAATAATTAAACTAGGAAATGAAATTTTGAAATTTTGAACAATTAAAAATCAAAAAATTGAAAAATTGCAAAATTACAAAATTGAAAAATTGGATAATTGTAAAATCGAAAAATTGTAAAAATATAAAACTGAAAAGTTAAAAAAATGCAAAATTATCAAACTGAAATATCGCATAATTTTTGAATTGAAAAATGGAAAATCAGACAACTGTAAAATAGAAAAATTACAAAATTATGAAATACTCTATTAAAAATTAAAAAATAAGAAAATCGAAGCAATGAAATTCGAATTATGTTTCAAATGGGTTTTAGCTTTACAAAATGTTGTGATGACGTCATTAAAATTTTTACAAGGACACGTGTTTCAATTTGGATAGGTTTAGTGTAAAACTAATAACAACAGTATTGTATTCCAAAATTTTGCAGGATAATATGGAGTGAATAACGGAGTATTTTGCACATTTTCAATAGGATTTATTCGGCAAAATTTTGAGATGATGTCATCAATTTTTTAAAGGAAATAACAGATATATTTGGACTGCAAATTTACCAAGCTTACGATAACTTTAGAAGGTCTGCAAGATTTTAAAGCATTCGGTAGAGCAGTTTCTGATTTAATCAATAAAATAAATTGATTCATTTGTTAATTGTTTCATTCACCTTGTATAAGTAGTTCTAACAAATATGAATGGAATGAGTAATTTTAAATTACTAGTATAGACTCATCAACATTTTGCAACTAAAATGATTCAGACAAAATTTTCCTTCTTTTGACAAATTATAAAACTATAAGAATAATTCCTACTTATATGTTGAAATAAAAATGGGGGGATTATTGAGCCATAAAGTAATGATTTAAAATTAAAACATTTTATACAAAAATTTGCTTTTACCGTCGCAAACTAGAGTGTTAAGAAAAGTTGTCCATATTTTACAATATTAGATCAGGTGTTTAATATTTAATAGTGATAAAATTTAAAATGTACAATAGCCTTGGTAAAGGACAAAGTTGGACGTCCCAAAACGTCGACAATGTTGTAAAAAAAATATTATTTAATGTCCGATTTCCCACTATCGGTTTTTAATTTATGTAGGTAGATGAATGCGAATGAAAATAGAATTTTCTTAGAAAGTTTTCTCGTTAAACAAATTTAAAAAAAGTGAGGGGTGGGCAAGCACCGCAAAAATTTTTAGTCCGTTTTTTTTATAATCTTTTGTACCAATATTGCGTAATCAAAATTCCCTAAAACTAGTAAATTCGTATGTTGTCGCGTGTTGCTTTTGAAATGTCAATCAACCCGTTTATTTTCTAACCAATGAAAGTTGGCCAGGTGAGAAAAAAACAAACGATGTACGTGTCGTAGTTTCGTGTTTATGTTTATCGTTTGTGTTATCTCCGGTATTCCAGAATAAACGTGTGAATGAAGTTAAGTTATCAAATACAAAAATGCATTTCTGGTGTTTCTTTCTAGCCTCACTTTTCGTTCTGTTTAGCGCAACACCCACCACCCAAGCATGCAAGGGTTGCGTTTCTCTCGACGAATTAAATTTCGAGAAAATTATTTCAAGATTCGAAGTCGTGATGGTGAAGTTTGACGTGGCGTACCCCTACGGGGACAAGCACGAGGTTTTCACAAAACTGGCCGAAGAAGTCGCCAAGAACGATGACCTGATCATGGCGGAAGTGGGCGTGAAGGACTACGGCGACAAAGACAACGAGGAATTGGCAAAAGAATACGGCTTGGGCAAGGACGATTTTCCTGCTATCCGTTTGTTCGTCAAAGGCAAGGCGCCCATCGAATTCCCAAAAGACGCTGACTGGACAGTGGATAACTTGCGCAATTTGATCAAAGACAACTCTAACGTTTACGTGGGGCTTCCTGGATGTCTGGAGAAATTCGATAGATTGGCGGAGGAGTTTGTGCACTCGGGAAACAAACAGAAGAAACTGGAGGAAGCAGAACAAATCGTAAATCAAGTGAGTGAGGAGGAGAGAGGCACCGCATCACAGTACATCAAGTTCATGAAGAAGATCGTGGAAGTTGGGACGGGCTTTGTCAGCCAGGAGTTGGCACGTCTGAATAAGATTTTGAAAGATGGGAAGGTGAACGAGAAAAAGAAAATGGAGTTGGCCGGAAGAGTCAACATTTTGAGGTCTTTTTCTTTGCCCAAGGATGAATTATGAAATATTTTTTATACTTAAACATTCCGACATTGTCTTCTCGTAAAATTAACCGTAGTCAGTATAGTGTGTTTTTATAAAATTATGTTTGTTTTTGCAAATAAAGTTTTTTTGATTTTGGCGTATTTGTGTTGTATATGGAATGCACTGATTTCAGTTGTATGAAATTTTAAGTCGTTACTGACAACCGGTTTTGCAACTTGTGCTAACTGTTGCCAATTAATTTCTCTTATAAAAGTTAGGAACTGCACTTTCCATTAGAGGGCAACTTTAGATTATACAGAGTTAATGTATGTTAATGGAAATTAATTAACTATATTTGTTTACAATTTTTACTTCCCTTGTGTAAGCTAAGGAAGTATTGTAATCGAGTCCACTGCTTTCTCGTTTCCGTCTGTTTGTCAGCCGTCTGTCCACGTCGATGAAAAAATCAAAATTGTACAACACTTTACAACTTAACTTTGAAATTAATCTCAAAATTTTGCCAAATGAATCCTATCTAAAATGGGCAAAATCAGGAACGGCTTAGTTCATTTTTCAGAAAATTTGGGAATACAATACTGTTATTATTAGTTTTACACTGCACCTATCCAAATTGATAGACGTGGCTGTAAACGAAAAACTCATTTGAAATATGTGCGTAGCATGCTTCTTTAGGTTTACTATAACATTACAAACATATCTTTATTTTAACTTATATAGGTAATTCTTCAAAACCTAATTTTTCACTTTAATTATTTTACAGTTTTTCGTTTTTAAAGGTAATTCGATTTTTCAATAATCCGAATTTCATTGTTTCGATTTTCTTACTTTTTGATTTTTCAGTTGCATAATTTTGCAATTTTTCATTTTTTGTAATTTTATTATTTTACAATTGTCTGATTTTTCAATTTGAAGTTACACGATTTTTCAGTTTTGTAATTTTTTGATATTTCAGATTTATATTTTTACAATTTTTCGATTTCTAAATTGTCCAGTTTTTAATGAATCGGTTTTGGAAACCTTCGGTTCTGCAATTTTTCAATTTTTAGTAATTTCAACAACATATTCCAATTTCATTGTTTCGATTTTCCAATTTTTCGATTTTTCATTTTTCAGTTGTTCGACATTTCAATTATAAAACAGAATTTTTTCCATCTCAAAATTTTTAGATTATAAAAATATAGTGTGTTAAAGTCTCAAAATCTAATTTTATCATCTTTCAAAGAAGTGGGATTTGTTCGACTGTACTTCAAAGGCGAGGGAAGTCTTGTCGAAGAGTATGCTGTCAGTGAATAGACAGGCCGAAATAAACGAACGTGTTTAGTATCTGTTTTATTAAAAAATTGCGATTTTGTAAAATTGTAGTGTTCTATTCAAATTTAGCGCCTTGATCGTAGACCAAAGCCCGTTCATGATTGGTCAGTGCGCGTCTGTATGCTGTTGTTATATAGTGGTTTTATATATCTATCATATATAACACCGGTTGAGTGATTAGTCGCAAAAGTTTTATTAATTACACGAAAAAGAAAGTCGAGAACGATATTTTTCATTTAAAATGCCTGAATTCGTTGTAAGTATTTACACCAATGCACTGCAGATTGAAGTTCGTTTTTGCTTCTAATGAAAACATAACCTCTCTTTTCAGGAGACAAAAACTTCGGAAATTAGGGATCGTACCGTGAGTGAGAGCTCTGACACGGATTTCGATCCTCAGTTTAAGCCGATTGTCACACTACCGGAAGTAGAAGTTTCCACAAACGAGGAAAACGAAGCTGTTCTATTAAAAATGCGAGCAAAGTTGTATCGTTTTGACTCGACTAGTGAACCGTCGGAGTGGAAGGTTTGTTCGTTTTTTAAATACGAAACGTAACTAACGGCGATTTGTAGGAAAGAGGCACCGGCGAGATGAAAATCTTACAGCATAAAGAAAACAATTCCGTACGGATTGTTATGCGTCGTGACAAAACGTTCAAAGTATGCGCGAACCATTTTATAACTCCTTGGATGGTGTTAAAACCAGCCGTAGGGAGCGAAAAAGCGTTCGTTTATACCGTGGCTGCCGATTTCGCTGATGAGGAACCGAAAAGTGAATGTCTTGCAATAAAATTTGCTAGTGTTGAAAGTAAGCGTTTGATTAATGTTGGTGTATTAATTAACTGAGGAGTGTTCCAGATGCTAATTTATTTAAGAATAAGTTTGAAGAAGCTAAAGAAATTCTTCTGGAAAAATGTAGTTTGTATAACGGGGAATGTGATGAAGACAGTGAGGAATGTAAAGAGGTTGAAGAATCAAGAGAAATTACAGAAAAGTTGTCAGAGTTAGCTGTTAATAAAGAAAGTGACGAAGTCAAGGAAACATGAAGCGTCTCTGAGAATCTCAATTTTCTTCCACTTTTCACAGTTTGTATTTTTTATATTCCAGATGTTAGTTTTGTATGAGCATGACGCAGAATTATTTTAGTAATAAAAAAGAAAAACAGAACCAAATAAGCTATCATTTTATATTGAATTGTTAAACTTATAGATATATTACAAATATATTACAATTTACAATGACAGATTAATATAGAAATATTAAACTTCCATAACTTGAAATAAAATTATATACCACAAAAAGTATTTCATCAACATTCGCGTCACATACATACACTTAGGCTTTACTTAGTTTTAGAGCTGAAAGTAAAGGACCACTATAACATGAAATGAGACTTTCTAACCACATTCAACTCAAAGAACAGATGTCATTATTGTCGGTAATGAAAAAATCAAAATATAAACAATATCAGGAAAGAATATTTCTATAAAAATACAAATGGAATGTGTAGTTAGTTACATAGTAGATTAATAAATATACTCCAATAGCGCTAGATGAGACAAAACTATCAGTCAAACATTTCTTCGTTTTTATTCAATTAACTTAACGTCTGAACAAAAGAATGTTCCCCAAGTTGAGATCTTCCGCCGACACTGGAACATTCCTTCGTTCATTAAGTAAAAAAATAAACAGTAAATACAATTAGGCGATTCTTTTATATAAAACATTTGAGCAGTATAAAATTAAGTACATTTTGTAATTTGCCTATTGTTAAAACGAACAACTTTTAGCAAAAAACATTTATTTATTATTGCTATATTCCTCTTTTTTTGTTCGAGATAATTGTTTAGAATTATTATGAGACAACAGTCTTTGATACAGTTTTTAAGCTACGGACATTTTTTACATTCAATATCATTTAAAAGTAATTGAACACAATTAAATAAGTCAGTTCAACGCAAAACTGATATGTAGAAAATAGAGTATCTATATCATGTCGTTTTTGATTTACAGTAATAACGTATAATAAAATTATTGGTGTTGTCCCTTGTTTTGTGATTATCTTGTCAAATTATCCAAAATCGTTGCCACAGAACACGAATTAAGTATATATAAAAAAAATAGTACTATAAATATAAAAAAAGTTTGTACAATATAAAAAAGAATACGTAAAATTTACTAAAAAAAAATCACAACAGTATTTTTTGATTTATCAATAAATAACGTCAAGCTGCCACAATATTAACACATACGTATCGTAAAAAAAATTATATAAAATTTTCACTTAGTCTTGTACACGTTCGTTTAGACACCTTTAAAACGTCTTTTAGTCATTTCACACTAAGAACCCCTCTGAGCCATTAACCCTAATTTGCGCCCTTATATTTTGCACGCTGTTCATAATTTTCTTTTGATGGCCAACCAACGTGATGCCCAGCTCAGTTAATTCTTTCACTGTTAAGTTTACAACAGCATCCATGGTGTTAATCCCTCCGGCATGAAAATTTTCTAGGTATCTGGTCATTTTGATGGAATTCAACCATTCTTCTACTGACGTGAAGTTCGTTAAGTCGGGTGCATCAGCTGATAGGGGATTTGTCGAACTGAAAAATATATTTGGCCATACCATGAGAAACAACATACATACACAAAATACAATGTTCAGTCTGGAGCAGAGTAGGGTGCCTTGACGTATGATGTCGTTTTTGAGGGTGTGGAGTGTGGATAAGAAATGACGGCATCAATAGTCGGTTTGTCATAATATTAAATTAAAAATTTTAAAAATGTTTTCGGGTTAGAATAAATCTTAAGAGCAACGCACAAAAAAGGAGAGTTTTAGAAGAATGAGGTGCATCAAGGACTACCATATCTGTTTCTTTTTAAGTTGACATCGCTGTTAGTCGTGTCCACATTCTTAAAAACGACATAATACATCAATGCACTCTAGAGCAGAGAACGATCATTTAAATTTGGATCTAGGAACCATATTTTTATGACAATGAGTATATTTTTGATATACATATACGTGTGTAACTAGTGTTATTTAAATATTTACACTCGAATTTAAATGATCGCTTGAACTTGCTCTCAAATGTACAAGTGTTAATTCTGTGCACACTTTAAGCAAACCGTGTTAAAAATTGTTCATAAAATGCATAAAAGTAAACGTTCGTAAAACAGAAAAAAATCAAAAACATGCAATAAAAACATGAAAAGCATATTTACATGTTGTTAAAAGTGACCCAAGCGCCCCTTTTAGTGTACGTGTGTGGTGATAAATCAGTGTCTTCCTTATATGAACACATATGGTCAGAACTGCCGAAATTGGAGCCGTAAATCGTATTCAGTTCGAAAGCGTTAAAGCGTTCTTGTGACGGCCACTGATTGAAATTTAAAAGAGAACCGCAATATGGATTACTCATTTCATAATTCTGCAAAAGAATTACGTCTGGCAATCCGTAATCGCCGAAGAAACAAGAATTTTGCTCCCTTATGGGCAGTTCTGATGAACGATGTATATCTTGCCAAATATATGGATTAAATGGTGGCGGCGGAGGGCTAGAATAACAAAAATTAAAAACTAAACATAACGAAGAGATACTAGTCTTTTACAATGAAGGCGAATGTTCTGTGTTTTCAGTTATATTATTTGTCAAAATTTCAACATATCCGTCTTCGTTGGACACAGAACCCCGCCCACAGGACCAACAAAAAAGTAAGAAAAAAGAAAAGTGGCAAAAAGCACTAACATGCGCTACGCTAGATCAAAAGCTTACCGATTCTGTGCTATTTTTCTTAAGGTGTCTGGTACCCGAATTAATTTATCTAACGTTTTAACGATCGATTGGAATGTAGGCCTGTGAGTACGTTCCTTTTGCCAACAGTCCAACATGAGTTGGTAGATTGCCTCCGGACAGTCCATTGGTGCCGGCAGTCTATATCCTTTCTCTATACTCTTGATGACGTCCTGATTCGACCAATTCCAATAGGGTCTTTCACCATACGACATCACCTCCCAACACACGATACCTGAAGATGAAGATGTTTCGTCAGTTTTTGTTACATAGGAAAATATTTAGCAGAAATAAATCGGTGAACGGCAGTGGGTGGAAATTTCATGGCTTCGTTTTTACACATTTATTTTTTAAATCTAGTAGATCAGATCTTTTTCTCAAAATGGCCACGATTAGGACTAGGTGTGTCAAACGATGGGAAAATTGGGTCGACGCCACATGAGTTAAAGTTTTTAAGTGAGGGCTAACATGTTTCAGTACTTACTGGCAGCATCATCAAGGCTAAATGATGAACATGAATTGGCTTATGAAACATAGTGATTATATAAATTACACGAGTTATGCTTGAGAGTTTAACTGCGTTCAAAATTTGTCATTGTGACAAAATAAAAAACAAAAATTGGTCGCAGGTTATTTCGACAGAACTTTCCTCGCCCCTGAAATGCAGCTCAACAAATCCCGCCTCATCGAAAAATTACAAAAATTGTTTGCGATTTTTGCCTTATTCTGATAACCTCTATAACGTAAAAACCAGTGGCGTAAATAATAATTTTTCTGTTTCTTCAGTTTTTCGATTTGCCATTTTTTGAGTTTTTAAGTTCAAGTTTTTCAGTGTTTCGATTTAAAATTTCTCCAGGTTTCAATTTATGTATTAATTTTTGAACTTTTCGATTCTTTAATTTTTATATCTACAAATTTTCGCTTTGCAATTTTTCGTTTCGGTTTTTTATATTTTACAATTTTTCGAATTTTCCATGTTCTGATTTTATAAGTTTGTTTTTCAACTTCAATTTTTTCAATTTTTCGTTCACTCACTTTTCCATATTTTTTTTTGTTTCTTAGATTTTACGATATGCAACTACGAATTTTCATTTTAAAATTTTTCACTTTTTCGGTTTTCCAGCTGTTGAATGTTTCAATTTTTCGATTTGCAATTTCTCGAGTTTTCAATTTCGGTTTCAAATATATTGAACTGTGTTTAAGAATGGGTGAAACGCGCGAGAAACCTCTGTGCTGTTACTGCAGTAACCCTGCTGTAAAAAAAAAGGGTCCTATGTGCAAACTGTGGGTCATACTTTCATCCAAGTTGTGCAGAAAAAAACAGAAAAAACTGCTGTGAACAACCTATGATAACAGAAGAAAAACATCGGTGTGACAACCTCGACAAAAATTATCAACTTACTTTCACCTACGAAGAAGATTCGGACGATGAGCTAAATAACTCAGTAATCAATAAGTCTGTAAGTTTTGAAAATAGTGTACTCAAAGACCTAAACAGGGATTTACAAAATCAAGTCACTGTGCTACAAGAAAAAGTCAATATGTTCCACTGTAGTATACCGGCATCGGCACCCACATTAAATAATGCCACGGTAAATGACGACAGTACATCGGTATCAGAATTACTGCTTCAAATGAAAATGGAAATAAATGACAATTTTAAAATTCTTTTTACGGAACTGAAAGACATCAGGCTGAAATTAAAGGGACTGGAATGTAAAATCTCCAGTGAGCATATGAGTAATGGACCCGCCGCTACCAGCGCAGCAAAGAAAACTGAGCAAATCATTATATCAGATAATTTTAACATAAAGAAGGGCGAGGAAAGACAAGATAAAATAAATAACAAAAAAAAATCTAACTCGAAAGAAAGAGATAATCAGAAAGCGAAACTGAAAGACATCGTCAGTAATGAAAAGCACCAAAAACCATCTTTGAGCAATGAATCCAACTTAATAGCACTTGAAAGAGATCAATTAAATTTAATGAAATCGATCATCAATCTTCCCAATAAAGAACCGTCAAAGGTGACTAAAGTTAAAAGCACCGAAGATATTGATAATAAACCTAAGGAAGAGGAAGTTTTCACTGAAATTCGCTATAATAAAAACAAAAGGCGACATCTTGTGGTTGGTAAAGGAGATGCACAAACCACCATTCCCCTTAGAGCAGTTGAAAAGAAGGCGTTCTTGTTTGCCACTCGTTTTGATCCAAATACTACGGCGGAGGACATAAAGAAGCATGTCAGCAGTGTATGTGAATCCGAAGTTGTAAAACTTGATCTTAAAAGTAAAAACAGCACTGCGTCATTTAAAATTATGATATCTTTTCCAAACAAAGATAAGGTACTGAACGAAAACTTTTGGCCAAAGGGTATTGTGCTAAATCGTTACTATTTTCCAAAGCAACAATCCATCAGCAAACAAGGTGGTCATAACGAATTGAACGACAACAATGCTTTTTTAGAAAAGCGTATGTAAATTACAAAGCGAATACAAACAGAGATCTAGCCTCTGCAAAAAATAGTATTAATATCTTGTACCAAAATGTCCAGTCCTTAAGAAATAAAACAGAAGAACTGGAAGCTTTTCTTGAAGATCAAAATTTGTCACCTTCTGTTATATGCCTCACCGAACATTGGCTATCAGAACCCGAGTGCAACGTTGTATCAGTGGAACGATATTCTGCAAAATCTTACTTCTCAAGAGGAGGTAAAGGATATGGTGGATCCATTATTTTTACCCATCAAGAACTTATTGCCGACAGCATACCCAAGTTAGTAGCCCTATCTTCCAGTAAAATATGTGAAATATCTGCTATACGTGTACCTAACGTGTACCTAACGGTTGTATCTCTATACCGTCCTCCATCAGGCGACTTTGAGGAGTTCCTACGTATCATAGCAAAACTTTTAAATTGCTTAGATGTCAAAAAAAATATTATTCTTGGGGGTGATCTAAACGTCATTTTCAACTCCAATGATGCAAAAAGAACTGCCTTGCTGGACCTACTCCTAAGTTACGGTCTTAAACCCATTGTCAATTTTAACACTAGAGGGGCAAATTGCCTGGACAATGTTTTCACAAACATACAAGAATATTATCTCCATGTTAGTCCTATAGATCTAGGTATTTCTGACCATCGAGGAATATGGCTTGTGATTGATTTTCCTGTCAATCAATCGACGGAGAAGATTGTTATTTCACGACCCATTACCGAATTTGGAAAATTCTGTCTTTACAAATCCCTGGAGCTAGTCGATTGGAACGTCATCACAAATAACTATTCTGACGCAAACAAAAGTTTTCAAGAACTCATTAATGTGATACAACACAATGTCTTTCTATGTTTCCCTGAAAAATTAGTTAAGGCATCTCATTATAAATCTGTGCGCTGGTATAATTATCGACTCAAAAACATGAAAAATAACCTGCTAAAATTGAACGACCTATTTTCTCTGACTAAATGCACTGACATTAAGGCAGCTAGAAATTTATATCGCAATCTATACCGGAACGCAATTCGTGAGGCCAAAATCACTGCTAACGAAAACTACATAAAACAGGCCCACAATAAAACACAAGCTATGTGGTCTACCATCAATGCAAAACGCAGTGACAAATTAACTAATGTTATCAAAAGTTGTAACAAAAATGTCAATGATTTCAATGTTTTTTTCTGTAACATTGCTAGGAATATAACCAGCAAAATACCTCCTTCAAATTATGACCCCTTATTTTTAATGTGTAGTGACTGTAGTAGTGATGTATCGTATTTTCAATTCAGGGAAGTATCTTGTGCCGAAGTTCGAGAAGTAATTAATAAATTGAGAAACAGCAAATCTAGAGACGTCTATGGGTTTAGTGTCGAAATAATCAAAACTATCAAAGATATTATTTTATCCCCCCTCACAAAATTAATTAACACCTGTATTAAATCCTGTACCTTCCCCGACTGCCTAAAGGTTGCGAATGTTATCCCAATTCTTAAAAAAGGTGACCCTAGCGACAGTAGTAATTATCGTCCAATATCGCTTCTTCCGATTTTTTCTAAAATTTTGGAAAAAATTCTTATGGTGCAATTGAGTGGCTATTTTGAGAAACATAATTTAATCTGTTCCAATCAGTTTGGCTTTAGGTCCGGATTAAACACATCAAAAGCATTTATAGATCTCGTTGACGATATCACGGACTGTTTTCACGAAGGTACTTATGCTGCAGCATCCTTCTTAGATTTGACCAAGGCCTTCGACTGTGTGTGCCATTCGCTACTACTTCGAAAACTCTATTTCTATAATCTGCACCCAGAGAGTGTTCGTCTCATATCATCATATCTTAGAAACAGAATTCAAAAAGTCACTATGGGAGAAACGTCTTCTAGCTATCTTCCTGTTACGTGTGGCGTCCCGCAGGGATCTATATTAGGCCCACTTCTCTTCTTAATTTTTATTAATGACCTCCCGTCTAATTTAACAAATTCGAAAGTTATTCTATACGCCGACGACACCACTATACTAAACAGAGGTGATTTTCTTGAAGAATGTGAAGATAAGAATTTGGAGGTACAATCGAAAGCTAAACTATGGTTCAACAGCAACAAACTAAGCATGAACACCGACAAATCAGTCAATATGCTTTTCACACTGAACAGAGATAACCCAACAAATTCAAGCTATAGCAAAGACACGGTATTTCTTGGTATTACCATCGACGACCAACTTCTTTGGAAACCTCACGGGGATAAACTGGCAAAAAAACTAAGTAAAAACATCTTTCTACTTCGTCAACTTAGGAAAAATGTATCCCTAAAAACAACATTAGTTGCATACTTTGCCCTTTTTCATTCTCTGCTGGAATATGGAATAATAGTGTGGGGACACTCTGTCATTCGTCATAGAATCTTTGCTCTCCAAAGACGAGCCATCCGTAGCATAACTGGTCTTGAGTATCGTGCTGACTGCAAATCAGTGTTCGTTTCTCTCAATATTTTAACTCTACCTTCACTGTTTATCTACCACTGCTTAGTTTTCGTCAAAGAACATTTAAATAAATTCCCGAATTTCACCGAGTCTCATTCTCATGACACCAGAAATAAAAATAACCTAATTCCCTTTTACACACGTTTAACAAGGGCACAAACAGGTACAAGATACTTTGCTGTCAAATTTTACAACATTTTACCTACTAACTTCCGAAACCAACCACTAAGTATCTTTAAGAGTAAACTTAAGAGTTTTTTTACAACTAAATGTTTTTACACATTTGATGAATATCTAAAATGTAAAGATTTCAATTGTTTAAATATGTAAGTAGGTAGCCTAAGCAATTAATGACCTGTGTAAAACAATTTGTTTTTAACACCAATAAATTATCTTATCTTATCTTATCTTATCTTGATTTGCAATTTTCGGTTTTTACTTTGTTTATTTTTAGAAATTTCAGGTTTTATATTGTTCTGATTTTATAAATTTTGTTCCCTTCAACGTGAAATTTTCACTTTTTCAGTATTTTTCAATTTTTCGATTTTATATTTATTTGTTTTTAAAATTTTTATCTTTTCACTTTTTCGGTTTTCCATTTTCTTTATTTTTACAATTTTTCGATTTTTAAATGTTCCGATTTTAACTTTTTGGTTTCTTCAATTTTACGTTATAGAACTCTTCGAATTTTCAGTTTTAAATTTTTCACTTTTTCGATTTCCAGCTTTTCCAACCTTCGGATGTTTCAATTTATGATTGCAGGAGTCTTCAATTTTCTCGCTTTTCCAATTGTTCATTTCTTCATTTTTTGAATAGCAATTTTTCTAGTTTTTAATTTTACAATTTTAGAATTTTTCAGTGATTGGATTTTAAAAGTTTTTCATTTTTTTCATTTTTCACTGTTTTGATCCTCCATTGTTACAGTTTTTCAACTTTACAATTTTGACGATACCATAATTTTTCGATTTTACAATGTTTGAATTTTCCAGTTTTTCGATTCGATTAATTTTTTCTTCCCAATTTTTCGATCCATTAATTTCCTTCGATTTTTAAGTTTCTCGATTTTTAGATTTTCAGTGTTTCAATGTTTGTTTCTCCAGTTTATTCATTTGAAATTTTTTGATTTTCCTCTTTTTCGATTCTGCAATTTTTCGTTTTTTCAGACAATTTTTCAACTTTTCGAATAAAATGAATGAATGGCAACTTTGAAAAATCTAAAAATTGGAAATCAGGAACTTGAAAAATTGATGAAACTAAAAATTAAAAAATCCGAAGATTAAAATTGAGAAACTTAAAAATCGAAATAGTGCAAAATCTAAAAGTTGAAAATTAAAGAAATCGGAAAATCGTCTAACTGGAAATCCAAAATTTGCAAAATTGAATAAACTAAACATTATCAACTGGAAAGATTAAAAAAAATAAAGGAAATGGAAAAACGAAAATTGTTGCATAAAATCGAGAAAATGAAAAATTGCAAATCGAAAAATTGAAGAAACGAAACATTAAACAATTTGAAGTCGAGAAATTAAAAAATTGAAAAATGAAAGAAAAGGACAAAACGAAAAATTGTGATATCAAAAAAATTGGTCGGAGATAAATAAATCCAGACTTTTCGAAGAATTATAAGAAATGATTTTATGAATGTTATTTTTTTATGATGACCCTTATAATTTAAAATAAAGATATGTACGTAATGTACGCGTTTGTTTCAAGTGAGTTCTTTCATTACAAAATTTTGTAATAACGTCATTTTTGCAAAAACACGTATATCAATCAGTACAACAAATTTCCTCATACATTAATTTTTTGGGTCAGCCTGTATAAGTAACTCCACTAAACGCTCAGGAAGTAAAAACAGCCAACAGAAAAACAAACAAATTAGACAGTGACTGACATTCCAGTGTCGTCACTTTTTTCAGTAATTTTTAAGGCCTTGTAGTTTATATGTGGCGTCGACCTAATTCTCCCATCTTTCTGGTATAATACATTTATTTTTTGTGTACGATTCACTTATAGGTTTCCTAGAGTATTTTGACCACATATTTTTCTCTTACAAGGAAAAACATTCGTAGTTCAATAACAATTCTCAAAAACATCACCATTTGATATTTATATATAACAATTTGTTTCTTCTGATTATTAAACGTTACTCTAGCCTTGGGTTTCTTACCCGCTTAGCCGTTGGACATCGAAATAACAATAAGTAACCACCGGATTTGTCAAACTTGAAAACATTCTGACATGCAAACCACAATATCGCAACATACCCATCGACCACACGTCACTCGCCGACGTGAACTTCCTGAAGGCGATCGCCTCCGGCGCCGTCCACCTCACCGGTATCTTGCCGCCCCGCGTCGTGTACGCGCCCTCCGTCGCGCTCTCGATTTCCCTGCTCAGGCCGAAGTCGGCGATCTTGCACACCAGCTGCGAATTGACGAGGACGTTCCTCGCCGCCAGGTCCCGGTGCACGTAGTTCATCTCGCTGAGGTATTGCATGCCGGATGCGATGCCCCGCAACATTCCCACGAGCTGGATCACCTGGAACTTGCCGTCGTTGGCGCGAAGGAACGTGTCGAGGGAGCCGTTCTCCATGTACTCGGTGATGATCATGACGGGGTTGGACTTAGTGACGACGCCCTGCAGGAAGATGACGTTGGGGTGCTCGAACTGGCCCATGATGGACGCTTCGGTAAGGAAGTCGTTGCGGGCCTTGTCGAGTGAACCGGCTTTGAGGGTTTTTATGGCCACGTCGATGTCGATACCGTTGGTTTTGAGTTTGCCCTTGCACACGTCGCCGAATTCCCCGCCGCCTGGGAAAAAATATTATTTATATAATTTTACGTTTTTTCATTTTTGATTTTTTTATTTTACAACTTTGCGATTTTTCCATTTTTTGAATCGAAAAGTTGAGAAATTGTAAAACCCAAAAATCGTAAAGTTGAAAAATTACAGAGATGTCAAAATTCTAACGTCGAAAAACTATAACATCGAAAGATTGAAAAATTAAATTGAATAAATGAAAAAGTGATTTTTTTAATTATAATTATTAGATACATATTTAAAACGAAAACTAGACAAATTGCAAATCAAAAATTGAAGAAACGAAGAAAATAAAAAGCCGAAACGAAAAATTGCAAATCGATAAATTGTAGAAATGAAAAACTGATAATCTAAAAATTGAAACTCGCTAAACTGCAAAACCTAAAAATTGGAACATCCAAAATTTGAAAAATCTGAAAAGTTAAAAATTTTAAACTGGAAATTCGAAGAGATGCATATCGTGAAATTGAAAAAACAAAAAAAAAAAAGAGGAAGAAAGAATTCAAAAATTCAAGTCAAAAAACCTGCGGGAGCGTTATTTACGCCACTGGTTTTTGCTTTATCGAGGTTATCAGAAAACAAAAATGGCAATTTTTTTATAATTTTTCAAAGAGGGATTTATTGGGGTGCAGTTCAGGGACGAGGGAAGTTTTGTCGAAATAACCTTCGACCGATTTTTTTGAAATTCAATTTAATCTTCAGTTTAAATCAACAATTCAACAACAAACTGTCGATTTTGTGCTCACCTATTATGGCTTCTATCGTGATACAACTCGCGTCTATTTCTCTTGCAAATTCTCTTACGGCCTGGTTTGGATCTTCGTACGTATGTGGATCTATATACGTTCTTGACGAACCACTGATTCCAGTAAACAGAGGAGTCGTCACTATAACACCAAACGAATATAATAACATTTTGCAGTTTAAAAAGCTAATGCGTAAGTAGTATATATAAGAAAATAAATAAATAAAAAAATAAATAAATAAAAGTTACCATTTGTATGAGTTGCAACAATAGGAGGGTTGTCCAAACTATGATGAACTAAAAGAAAACGAACAAAACAACATAAATTAACAGAACAAAAAAAAGGCACACACAAAAATAAAACAAAAATTAATTGCACTCAATCTTTGCAAGAAGCTACGCTGCTGCTTAAGATTGAGTGCTACAAAAAAGTGGAGGTGCAACAAAACAATTGTGACGTCACATCAACGTGGTACTAAACGTGAAACTTACTGTAGGTTACTACCAATCCTGTTGGGTAGCGTGAAAGTGCATTGAAGGCATCATTATACACATAAAAGGTGGTTTGTGCAGTCTAATATTAAAAAAATAATAAATAACCAACTTGAGAGAATCTAGCACATTTAAAATTTGAATCTTGTTTATAATATCAGTGTGTTTGAAATCGGAGTCGAAATTTCACCAACGAAAACAAAAAATTAAAAAACGAATAACGTCGGTAAAACGTCGAAATGAATCTGGCACTGTATCTCAAGTGTTAACATTTTTAGTTATGACTATGAAAGATTCAACTAATTACCTTCGCCGTTGCGATATTCCAGTGTATCACAATCGCTAGGCTGTTTTTTGTTACATTCATCGTTCGATCTGGACCTCAGAAACATAACCGTGAAGACGATAATTACCACCAAGACAACAACCACCACAACGATGGAACCAGCTACTAACTGTAACCGGATACCTTCTTCGTCACCAACATACGCTGAAAATAAATTAAAAATTGTTACTTTTAATATATCATAAATCAAAAACAAAAGTAAACTATAACTGTAACTTCAACGAACGAAAGAACAATAATAATTTTTGGAGGAATTTAATAATATACACCAATACTGATGAAGGTTGAGAATGTACGTGCTTGTTGTAGTTATTCTTACAAAACTCCCACATCATTGTTTTTCGAATTTATTAAAAAGTTACAACCATCTAAAAACCCAAATTGACTTCCTGCGTGTAGAATTGTAAACTATGATCCTTCACTTTAAGTTTTTGGTGGGATAACTTTTTAAATCTGATTCGTGCACCCAACGACGAAGTGAATCATTTTGGTACACAAATGTTAATGATTACAAGAATTTTGAAACTGGAGGAATTTTCTCAAAAAAGTTATTTTTGCTGCAACATGATTTTGTTCACACAAAATTTTGCGACAGTTTACCTTCCTGTGTTTGTAACCCATCGACTTTTAATAATAATACTAATAGTTTATTTCCCTACAGGTTACACCCAATTGAGAATTTTGTACAAGGTTGTTAGCCCCCCCTTTAAATTCCAAATGTTTTCACGAATCAGCCCAAAAGTATTCAAATTTTCGTCCCAGCAATGAGTAACTAAGGCTACTATTTTGTATACTACAACCACTACATACAGTGTTCAGATACAAGCCTAAAATTTAGAACACCTGTATTTTAACATTGCATCTTAGTGTGTTTTACTTCGTCAAACACAACGAATCTTTTGTCGTGATTTTAATGTTGATTTCTTCGACAGAAATAGTCATGAATAAACTAACTGAAACGAAAAGAATTGCAACACCTACCCGTGTTGAGCACTTGCCCCGTCGTCTTGAAAATAACCGGAGAGTAAGCTCCCCAGCCTCTTTGGGTTTTCGCCCTCACTTGCAGTCCGTACTCGGTCCTCTGCTGCAAGCCTGTGATCGTGGCCGATAGGTCCGTAGTTAGCAAACTCGACGAATTGCTGTACTCCATGTCGCTCCTCGGGAACCACCTCACTTCGTATGTTTCGACTAGATCGTTTTCGACATCGTTTGCCGTGTCCGTGGACGGAGCGTCCCAAGCTAACGTGATTTCGGAACTCATCACCGACGTGACGCGGACGTTCGTGATGCTGCTTGCCACCAGCGCTTCGGTGGTCACCGTGACGTCGGCGTACTCCGGTTGTTGGTTTGTTCGCATGAACGAGACGCCGTTCTCGGCGAAGATTTGGAAACGGTAAGTGGTGACGGCGTTTAGGCCAGAGATCGTCACGCGGGTGTCGTTGAAAGTTTCCTGACATTTTTAGAGGAAATTTTTAATATCTATGTAAAAAAAAATCTCCTCTTGATTTGCTCACCGTGTGGGGGTTGTATTGCACTAAACCTAAGCTGCAAGCGTCGCATTTTATTCGATAAACGACATCGTTGCGTCCTCCCAAGTTTTCTGGAGGGGTCCAACTCAGTGCTACTGTTGACTGGTCTACGAAATTCACCGTGAGGTTCTGAGGGGCGGATGGCGGTTCTGCAAAAATATATGTATATCAGAAACGTCGTAAATTGTTGAAAAATTATACTGGGTGTTTAGAAAATATCTAACAAAACAATCATTTTTTGAACCTAAAAGATACGTAAATTGGATCGACGCCCACATAGGTTGAGGTTTAATTATACAGCGACGGCTAACATTGAAATTTAGTACAAATGAACAGGCCGGTTAATAACTAATATAGCAGGTCGTGAATTTTTTAAAAACTATACATTTTCTAGTGGGTATTTGTAGAACACTCGATTGAGCTGGTTACATTTTTATTTCTAAAACATTCGATAGACATCTTTCTTTAATTTAATTTTTATTTCAGTTTTGGTTCCTTTCATTTCATATTTAGACGTTGAGGTTGCTGGTAACAGCAGCACAATTTGTGTAATTACGTGATCACTAAGTCTTGTACGTACTTTGGGGTAAGTGTATCAACTTTAATGTTTTTTGTAAGCTAATTCCTGTTCATCATTTAAATGATGGTACCAGTAGGTATCAAAACCTTAACTTATGTGGCGTTGACCTAATTTTCCCATTTTTCTGGTTTAATACTAATCATGGCCACTTTGAGAAAAAGATCTGAACTATTAGATGAAATGATTTTTTAATTATTTGCCTGAGAAGTCGATTCAATTTTTTAACGTATTCAAAAGTCTGCAACAAAATTAAAAATCTTAACTAGGAATCAATTTCTCGCTCGACGTGGTATATGTGCATACAACTGTTGAAAACTTACGTGTACAGGACATGTTTTTGGGGTCGGTGGGGGCTCTGTAATAACCACTGTTACAACGACATTCCGAGAGACCATAATCGTTGCCCATAGAATGTTCAGGACAAGACATGCAAGGTCCATCCCCCACTTCTGATTTGTAGGTTCCGGGGCCACAAACTAGAAGAAAGAAAGAAAGAAAGATAATATAGAACTTTTATAAAAACTTGCTTGAATATCTTTACTAAAATATACTTTAGGCTTATTTTTAAAATCTGTGTTGCACTATTCTGTGGGGAGATAAATAAAGGTACGTGCTTTGTTGTGGCATCAATACAATTTTCGAATATCAATATTTTAGTTTTTTCAAATGGAACACCCTACGGAATGTCTGGAAAATGGCGGATTAACGCTCCGCTACACTCGTAACAATCAACTGATGAGTCTGGGAAAATAGCAAAAAAATCCTTAATGTAGTTAAAAATAATTTTTGAGTATAGTCCTTCAAAGAACCGTACAATATTGGTTTCGACTTCTTTTCTATTTCTAGTAATTAATGAAAATGCGATATCGAGGAACGTGCGCTTAGTGACTTACCCTGTATATATGAGTATCTATACAGAGTTTTAGTATGGCTTAACTCGTTTAAACATTATTAAAAAAAACTGGTCGCAAGAGTTTAACAATACTTATCTATTCATTCTGATAAGCAACAAAAACGGTACTACTCCAAAAATTAGATATTAAACCATTTTTAACTTATTTAATAAAATTAACTTAATTTTATTCATTTTTAAAAAATCCTATACAAACAATTCTAAAATGTACAAATGTATTGTTATAGCGTTGCATTTTGAAGCAATTTGTCAAAAAAAGTATTAAATATAGTATGTGCCAAAATTAAAAAACCATCAACACTGCATTTTACCTGAAAATACAACTGACAACACCGTAAGTATCAAATCTGAACTTTGGCATGGGGGAAAACAAAGATAGGTCATAATTCATTTATACTCAAGTGCAGATTTTGAAAGGGTTGTGGTGTTTCAAAACGTTTCAAAGAGAGATAGTACAGAAAAAATTTTCATGGCTCACTTTTATCTAAAAACATCCTGAACGGTTTATAAATAATAATAACTTTTCAATAAACAACTTCTAACATGATTATTACGTCCACATCTGCAAATTCTCACATGTTTTTTACGTTTCTTTCAAATATTCCGACACTTGAGTCATTCACACATGTCAATAGCTACGATTCCAAAGTCTTAACCTTATTAGTAGCATCAATGTACCGCCTTCTTCCGAACAATCTTACGTGTCGCAATGCTTTCTTGCTTAGTAAGCGCCTCAGGACGCAACATACTTTCACAGATAGTTAATTTCGCAAATAAATAAACCACAGAGCACCTACCATTGCAAGACTGCTTCTCGACATCTGGCTGAAAACCGGCCTTGCATTTACACCCTCCCGAAAGGAGTGTCCATTTTCCATCCCCTTTGCACAGATAGGTCGGAGTCCCGCCGACCACTTCCGCGTTCGGCACGCAACTACCTGTAGCTTGTTCTATTATTGTTATTTCTTTGCCCGTCGGCGTGGCAGGAAATTTAGCGAAATTGATAGTCACTTCCGGACAGGTTATGTAGTACACCTTGATGGCAAGAAGAGAGATGCAAGCGCCTTGGTCCCGGAACGCAAAATACACCCCTTTCTTCGTCACGGGTATGCTCTTCACTTCGGTGTTGATGTTGACTTCGCTGTTGGAGTTGAAGCGGCCTTCGCCGGCCGCTATGCGACCTGTGATTGTTATTAAGTATATTAGGTCCTGAGATGAAGGTACCAAGATGCGACTGTCGACTTACCTATTAGTTTATATCTTTCGGCGTCCCAGGGGGGCGGTTCTCTCGTAGCCGCGTCGAATTCGTAGTAGAGCAAACTGAAAGTTTCTTTGCAAGATAGAGCATTCCCTGAAAGTGCCCCATGTTAGTATCTTTCGTACGAAAAGGAAAGAAAGAAGCGAGGTACCTGGAAATAGACTGCAATCTCTGATTGTGAATTTAATTTCGATGTATATCCGGTTCGCCACGCCGCGATCTATGAATGGTGTCCACAGCCAGTTATTCACATTATTGTAAGCGACGTCACAAACGACGTACGATCTCCAGTTTATGCCCTTTTGGAAGTTTGTAAATGATTCTTCCACCCACTAAAAATACATACATAAGTACATGCGTCACAAGTTACAATTTTGTTTTTGACTACATAATGGACAGGTAGTTACCAAATAAATTTCAACTTCTCTGTCAAAGTTACGTGTCATCGATCATTCTTTAACGGTAATCATATTTTTAGCAACGAGTTTTAAAATTATAATAAAAACTCCCAATGAACATAAAATACGAGAACTTCTCAACTTTTTCTTTCCATGTTTGCAACAATAATAATAATTAATAATCCACTGATAACGCATAAGTTATCACTGAAATTATATTTAAATTCACGGAAAACTACTGTGTTTATTGGACCCAGTTTACTAGGTAAAACTTGGACCTGCCTCGTCAACCTAATGTTGGAAAAAAATTGGTCTAAAGAGTTTAGACAGTATTTCCCTCGCTGTCAGAAACGTGACGACGGCATTCCTATTATGTTTTTTTTTCTCATCACATTTTTGTAGCGGAGCATTTTAAAAAATTTTTGCGATGACGTCATCAACATTTTTGCAAGGACACGTATATCATTTTGGATAGATGTAGTGTAATACTAAAAGAATACAACGACGTCGTAAACACTTGGCAATTTGACGTTTCCGGGCTAGGCTACCGTGGCAAAGTATAGCAAAACGCATCTGTGCGTGATGTGCGACGTCCCGCATGCTGTTGAATGCGCCAAGGTCTTCAAAAAAGGTTATGAGTGCAAAAAAATATTTACAGCACATTATCAACCGGAATACATTACATCGGAAGAATGTGATGTAGACATTTGTTTGATTTGAATGAGTTTATCGCCCCAAAACCGATGGCTAAAATTATTCATAAGCCTCCGTTGAACAAAATATTCTTAATGTTATCATTATAATTCTTACCTTATCATTATTTTATTGTTATAAAGACGAGCGTATTCTCACATTTTCTAGAAAATGGGGTGGCTCGTTCTTAATTTGATCAATAATAAATTGACTGTTTCATTAATTTTTTTGAGTCACCTGTTTAAGCAAATTTAAAAAATATGAATGCAATAATTAAAAGTCTGTTCATATTTTGCACATTTGCGAAAGAATCTATTCGGCAAAATTTTGTAATCAATTTTTTGGGGTTGATAAACATTTCATTAAAAAGTTACCATGCTTACAATAACTTCAAAACGTCAAGATTTCAAAGTACTCAATTTTGCAATTCTTGATTTAATCAATAAAATAAATTGACTCAGTCATTAATTTTTTTCACACACCCCGTATAAGCCAATCTAAAAAATATTTATGCAGTGATAAATCACAATTATAGACTCATCATACTTTGCACAATGCACATTTAAGATAGTATATTTTTTCGGAAAAATTTTGAGGTGGCGTGATCAATTTTTTAGGGGGGGATGAACAAATACATTTTGATCAAAAATTTACCATGCCTATGATAACTTTAAAACGTCTCCAAGATTTCAAAGCATTTGTTTTTGTAGTTCCTGATTAAATAAATAAAATAAATTTACGAATTCATAAATTTTTTGAGTCACCTGTATATGCAAATCCAAAAAATATGAATGGAATGATAAATCACAAGTACAGACTCATCATATTTTGTACATTTTAGATAGGATTTATTCTGCAAAATTTTGAGATGACATCATCAATTTTTTAGGGGGGATGACGAAATGTATTTTGACAAAAAATTTACCATGCCTATGATAACTGTAAAACATCTCCAAGATTTCAAAGCATTCGGTTTTGTGGTTCCTGATTAAATAAATAAAACATATTCACGCATTCATTAATTTTTTTGAGTCAGCCTGTATATATGCAAATTCAAAAAAATGAATGGAATCATAAATTACAAGTACATAATATTTTCTACATTTTAAATAGGATTTATACGGCAAACTTTTGAGGTGACGTCATCAATTTTTTGAAGGGGACAAGTAAATATATTTTCAATAAAAACTTATCATGCTTATCATAACTGTAAACCATAAATGTCAAAAGTTGTTCCGCAATTTTGATTTTTTTCCCAAAAATCTGGAGGTTTCGGGTAAAATCTCAATTCTGAGTCATAAACTACATGTGTAAGACTATGTTATTTGATACAATTTAAAGCCCATTTACTATGTACAATTTTGAAATGACGTCATCACATTAGTGGTGGGGATGATTAGACAAGTTTTGGTTAGCGTTTTACCATCTACAACAATCAATTCAATTTGACAACAATCGGCCCAGTACTTTCAGAGATTATCTGTCTAATAAAATTCCGGGACGGCAGACAGACAGACGGAAACGGGAGACCTATTTCTTCGTCCTCTAGGGGTCATGATAGTTCGAGAAAATGCAAAAGTAGAGAGTTCGCCGACGGACTCGATTACAATACTTCCTTTGCTTACGCGAAGTCAAAGAATAACAAACAAGTACTGCTAAAATAAAAAAAAAAAAAATGGTCGATGGTTATTTCGACAGGGCTTCCCTCGTCTTTGACGTACAGTCGGATAACCTAAAAATTTTGGTATGGAAAAAATTCTATAATTGAAATATCGAACTGAAAAATGAAAAATCGAAAAATTGGAAAATCTGATAATTGAGAACTTGAAAATCGGATTTTTCGGAAATTCGGACAATTGAAAAATCAAAAACTGAACAATTGAAACCACGACAGATTTTAAAAACGAAGAATTATAAAATTGAGAAATTGATTAATTAAAAACCGAACAATTGGGAAATCGAAAAATTATTAAACTGTAAAAATGAAAAATAAAAAATCGACAATTTAGAAAATCTGGTAATTGAAAAATCAAAAGGTGAAAAACTGGAGAATTCAGAAATCGAAAAATTGTAAAAATATGTATAAACTTGAAAAATAAAAAAAATGCAAAATTACAAAATTGAAAAATCGTAGGTATAACTTTTAAATTGAAAAATTCCAAATTTATGAAACTGAAAAATCAAAAACTTGGAAAATTGGAAACCTAAATTTTGAAATATTACAAATCAAAAAATTATAAAATCGGGACAATGAAATTCGGATGATTGAAAAATCGGATATCTTTAAAAACGGAAAACTAAAATAATTAAAGTGAGAATCAAAAACTTGAAAAATTAAATTTGAAATTTTGAAGATTACTTCTATAAGTCAAAATAAAGACATGTATGTAATATTAAAGTGAATGTAAAGAAGCATCCTGCTCGTATGTGTCAAATGAGTTTTGTCTTTACAAAATTTTGTGATGACGTCATAAACATTTTTGCAAGAACACGTGTATAACTTTGGATACGTGTATAACTTTGGATACGTGTAATGTAAAATTAATAATAACAGTATTGTATTCCCAAACTTTCGGGAAAATGGGGTGAGCCGTTGTTGATTAATTTTTTTGAGTCACCCTGAATAAGCAATTCTAAAAAATATAAACGTAAAGATAAATCACAAGTATAGACTCATCATATATTGCATATTTTAGATAGAATTTATTTATCAAAATTCTGAGAGGCTAAAAGCTCTCCACAGATTCATAAACTACAATTGGAAAAGTATGTTATTTTATGAAATTTAAGTAACATTTACTATCGTAATTGACGTCATTGGATCGATGGTGAGAATGATCAGACAAATTTTGGTCAATATTATTCGAGACCGGAAAAAAGTAAATGACCAAATTTATACGGCATAGACTAGAATCATCTTTCAGCTCCATGGAATTTTTTGAAAAATTTCTAACTATGTAAAGGTTAAAAAATCGCAGTAGCGTTATTTTTTATATTTGCTTTGCAATGTTTTATAAATTGAAAAACAAAGGTATACATGAAATGTTAGTGTAGGCAGTGTTTCTCAAACCTACATAATTATTTGTTTCTACTGCGAAATAAATATTTTAAGCTGTTTTCCCGAAAAATTTAAATGATAGTTTAACTTTGCTCAATTTGGTGTGTAATAACTAATTACGGAAAACGGATCACCATAAGGGACGCTTAACATTTAGTTTGATATTTATAAAAAGTCTACGTGCGAGGAAAAAAAGAAAGAAATAAACGATCGCAACTTAGTTGGCAATGTTGGCATGGTTACTAATCATTCTCGATTACTGAGCTACTTTTCCTCCCCCAAATGAAACGTGATTTGATATCCTAAAACACGGCGTGTTTCAATCCTGCGATAATTCCGTAACTTCAACAGTCCACAACGTTTTTTCTAGCAAGTGAATAACACAAAAGAGAAAACGAAGTGGTGCTAATTAAAAGTGCGAAGAACTTACTCATCTTAGTCAAACATAAGTTTTTAGGCTATTTAAGTACATATTTACGTTTTTACTAATGTACAGAATGCAAAATTTCTTTTAGCGAAACGTTCAATTGTTCAAGTTTACACAAGCACGCTGAAAATTAATCATCAATATAAAAGAAAAAATTTGAAATACCGTCATTACCTTTATCTTCCCTACAATAGAGTGCACGCGTGCTCTGTGTGACAATTCGCTTAATATTTCACCCCCCATTTTCGACTGGGATCGCAGGGAACTCTTTACGCGATTTTGATTCTTTCGTACTCTGGCCTTAAGAAAAATCGTCACTCTAACGATGGTGGAGCAGAAAATTCAGGAAACGGCAAATTTGTTGCCATAGCTGGGGTAAAATTAACTATGTTTGTACGTGTCAGACATGTATAAAATGAAATACTTGTACGTACATGAAACCGAATAAAACCAGAATTTTTGCTAGAATGTTTGACTGAACAGTGGTTATGTTGGTGACTAGAGTTGGCGATTTTAAAAGTAAATGAACGCGTATATTTGATTTAGAACAAAAGATAAATTGGTAAAACTAAAATAGTTCAATTTAAAATGCTGCTTACTCCAGGTGTATTCGCTTGAGGTCCATATGGATAACGAGTCCAGTCTAAAGTGGCTTCGCCTGTGGTATCCAGGAGAACAACTGTAAGAAAGATATAAATGTAATTGATTTATAATTTTAGTACAACTATTGATAACAATGTTTTTGAAGCATATTCAAGATTCTCTCAAATTTTACATTTGTTTGCCCACTATTTATAGAATATTTAGAAAACATTTCTAAGTATTTTTAGTTATTTTCTTTTTTCCCCATGATAACGAACAATTGTGGGAATTACGAAATTACAATACATTCCGAGTTAATTGGCGGCTGATAGAAATACAAATGTTGTAACACGGGTCCTCGTAATTTATGCTTCCGGGACAGATCGGAACTCCAGGTAAGTGAGAGTGCAGCTTTACACCAAGGCTACAATCTCGTCCACTTCTTCATCACCCCCGTGGAAAAGTGAATAGGATCGAGACAGTAAAGGAGAGGAAGTTTCATCATCATCAAAATCCGACCTTAAGAGCAGGTAGTTGAAGCATCAATGTGCGGACTAAGTGGCAAAGTCTGGAGGTATTTCAACTTCAAAGGATACCCGAAACTCAGTTTAGAGGAAGAGAGCACTGCGCGGTCCCGTACAGGTCCCCCGGGCATAAGAAAATCGATAGGCGACAAGACTTGCAGTGCACATCTCGACACGTTTCAAATGCTGACGTCGGCTGTCATTATTATTATTATCGTTTTTTGATTAGTTGGAAATAAATACTATTCCGCTATACCTCTTCCACTAATGTATTCCTCTTTACAAAATAAATAAAGTAAGCCATTTGTGATTTGATAAAAAAAAAAAATTTGCTTCATTAATTAAAAAAGCGAGAAAACGAAAAATTGAAAAGTCGAAAATCGAGAAATTGGAATATGTAGCACAGAATCGAAAAATTAATAGATAATGAAAAAATAGGGAAATTGAACAATCAATTTAATCGAAATGTCGATAAATAGACAAATCGAAATATTGAAAAAACTGAAAAAGCGAAAAACTGAATGCTCGAAAAATAGAAAATTGAAAGATCTAAAACTTAGAAATCGAAAAATATGAAACTTAAAAAATAAAAAAGATTGAAAAATAAAAAAATCCCATAATTGACAAATTCCAAAACTGACACATCATCAAAAGATAGAGAAATCGGGACCGAAAAATCAAAAAATTGATGAAACGAAATAGCCCAAAATTGAAAAATCGAAAACTTGAAAAATGGGGAAGTCCAAAAATAGAAAAGTCGAAAAATTTTTAAAATCCAAAAAATCCAAAAATTGAAATGTATTCAAAAATCGGGACATAAAAAAATTGCAAAATCGGAAAATGTAATCGAGAAACTGAGAAACTGAAAAATCAAAAAAATGAGAAATCGAGAAATTAAAATCCCGAAACTGATTTCTCTTCTCGAAAAATTGGGAAATCGAAAAAATTAAAAATTCAAACATCGAGAAATCGAAACATAATGGATCGACAAATCGAGAAATTGGAAACGGACAAAATTAAAAAATTATTATTATTAATTGAAAAATTGAAAAATTTAAGAACATCGACAAATCTAAAAATCGGAAAATTTGACAAACGATAAATTGAAACATTTTGATAAATACAGAAATCGAAAAATTGAAAAATCTAAAAACTGAAAAGTTGAAAATTCTCTATCTAAAATTTGAGAATTGAAAAAACTGACAAGTAGAAAAATCAAAGAACTGAAAAATTTTAGACATCAAAATATTGAAAAAGCCCAAAACTGAAACGCTGGAAAATTGGGAAATCGTAATATCGAAAAGTTGAAAAATTGAGAAGTGGGATAATAAAAAAATTGATGAATCGAACTGTCGAAATATCGAAAACTCATGAACGCTAAAAATGGAAAAACTGATAAATCGCAAAACTGAAATATCGGAAAATTGAGAAATCGAAAAATCGAAACTTAAAGATCCTAAATAAATTGTAGCATAACGATGATATTGATAATAATAACAACAATAATAAACAATTTTACTACTCAACACATTGTCCATGAAAGTTAAAAATATAGAAATATATACAACGATATTTTTGCTACTTATGCTTTGGTTTATATAAAACATTTTCTAATTACTTATAATTGATGTCTCATAAAAAAAGTGAAAGTACAAAAGTATTCTCAAAACGACTTTTCTACGACTACCTAATGACTAATGACGTACTCAAATCTTTGGTGGGGATGACAAATCATGGTTAGTTACGCTATACGTATGCTTAGATTTTCACAATAATCTGCAAAGTATTTTCAAAAATCATAATAAAATCGCAAATACTCAAACGACGGTCAGACAAAGAAGCCGACATTTTCGAATTCTACAAGTTATGAAAGGCTGAGAAAAACGTAAAATTAAGCACTTGTTAAATGATTTTTGTACGATACTTCTCAACTTATATGAGGACTCTTGTTTAAGGAACAAAATAAAAAACAGTATTCCAGACCGAAGAAAATCTAAATTATAACAAAAAATCCGTTACAAGTGATGTTTGCGATAAATAGTCACAAGGTTTTTTAATGTTGACTCCCATTGTTACTTTGCAGGTAATGGTTGGAAGCGATTTGAGCTCGTCCTCATGAATCATCTGAAGAAATTCTGTTATTATGGTCTTACAAAAACAGAAGGTAATCTACTGATGGGTTTTTAATACGATTTTAATCATTTAAAACTAATAGTAACGTCTTAAATGATATGAGGAAAATTATTTCGTACGGAATTTTGTCTACGAAAAAGATTCTTATTTTGCAGTACGTCTAAAATTCGTGGTTATCCGTTAAGTTTTGGATTCTAGAAATATTAAAGCAAAACATCAAAATTTGAGCTTATTTTTGGAGTAACTTCTTTCACTTACCTTGTTCGGCTTTTACTTCTTGTTGGGCGAACATAATAAATAAAGACCATACGTATATCTTTAGGTCCATCTTTCCCTGTCTTGGAGTTTATGAGGTTATGTTACGTCCTGCCTGAAGTGGCGGACTTGACCAGCTGATGCTATTTCATTCTGGAACAAAAAGACGACGACAATTATAACGTTATTATGTATTTTGCATTCGGAAGAAAATCATCAAGTTAAATCGTTTCAAAACAATGTCTTCGGTAAAGCGATTAATATCAAAGAAAGATGAACACATCCTACATCAACGAATGTGTATGTCGACCATCTGTTTCATGTTACATTCACCTATTCATAATATTTATCTTTTAAACTGCCTTAATTGTCTAATAAACAAGTAATAGTAAAAGTATTCCTGTTCATATAAACAAAAACCGTATACCTCTTTTAGTTAATTACACACAATGAACGCCATGTATATTCCTAAACACCGGAAATGCAAGCTTTTAGATTCTGTTCCTAGTAGAAAGCAGGTACGTCTACGACGCACACGTGTGCCTATGAAATTTACAAGATATTAGATATTTATGCCCTATCTGTAGCGAAATATTAAATTATTACCGTTCGATTAATTAAAATACATGAAACGGATCTTTCGAAATTCGGCAAATGTTATTTAAAAATTGACAACATACATACTTAATTCACTAATTAATTAATTACGCATAATAATTCGGTTGATTTCCGTTAAATACGCCCTAAAAATTTAGATTGGCTCATACTTAGAGCTGTTTTTTTACTTCTTGAACAAAAGCTAAATGTAAAACGCTAACCAAAATTTTGCTAATCATTCCCCCCATGAATTGGATGATGTCATCTCCAAAAGTTACAATAATTTAAGAAAATAAAAAACCGAAACGAAAAACTGCAAATCGAAAACTCTTGAAATTTTAAATCGGAACATTGCAAAATCTAAAAATTGAAAAATTTGAAAGGTCGAAAACCGAAAAACTGAAAATTTTAACTGTAGAATACTTTACAGAGTTTATTAGAACAGAAAAATCGCAAACAATTTTTATAATTTTTCAAAGAAGCAGGATTTGTTGGGCTACACTTTAGGGGCGAGGGAAGTTCTGTCGAAATAACCTCAGACCAATTTTTTTTAAGAAGTTCACTTAAAAATTTTAAAGCGTATATTCGTGTATTAATTGCGGCTCTTTGCGTTACTTCATTCAGTCTATCGTGGGATGCAGGCGAGTATTTTTTTTTAATCGAAAGACGGCGTCTAAACAAAAATAATTATAATAAAGTCACTGTTCGTCAAAGGTAAAGGTGTTCATAAAACTGGTGTAACCATTTTCGGGGAAGGTCTTATGACATCTGCACGCATTCCTACATTTCCATTTTATGGTGGATGTTTGAGAGCATTGTCCACTTTATACATAATGCATCACTGAACGGGCCCCGACTTATGATTTATTGCTATTGCCTGCCTGCCTAATTGTACTAATAAATTATTCTTCAACACCGTGCGAAGTTTCGACCTACTTTTTCAGAACAACTCGCAATTTAGCAGACTGCCGAAGACCAACTTGAATTGTTTCGTTTCTGTTACATTTTAATTTCTAATGCACCGTTACTTTCATTATGAGATCGTCATTCAATATGTTTTTATGACAAACACCTTTGTTTTTCTTGGTTTGATCTACTGTAAAATTCTATTGCTTGAAAATAGACCTCTGAAGCATGTTATTAAGTAGTATATTATTATACATAACTAATTTTGCATGGGTACATTTAAGCAACATTTATTTAATATATTTTTTAAATGACGCTATAAACTTTGTAAGTTCTCTGTCGAGTTAAAAGTATAGGTATTTTGTGCTACATTAAGATGTATGTATTTATCCCTCTGGAATATTCGACGTCTGAAAATTAATATACAGGATGGTCATAACAACTGTATGACACGTTAAGGGTTGTTTATTGAGCAAAGCAAAATAATAAAATAATACGACCCATATAATTTCCTTGAAATTCAATACTCTACTCTAGGTGTTCCGCAGACCAATTTTTATTTAAACAAGTTCATTTCCGATTGCAACAGAATGTCGTACAAATAAAATGATAACACTATTATATATATTACTAATTTCCTTGCGAGAAGTAGTTGACACATCGTATACACCAAGAAACGTACTAACGTTTGTCACGTAAACAAATTTATCTGGTTTAAAGTCATTTAGACCGAACTTCCCTAGTCCCAGAAGTAGCAACCCTTTTGCGTCCATGTTGTTTAATTTTTGCAAGATAAACACTTTTATATTCAATAGAAAAAGTGGTTCCAAAGATATTTCGTCAGAATTTCCTGAAGCACAATCACATAAAGCAGCTTTTTGGATGAGTTAAGCCATGAAATTTATTTCTAAATATTGATGTTGCAGTTATTTGACAGTTACTTAACTGCCAAACTAAATAAAAAACGCGTTGATACTGCCAACATCATTTTAAAAATAAATTTTATGGCCTATTGCCGGACTTTGTTTTCGAACGCATGTGACGTTTTTCTTTTATTTTTATGAGAATGTTCGTCCCTAAGTAATTGAGAAATACAGATGGAAAAGTACCCTAAAAAAGTGGCCATTCGTCCGATGGACTCGATTAGAATACTAATTTCCTTAGCTTATGCTCGGGAAGTAGAAATTGGTCGAAAGTTATTTAGACAGAACTTCCTTCGCTCCTGAAGTGCAGCCCAATAAATCCAGCTTCTTAAACCCTAATCAACACTCCTGCAGCTTTTTTTAATTTTTCTATTCTTCAATTTGTCATTTTTTTGTTTCTGCAGTTTTTCGATTAGTAATTTTTTGAGTTTACAAGTTTGAATGTTTCACTTTTTCAACTGTTGAATTTAAAAATTTTTCGATTTGCAATTTTTTTGTTTGAGGTTTTTATTTTCTTTTCGATTTTATAATTTTTGTTTTTTCAATTTTTCGTTTTAAAATGTCTGTAGTTTTCAATGTTTAGATTCTTTAACTTCTCATTTCTTCAAATTTTCGATTTTGCACTTTCTTTTGGTTTCTTCAATTTTGCGATATGCATCTTTTCGAGTTTTCAGTTTTCCGATTTTTCAAATTTTGGATGTTCCAATTTTTAGATTTTGCAATTTTTCAATGTGCAATTTCACGAGTTCTAAATTTTTAATTCTTCAATTTTTAGATATCTCAATTATTCAGTTCTTCAAAGTATCGATTTGCAATTTTTCGTTTCGGCTTTTTATTTTTTCAATGTTCTGGTTTCCTAATTTTAATGTGAAATTCATCAATTTTTCTGTTTTTAATTTATCAATTGTGCAACTTTTAGATTGTCTTATTTTTCGTTTTTTCAGTTTACAATTTTAAATATGTATCTTAATAATAATTGTGTGTATAATTTTTAAAATTGTTCACTTTTTGATCACGATTTTGAATTGTTCCGTTTTTCAATTTATTGAATTTTAAAACGTTTTTATTAATTTGATTTTTCAATGTTTCTAATTTTATTTATTCAATTTCTCGATATTTAGCTTTTCGATTTTTCAACTTTACAATTTTGACGATTCTATAATTTTTCGATTCGATTGGTTTTTTCTTCTTTCCAGTTTTTCGATTTTTCGTTTCTTCGTTTTGCAATTTTTGGATTTTTCAAGTTTTTCGATTTTTCAATTTTTCAACTTTTCGAATCAAAAAAATGGAAAACTTGTAGAATTGTTGGACTAAATAATCAAAAATCAAAAATAAACGTAAAAGTATAAAATGAAAACTTCGAACATTGAAAAAAATATGTAAAATAAATGTAGACACGAAAAATTGTGATATAAAAACCAGAAAATGAAAATTAAAAAATCGGGAGAATGAAAGATAGAAGGATCTTGAAAAATTGAGGAAACCAAAAATTGAAAAATCGAAAAATAAAAATTGTAACATCGAAAAAATACAAAATTGAAATATTTGGAAGACGAGAAATTCAAAAATAAAAAAATTGTGATATCAAAATGTTGGTCGAAGGTATATAAATTCAAATTTTTCCAAAAATTATAGGTAAGGTTTGATTTTGCGAATTTATGTTTTTTATGATAACTCCTGTAAGTTAAAATAAAAATATGTATGTAATGTTAAAGTAAACGCGTTGGTTTCAAGTGAGTTTTTCGATTACAAAATTTTGTGATGATGACGTCATCAACATTTTCGCAACACGTATATCAATTTCGATAGATGCAGTGTAATATAACTAATAATACAAATTTTCGGGAAAATGGAATGAATCGTTTTTTATTTAATCAATAGAATACATTGCCTCTGTCAACAATTTTTTTTAGTCACCCTATATAAGTAATCCTTAAAACTATGAGTGCATTGACAAACCACAAGTATAGAGTTATAATATCTTGTATATTTCAGAAAGAAATTATTCGACAACATTTTGAGATGACGTTATAAATTTTTTGGAGGGAATAAACGAATAAATTTTGATTGAAGATTTACCAAGTGTAAGATAACCTTAAAAAGTTTGCAAGATTTCAAGGCATTCGGTTTTGCATTTTTAACCATCTACATTCTACATCGTAGTCCTATTACTGGTCTAGTAGTTTCGAAGATTATCTGTCTAACAAAAATCCGGACAGACGGCACACAGACAGACACAGACGGAAACGAGAGACCTATTTTTTCGCACTCTTGGGGTTATGATATGTCGAGAAAATATGAAAGCAGTCAATCGCCTGATGGACTCGATTACAATTACACTCGTGAAATAAAAACGTGGAATTTGAATACACCTTGCACTTCTATAAAAATATTTTTCTACAAAATAAACACTTGACCGCTTATTATTGAATAAAGTCTAATATTTACGTTTAACAAACATAAACACACTTGAAATCATCAAAGATCGTGTTACGCCCATTCTCCGGCGATTGAAGTAAGATTATCTAAATCGAATTTTATTAAGATAAAAGTACGTCGTGTAGATAACGCTTTCGAGATGAAACACCGCGTATATAACGTAAAATGCTCTGGTATTCATGCAGCACACCTTAACTTTTTTTGTACATACCTAGGTATAAAATGCCACAGATGTCGGCCATTTTGAAACAGGTTAAATAATGTAATCAGAATGCAATAGTCGCTAATCCGTGCCCGATGAACAATCGACACAAATAAAAGGCGATAAACTAAATTCCCATTGCGATAATCAGCACTAACTATTTATCAGACAGCAACCCCTTGTCTCAAGGCGCACCACATAGGCACAAAAAAAAATGTCATTATTACCTGCTCGCCTGTATATTTCTCACATTTTGCATCGGATAAAGTGCCAATATTCTCACACACTCCCTCTTATCAGCGATTTATCTTGTAAAAATGCTAAAACAACACAAGCAGCCACAGCACACTAGATCTTTCAACAACACCTCACTGGCGAGCTGCACACACTGATCATGTATTAAAGGTTACGTATTTCGCTGCACACCGTCGCACAACGTGTTTTTAAAGCAATAAACGCGATTTTTCGGCAGTTTTTCGGCGTTTTTGTGCAGACACTTCACGACATTCCGACACACACCAACTTCTATGCAGCAGCAGCATCGCCGAGCGCACTGAACTCGACAATAATCTTTACGAAGCCGGATTCACACAGGAGGAGGTGGATTGTGGCGCTCAACATTGCCGATTTGAACTATACCATTGTGTATCGATCACGGAGTTGACGAGAATGCGCACGATTAATTCAATCAGGGCCTTTTCGGATAGGATTTTTACATACGATTAATCGCAAGGATAGCCGAGGTGCGAAACAGAGCGGAGCTGGAGCTGTTTGAAAAAGAGAAAATAATATCGAGTATCGACCGAAATGTATACTGCTTTTCTGTTTCCCCATGCTGCATACCGCCGTATACTATTCTAATACCTGCAGCTTCCCTCTGAAAATATGCTGATTAATTTTTTTTCTCATTAGCATTCCTGTGATGTACCGAATGATAGTGGATTGATTCATATTACTACATGCATAAACTACAGTGCTTTAAAAATTACTGAAAAGAATGGCAACACTGAAAAAATGTCAGAAAAGTGCTAACTTACAAAAAAAAAGTGACATTTTTGGGTACAGATTCAGGCTGTTTTTTTTTAAATAAAAATCAGCTTTCAAAGGGCAGTATACGATAAGGTTCCAAATTCGGCCCGGCTATAAATTACGATTATATCTATGCAAATTTTATATCTAAAGCAAAACATCTGAAATAAACTCAAATTGTACGATGCCTAGCAACGAAAAGAATATATGAAAAATTCATTCAAGTCTGTACCGGTTTCACGAAACTTCAGCTAGACGAGAGACAAGTTTGAAATGGGCGCCATTTGTTGCCTTAAACGCAACCAGCAATTCTTCTTTAAATCTACCTGACGCGCTGGGATAGACGACTACCGGACGTGGGTCATAAAAACATCGTAAGCCGATAATGAAGAATAATGATAAATTTATAACAGGCGGCCCACAACATACCTTCAGCACAGAATAATCATTTCTCGTATTCTTTTGACATATTAATTTTAATATTCGAGATAATTATTATATTATTCAAACACAATTTAGACACTGTAGAACAAACAAGGCTTATCAAGCCCGTCTATTACTTTATTCGCCTAATAAATATATTATTAATACCGTTTTCTTGTTATTTAGATAAGGGAACAAATTAAATGCACAGTTCTGTTTTTAAACGCTCTGTATTTTTGCTTGGTAAAAATGATAAATGCTAAGTTATACAGCCTGACTGGGGTTTATTGTGACAGATCTTAAGGGGTGATGGTTTGCATTATTTTGAGTAAAAAACCTTAATAACATTTACAGCTCAGACTTATTCCAAAAGAGTTATAGAATACACAAATTTCATAGCCCACCGGTTGAAAACCGCTGGAATTCACCTGATATATTGAAATTTTTACAGTTGTTTTATTAGAAACCATGACAATAAATTCAATAATAAAATAATACTTCTGTTTGACAATTTGTCAAAGTATCTGTGAACATGTTTTAATAAATTTAAGATGGATGTCAATGGGTATTCACTTAGAGAATTAGCGGACATTCATTTAATTTATGGAGAGGCACGCGGAGTAGTCCGTGTGGCAGTGCGTTTGTATGGCACTCGTTTCCCTCACCGACGGTTACCCTCAAGAAGAATGTTTCAAGATCTGCACCAGCGACTCCAAGAAACGAGATCCTTGTTAGCTAGAAGAGTCGAACGAGGTCCACAACGCCCTCAGCGAATTGTCAACATTGAAGAAGAGGTGTTGGATGTTGTACATGATGATCCTGGAATTAGTACAAGATGCCTTGCCAAACGATTTAATGTGTCTCAATGGACCATTTGGAGAACACTACGAGAACAGTTGTTATATCCATACCATGTTCAGCGTGTACAAGCTCTATCTCCAGCTGATTATCAACCCCGTTTTGCATTTTGTAGTTGGTTTCTACGAAAGGTAGAAGAAAATCCAGACTTTCCTCGTATTATTTTGGCATCAGACGAGGCAGGATTTACGCGTCGGGGAATTTTTAATTATCACAACTTTCACGTTTGGGCAGATGAAAATCCGCATGCCATAAGACAAACCCGTTTTCAGCAGGAGTTTTCAATTAATCTATGGGCCGGTATTGTAAACAATTATCTTATAGGACCTTTTGAACTACCCCCGCGGTTAACGGGTGCCATTTATTGGCGATTTTTAAGAAGAAATTTACAGGAATTGTTGGAAGAAGTGCCGCTACATATCCGGGAAAGTATGTGGTTTCTACATGATGGGGCGCCACCTCATTTTAGCCGTCTGGTACGACAGTTTTTAAATGTTCAATTCCCTGAAAAATGGATCGGGCGAGGCGGGGCTCAGCATTGGCCTGCCAGATCTCCCGATTTGAATCCGCTAGATTTTTTCTTTTGGGGCCACATGAAGTCGTTGGTTTATACAGAAGAGATCAGAACAGAAGATCACCTCAGACAACGAATCCACGAAGCCACCAATATCATTCGCGGGGACCCGGAAATGCTCCAACGAGTGCAGGAGGAATGGATTCATCGTGCCAATGCTTGTGTGAGAATGAATGGAGCTCATTTTGAGCATTTGCTTTAATAAGGTGTTTAAAAATAAATAAAATTACTAACAGTAGTATTTAATTTTTTCTACTTAGTAAAATTTAATATTACATAGTACAGTGGTTCTCAAACGGTGGAGACACATAAAGTTCTGACTTAACCATACGTTTTAGACCAAAATGTTATAAGGCTTTTAGAATCAAAATAATGCATATTGTAACCCTTTAAAATCTGGCACAATATACCCCAGTCACCCTGTATAATAAATGCTCAGTTAAAAAATAAATTCTCAGTAAAAATATTATATGCTTGGTGAAATAATAGCTGCTTAGTTAAATTAATAACTGTTCGGTTAAATAAGGAATGCTTAGTAAGAACCCTACGTGCTAAGTATAAGAATTGATCGAAGGTTATTTCGACAGAACTTCCCTCGCCCGTCAAGTGCAGCACAACAAATAATATTCCCGCAGAAGGCGCAAATTGAAAAATGAAATATACTTAAAATAGACAACAAATCGAAAAAATCGAAAAATCAAAAACTTTAAAAATCGAAAAATCAAAACACCCAAAAATCGAAACATTAAAAAATCAAAAAATCAAAATATCTGAAAATTGAAAATCCAGAAATTGAAACGTTCTCAATATTCAAATCCTGAAAAATTGAGTATTGAAAACTTGAAAAATTGAGAAATCCAAGCATCAAAAAATACTAAAATTGAAAAATTTAAAATTTAAAAAATCCAAAAATTGAGAAATAAAAGAAAAGAAAAATCAAAAATTTAAAAATTCGAAAAATTGAAAAATTAAAAAATCGAAACATTGAAGAATTGGGAAATCGAAACACCAAAAAAATAAAAAAAACAAAAATCTAAAATTCAAAAATCAAAAAATTGAACACTCGAAAAGCCAAAAAATCGAAAAATCGAAACATCGGAATGTTCAAAAACTGAAACATTGAGAAATCAAAACATCAACAGTAGAGGAGTCAAAAACTCAAAAAATTAAGAAATCAAATTAGACCAAAATTGAAAAATCGAAAAGTTAATTGAAAAATTGAAACATTTTAAATGAAAAAAAAAAAATCGGTAAACCGAAAAATTGAAAATCTAAAAATCGAGAAATTGAACAATCTAAAAATTAAACAATTTAAAAATCGAAGAATTGGAAAACCAAAAAATCTAAACCGAGAACTTGAAAAATCGAATAATCGACAAATCAAAACATCAAGGAAACCAAAAAAATTAACGGAAAATCGAGAACTTAAAAATTGGAAAATTAAAATACCTATCGAAAAATTGAAACCCGAGAAATGGAAACATCAATAAATGGAAAAATTGAAGAACCGAAACATTGCAAAATCCCAGAACTGAAATACTGAAAAACTGAAAAATGGAAGGAAAATTGAAAAATCGAAAAAGTGAAAAAGTTCAAAACTGAAATCTTGAAAAACTGAAAAGTGGAAAGAACATTAAAGAATCGGAACAGTGAAAAAATCCAAAACTGAAACATTGAAAAATTCAGAAATCGAAAAATTGAAAAATCACAATTGAAAAATCGAGAAATAGAGAAATGGGAAAATAAAAAAATCAGTTAATCGAAAAATTGAGAAATCGAAAAATTTAGAAACGTCAAAAATTGAAAACTGAAAAATAAAAAAAATTAAAAATCGTAAAACTGAAACATCGGAAAATTGGGAAATGGAAAAATGAAGAAATTCGAGAAACCAAAAATATGAAGAATCGAGAAATCGAAGAATCGATAAATTGAAAAATCCCAACAGTAATATATCGAAAAATTGAGAAATCAAAATCGAGCAACACTGAAGTATCGTAAAGTTAATAAATTGAAAAACTGAAAATTTTTGAAAAAAAAAAAATCGTATCAAAAACAAAAAATTCAAAAAATCGAAAAATTGAACAATGAAAAAATCAAAACATTGAAATCCCAGTAAGTTGATAAATAGGAAAATTTAAAAAACAAAAATTTTAAAAATCCAAGAATTGAACAACAAAAAAAATCCAAGCCTGAAAACTCAGAAAATCGAATGATCGAGAACTCAAAACATCAAAGAAAACAAAAAATCTAAAATTTAAAAATTCGACAAATTGAAAAATCATGGAACTGAAAAATCGAAAAGTCGAGATAGTGAGAAATCTAAAAGCCTGTAACTTTCAAAACTGAAAAATTAAAATATCGAAAAATTTAAAAACTGAGAAAACACAATATCAAAAATTTGAAAAATTGAAGAAACGAAATATTGCAAAATTCCAAAGCCGAAATATTGAACAACCTAAAATTGGAAGGAAAATTAAAGAATCGAAACAGTGAAAAAATCCCAAACTGAAACATTGAAAAATTGGGAAATGGAGAAATGGGAAAATCAAAAAAATCGGTCTAAAGAGTTTAGACAGTACTTTCCTCGCTATCGGAAACGTGACGACTACATGCCTATTATGTTTTTTTTTCACATTAGATTTCAAAGCATTCGGTTTTGTAGTTACTGATTAAATCAATAAAATAAATTTGCGCATCCATTAAATTTTTTGAGTCATCCTGTATATCCGAATCCAAAAAATATTAATGGAATGATAAATTACAAGAAGAGACTCATCATATTTTGTACATTTTAGGCAGGATTTATTCAGCAAAATTTTGAGGTGACGTCATGAATTTTTTACCGGGGATAAGTAAATATATTGTGATTAAAACGGTCCTGGTTTAATAACAAAAAAATATTGTTCTATGAAACAAGCTCGTCTTAGACAAAGTATTCGTAAAAAAATATGTCGTAAAAAATGTACGTACGCTGGTCCCGATTGCGATTATGGTTTAAATATTTTTTAGATAAACCTATTAATATCATTTTTTCATACAAAAAACCAAAAAAATATTATACCTCGTCTAGCGAGTCCCCTTAATTTCGACTAATGCACTCCTATCCTCTAGAACCCTGTCTGGACTAGCAGCCAAGTAAGGAAATTGTTTTAAAATAAACAAGCCACACCGTTCAGTTTTTATATTTTTATTTATTTCAAAACACTTGACAGCTTTTTCCTCACTTTGCTGTCCATAGTATATATGACTATTACCTCTAAATGTACTGTACAACAGAGACTCCACAGTTTTAGCTATTGCTGTAGTCGGTCTAAGTTTGTAAATACGTCCAAAATTTGAAACCATAACCCTAATTTCTCTTTTTTTGCCCAAATGTGCCTGTTGCATAGTGTCTATTTCAATTTGATCTAAATTCAAAGATAATTTTCTCAAAAAAACCTCTTTGGCTGTCACAAATGTTTCTACATCCATGACAGGATTTTCTAAAAAATATTTAAACCATAAACGCAGTCGGGACCAGCATACGTAAATTTTTTTACGACATATTTTTTACGAATACTTTGTCTAAGACGAGCTTGTTTTATAGACGAACAATATTTTTTGTTATTAAACCAAGACCGTTTTAATCACAATATATCTTATCCCCTCTAAAAAATTGATGACGTCGCCTCAAAATTTTGCTGAATAAATCCTATCTAAATTGTATAAAATGTGATGAGTCTCTTCTTGTGATTTATCATTCCATTCATGTTTTTTGGATTTGCATATACAGAATGACCCCAAAAATTAATGAATGCGTAAATTTATTTTATTGATTTAATCAGGGACTACAGAACCCAATGCTTTGAAATCTTGCAAATGTTTTAAGGTTATAAATAGCATAATAAATTTTTAGCCAAAATATATTTGCTTATCCCTTCCAAAAAATTGATAACGTCAGCTCAAAAGTTTGTCGTATAATCCTATTTAAAATTTACAAAATATGATGAGTCTCTTCTTGTAATTTATCATTCCATTCATATTTTTTGGACTCGGATATACAGAGTGGCTGAAAAATTTAATGAATGCGCAAATTTATTTTATTGATTTAATCAGGAACTACAAAACCGAATGCTTTGAAATCTAATGTGAAAAAAAAACATAATAGGCATGCAGTCGTCACGTTTCCGATAGCGAGGGAAGTACTGTCTAAACTCATTAGACCAATTTTTTTTATTTTCCCTTTTTTCCATTTCTCAATTTTTCAATGTTTCAGTTTGGGATTTTTTCACTGTTTCGATTCTTTAATTTTCCTTCCATTTTTAGGTTTTTCAATATTTCAGCTTTGGAATTTTGCAATATTTCGTTTCTTCAATTTTTCAAATTTTTGATATTGTGTTTTCTCGGTTTTTAAATTTTTCGATATTTTAATTTTTCAGTTTTTAAAGTTTTAGGTTTTTAGATTTCTCACTATCTCGACTTTTCGATTTTTCAGTTCCATGATTTTTCAATTTGTCGAATTTTTAAATTTTAGATTTTTTGTTTTCGATCATTCAATTTTCTGAGTTTTCAGGCTTAGATTTTTTTTGTTGTTCAAATCTTGGATTTTTAAAATTATTGTTTTTTAAATTTTCCTATTTATCAACTTATTGGGATTTCAATGTTTTGATTTTTTGATTGTTCAATTTCTCGATTTTTTGAATTTTTAGTTTTTGATACGATTCTTTTTTTCATTTCAGTTTTTCAATTTATTAACTTTACGATATTTCAGTTTTACGATTTTTAATTTTTTTTATTTTTCAGTTTTCAATTTTTGACGTTCCTAAATTTTTCGATTTTTCAATTTTTCGATTAACTGATTTTTTGATTTTCCCATTTCTCTATTTCTCGATTTTTCAATTCTTTCTTCAATTGTGATTTTTCAATTTTTCGATTTCTGGATTTTTCAATGTGTCAGTTTTGGATTTTTTCACTTTTCCGATTCTTCAATTTTCTTTCCATTTTTCAGTTTATCAGTATTTCAGTTCTGAGATTTTGCAATGTTTCGGTTCTTCAATTTTTCCATTTTTTGATGTTTCGATTTCTCGGTTTTTCAATTTTTCGATAGGTATTTTAATTTTTCAATTTTTAAGTTCTAGATTTTCCGTTAATTTTTTTGTTTTCCTTGATGTTTTGATTTCTCGATTATTCGATTTTTCAAATTCTCGGTTTAGATTTTTTGGTTTTCCAATTCTTCGATTTTTAAATTGTTTAATTTTTAGATTGTGCAATTTATCGATTTACCAATTTTTTCATTTAAAATGTTTAAATTTTTCAATTATTAAGTTTTCGATTTTTCAATTTTGGTGTAATTTGAAAACGGTATTAATAATACATTTAGGCGAATAAACTAATAGATGGGCTTGATAAGCCTTGTTTGCTCTACAGTGTCTAAATTGTGTTTGAATAATATAATAATTATCTCGAATATTAAAATTAATATGTCAAAAGAATACGAGAAATGATTATTCTGTGCTGAAGGTATGTTGTGGGCCGCCTGTCATAAATTATCATTATTCTGCATTATCGGCTTACGATGCTTTTATGACCCACGTCCGGTAGTCGTCTATCCCAGCGCGTCAGGTAGATTTAAAGAAGAATTGCTGGTTGCGTTTAAGGCAACAAATGACGCCCAATTCAAACTTGTCTCTCGTCTAGCGTCCCCCCTTAAACGCAAAAACGTTATACGATGGAATGGAACAATGCATGGGAGCTTCCCGTCGGGCTTTGTGGAAGCATTTTGAGATTAAATTCACAAACATATAAAATTTGACAACAATCGTCCGGTAGTTTCAGAGATTATCTGTCTGAAAAAATCGACACAGACGGACGAAAACTGGATATTATTTTTTCGTATTGTAGTGGTATTGACTAATGACACATCGCGAAAACATGAAAGTAACCAGTCGCTTGATGGACTTATTACTTCCTTAGCTTAGGCACGGAAAGTAAAAAACCTCAGTAAAATTCCACGAAAATCAGATAGCCGTGGTGACAACCAGGTAGCTAGAAAACATAAAACATGACTTTGAGGTTATGTTGGTGTTATTGTTGTTGCGTGCTTTTGTCCACATTGGACATTATTACAGGTTAGCGGCTATTTAATAGGAATATATAATGGAAACCAAACACTGGGAGGATCAATTCAAGATTCAAAAAGAAGTTGAACACATTCCAGACGTAACAGTTGATATAGAACTGTCCATGAATAAATTATTTCTCAATGAACTGGTAGAAGACGATGACGATTCACTAAGAACACAGAATATTGTGTAATTACGTGAGAATATACCTTGGGACCTAGTTGATTTGTAAATATTTTAGAGTGCCTCCTTTGAATCCACTCACACTATATGCAATCGCACTACATAAACATGCCAACAGTATTTCAGAAATGATTACATTAACTGAACACAACAAGAATGCTGAAAAAGTCGTATTAGAAATGCCACAGTTCCACAATCCAGCCGCTCATAACACAATGGCAAATTTAAATTTTTCTTCTCAAGATTTTGAGTATGTGACATGTCTATCAGTTCATTTATTAGGTTATCTATGGTAGAAATTTTAGCAAGGCAGATGAAGTAGCGTTATGTGAATTGAGCAAAACCGTTGTACGCCAAATTTTAACAAAATCCATTGCTACACTTTTTGCGCATCTTGGATATGAAAGTATGTGGTCCAAGGCACAAACAGTTGTACTATCTCATATTTAATATTTTAGCTTGTCAACAAAGTGCACTTTATGTGCTGATCGATGTATTGCAAGAGTTTTTCAAAAAGGTCTGTCAACATTTGAATACGGCAACAAAAGAAGCTCAGGATGCGTCAGAATTTCCAGTAATTACTTTTATTTCTTCTGCAGTATTTTTCTTTCATTACTGGGTTTTAGAGTATAATCGAGAAAGTGCTAATTGAAATTGGCATTGGTGGGGTCAAAGGTTTGAATGATTATTATCAGGCACGTGTTGTAAAATATGTAAATGTTCTCGAAGACAGATGCAAAGATTTAACTGAAGAGTACCAGACACTACTAATACCAAAGTCTCCATCACCTGTAGATAAATTTAGCAAGTACATACATATTATGCCCATTTTTTTTTTATTTTGTTTTGAGTTTTTTAGGGTGGTTAGAGTTAAGGTTGAAGAAGAAGACATAATTGAAGCGGAAAATACAGAGGTACACTTTTCTACAATAGATGGAGACGTCAATTTTTCAATTCTTGAAACAGGGTATCAGCTACTTAACAGTCTTGAAGCTGAAGCAAAGTAAAATATTTAGGGCAGAATTTAAATATATACTTATTACGATTTTTTCTTTTCAGCTTACATAGTATGACAGATGGCGTGGAAGATATTAGTGTAACTGCATCTCCAGGAATCGTACCAATGACAGCCGACGATTCATGCAATCTTTCGCCACATAACAAGAAAAAGAAACTTAAATAAAAATCGACATGTACCTGCAATGGTTTTTTACCTGTGTACCTACTAAATACAACAGTTAATTTGTGCGTACTCAGTTTGCAATTATTTTAAAAAAAAGCGTACGACGGAGACGTAATAAGTGATCAGCTATCTTATATATGTTGTGTAGGTAGAATATTACTTCCATGAAAGATCCCTAATGAAAAGTGTAATTTATTATATGTATTTGAGTGCCTTAAAAATTAATGAAAAGAGTGGCGACACTGACATGTCAGTCATTGCGTTTTTTTTTGTTTTTCTGTTGGCTGTGATTTTTTTTTTAATTTTGTCACACTGACAAATTTTGAACGTCTTGATTTACTTAATTTTGATTTTATTAATTAAGTAAATTCGAGGAAGCAATTTTTCCCTGTTCAAGAGTTTGTCATTTTTTTTTAAAGATTGATTTCGAAAAGAACATTTTGGCATTAGTCCCAGAGTTGAAGCTGAGGGCAGATGCAGTGCCGACAATTTATAGTGAACCAGAATTCACTTCAAAATTACCAGGTCCACTTTTGTCAAAAAACATCATGAACGGTTCATACTTTAATTTTGCTTCCATAAAATTAGTAATGCTATTCTATTTAAAAGTTTGCACCGTCGACGTTGGCAATACAATTTTACTGACACTGACAGACTGACAGATGTCGTGACGTCACGTTTTTAACGTTGACGTCACGATCGCATTTGTCATTCCGTGGTTGTCATTTTTGTGTAGAGGTTGATCCGTTGATGGTTCAAGTAAGAAACAATTTTGGATGCCACCGATAAAATATTATTATTGTTCGAATGATATGGAGGAAGAAAATGATCTGAGTGGTGATATAACGGTGGTCGATGTGTATGACATTGCATCGGACATCGGCAAAGAATGCGAAAAGATCATTGATCAATATGGGGCCGACGCTGTTACTTCTTTGATGCCCAAAGTTATCAACGCCTTGGAATTACTAGAGAACTTGGCAACACGGAATGAGCGCGAAAATACGCAATTGCACGAACTTCGTTCGAAAATTTCGCAGTTGGAGAATGACAAGCTGGAAAAGGCTGAATACAGACAAAAATTTGAAAGGGTAATGCTCCACAGTCCGCGTTAAGGTGCTAACAAAACTTTTCGTAGGAATTAGAGGCGATTGAGGAGCAGTGGCGTACAGAAACGAAGGAACTAGTTGCTGTTGTAACGCGATTGCAAGAAGAGAATCGAAGGTTGGCTAAAGACGTTAGCCCTAGTCATCTGCCTTCTACACCAGCTAACCAGACCGGTAATGGGGACATGTTACAAAAGTTAAAGGATAGCGTAGAAAAACAAAGGGATGAGATACGAATAAAAGATAAATTGCTTCAAGAAAAATGTAGTGATATTGAAGTTTTAAAGTCTCAAGTGGAACGTCTCAATTCTACTAGTAGAGAATTGAGGAGGAAGCATAAGCTGTTTCAGAGTCAAGTACGAACTTTGTGTGATGAGAGGGCTGATTTTCTTGTGCAATTACAAGACCAGCAGAGGGATATAATGGGACTGAGGCAGCGGTTAGGTTTGGCTCAAAAAGAAAATGAAGATCTTGTTAAGGTTAGTACTCTTATTTTGCTTCTTATATTTTAATGAATTTTAAAAATGCCAACATTCTGAAATTTTCTGTTTTCTTGATTAGTATTCTGGCACATTCCATATTGGGAATAAAGTATTTATTTATTTATAAATTTAATAATGGAATTAGAAGAATTACTGTTTGCTTTTGCAGAAATTGCCCGTGTAATTATTATTTTTTCAGAGTGATTTACCGCTACCTAGCAATAAAGCTGTGTATGATTTAGATGATCCAAATAGACCACGTTTTACAACACAAGAACTTAAAGATATTTTGCATGAAAGAAATGAACTAAAAGCTCGTGTCAGTGACTTAGAAGATGAACTGGAGACTTACAGACCAAAAAATAAATCAGAGACGTAGGTATATTTAATACTGAATTAAAACCTCTTTTCTATATTTTTGCGCGGTTTTCTGATATTGACTTAAAAAGTTGGTTGAAGGTTTTTTCGACAGAACTTCACTCGCCCCTGAAGTGGAACCCAACAAATCCGTTTTTTTGAAAAATTTTAATAAAAAATTGCGATTTTTGTTTTTTGATAACCTTTATAAAGTAAAAACCAGTGGCGTAAAAAACACTTCCGCAGCTTTTTTGACTTGAATCTTTCATTGTTCAATTTAAATTTTTTTGTTTCTTCAGTTTTTCGAGTTTTCAAGTTTAAATTTTTCAGCTTTTCAATTTTTCAACTTTTAAATCTTCTAATTTTTCAATTTTTCGATTCGAGTTTCTCGGGTTTTCAGTTTTTAATTATTAAGTTGTTTGGTTTGCAATTTTTCGTTTCGGTTTTTTATTTTCTTTATTTATTCAGTTATTCGATTTTTCAGTGTTTCGATTTTATAATTTTTTGTTTTTTCAATTTTTCGTTTCTTCAGTTTTTAAGATTTTGCAATTTTTCGATTTAAAATTTCTGGAGTTTTCAATTTTTAATTTTTCGATTCTGTAATTTGTTTTCATTTCTTCAAATTTTCAATTTGCTATTTTTCGTTTCGGTTTTTTATTTTCTTTATTTTTACAATTTTTCGATTTTTCAATGATTTTATAATTTTTGTGTTTTCAATTTAAATTTTTTCAATTTTTACTTTTATCAATTTTTCGGTTTGCAATTTTTCATTTTCTTTGCTTCTTCAATTTTACGACACACAACTCTTCGAATTTTCATTTTTAAAGTTCTCAGTTTTTCCATCCTCCAACTTTAGGATCTTTTATGTTTTGATTTGCAGTTTTTCGATTTTTCAACTTTTAGATCTTTGAAATTTTCATTTCTTCAATTTTTGTTTTGCGACTTTTCTAGTTTTCATTTTAAATATGTACCTAGTAATATTTATATATATTTTTTTCACTTTTTGAATTATTGGATTTTAAAACTTATTCATTTATTCGTTCAATTTTTCGATCTTTCATTGTTACAGTTTTTCGATTTTATAATTGTTTGGTTTTCTAATTTAAGCTTGTAGATTTTTAGTTTGTCAGTGTTTTAATTTTTAGTTTCTTTAGTTCTTGGATTTGCAATTTTTCGATTTTCTATTTTTTCGATTTTTTACTTTTTCGATTTTTTCTTTTCTTCAGTTTTTCAGTTTTTCAATTTGTTCCGCTTTTTTAGCGTTTCGTTTTTTACTTTTTAGTTTTTCGATTTTTCCAATTTTCGAATAAAAAAAGTGAAAAAAACTGCAAAATTGTACAATTGCAAAATCAAAAATGAAAACACTCAAAAGTGAAAACTTTGAAAAATCTAACAGTTGAAAATCAAGAACTTGAAAAATTGAAGAAACGGAAATAGATAAATCGAAAGATTAAAAATTGAGAAACTTAAAAATTGAATAAGTTCAAAATCGCAAAAACGAAATATGTATTGTAAAATTGATATATTGAAAATTAACGAAATCGGAAAATCGGATAACTGGAAATCCAAAAATTGCAAAATTGAAAAATTTGAATAAATGAAAAATTGTGATATAAAATGGAGAAAATGAAAATTAAAAAACCGGAAAACTGAAAAATAAAAAAAATATTTTGCGATTTTCGTTTTGTGATAGCCTCTATAACGTAAAAACCAACGGTATAAGTAACACCCGCTGCCGTGGAAGAGCAAATTCGTTCTTGGACTGTGCGCTCCTAAGTACAGTCAATGTAAAATATATTTAAAGCAGATAACTTAAGGGACAAAATGTCCTCTCAGCACTAATAATAAACTTAACTCAAGTGTTTATGTTTATACATCGAAACAATGCCTCCTCCAACAGGACTAAAATTATTAATTAAATCAGAATCGAACAAAATGTGCTGAATATTATAATTCCTATTTGTTCGTTCTTAAATAAAGACGTGTGTATTCCCACATTTTCGAGAAAATCGAGTGACTCGTTTTTAATGTGATCAAGAAAACATCAATCGTTGGTGGGGATGATTGGCTAAATTTTGGTTAACGTTTTACAATTTACATGATATTCCTAATATACATATTTTCAAAATTTGACGACAGTCGGTCCGGTAGTTTGGGAGATTACGTGTCTAATAAAAATGGATACAAACGACAGGCAGACAAACAGAAACGAGAGACCACTTTTTTCGTACTGTAGAAGAGGTCATGACATACCGAGAAAATATAAAAGTAGCAATTCACCCGATGGACTCGATTACTACACTTAGCTTACACTCGGGAAGTAAAAACTAGGTAATATGAGGTTTAATGAAAAATAATAATAATAAAAACTTGGTGGACAAACACGATATCTCCATTTTTTAGTGTTCCCGAAGAAAAGTTTTTGTTTTACTGATTGCAATTTGTTGTCGTTTTTTAATGCCTGAGCGTAAGCTGAAGAAGTATAGTAATCGCGTATATCGCGCGACTGGCTACTTTCAGGTTTCTCGAAGTTTCATGACCCCTAAATTACGAAAAAATGGGTCGCCGTTTCCATTTGTCTGTCGTCTATATATAGAGAATAGAGATTATCACAAAAAAGTAAAATCACAAAATCAAAAATCAAATTTATAGCAGGATTTGTTGGATTGTAGTTCAGGAGTTAGGGAAGTTCTATCGAAATAAGCTTCAGCCAATTTTTATTAATTATTAACACAGAAAATTTGTGCAAAACTTTAAATTTTGTGTAGCTTAACATCTAAATTTGGTGAAATATTTATGTACAAACTGTAGAATGTTTTTACGTCAACACTTTTATGGAAATAACTATGATGAGTGTTTAAAAATTTGTAGACCTGTTGAAGAAGATGCACCAGTTCAGGGACCTCTGCCATATGAACCCGACGACGCACCTTGGAAAAAGTGTTCAGAATCAGGAATCCGTAAATTGTAGGTACAACCTGTTCAGAGATTTGAATGAAATGAATTGTAATATTTTGTAGTTTTCGCAAAATATTTTCCGAAAGCGGTAGTGGGAGCAGTTTTCCTCGGCGTAGTTTGTCAACCCTCTCGAAGATGGCTCTTTCAGCTACTAACGAACAAGTTCCGGTTTAACGAGAGTTTCACGTTTGCGTTCCCAAAGTTTGAGATTGATCTATCTGGTAATTTGCATCATTCATTGTGATAGTTTTAGTCTGTTAATTATCTTGAAAGTTGACAAAGCTTGAATCTCAAGATATAAAGTTGTTAGCGTCGTCAAATTGTGTGGAGAACGGATTACTAGAATTGGCCATATTTATTTTTGCGATGAGTTAGGTTTTTAGGCAATTTTTAATGTTGTGGAAGGTTTGTTTCCTCAAAAGTACTCTCCAAATAAATGAACAATTTATCATTGTAGGATTATTGACTGAAAAAAAAAAATGTAGTATTGAGTTCATTACAATGAATGCTTCCATCTTTTGTAGTTGTAAATTTTACATCTTGTCACGAACTGTACAGAGATGATACACTTGTAGTTTAATTAGAAAGGACCAAGTATGTAATCATATCCATGGTAGTATATTGTTAACAAGAAATGTACGTCTGATATTAAAATGATAGGTTTATTTCGATATTTGTATAGACTCCAAAATAATAGTAAAAGTTTTTGAATATGAACAGACAAGTGTTGTTAACGGAATTCACTTTCAAAAACTTTATGTTATATTAAAATTCCTCTGCTATATTCGTGGTGGTAAACTCGAATATGTATTAATATTTATTTGTGGAGTGCAATTTTTGTTGGAGCAGATATTTTGATAACCTTTATTTGTATTGTAAAAGAACAGTGTTGATTTCTTAGACACTATTCTAACACATGTAGAGGTGCCAAATACACTTATTTAAAGAAAAAACTCACTCTTCCTGTTTAAAACTAAAACCATGAATAAAAAAAAAATGTCAAAGGTTATTTAGACAGAACTTCCTTCGTCCCTGAAGTACAGTCCAACAAATAATATTGGCAATTATATCGGTCGACATCTCCGGCCCAGAGAGACCCCTATTTTATCGGCAATTTTCTCTACGAGCAGTATTAACGCAGAAAATCGTCGCCCTTTTTTTCATGGAATTTTAAACTTTGAGTTGAATCCCAGAATTTTAGTGGGAAATTTGGAATCTAGTAACATTCCACTTAATTGTCCCTAGTACGTAACGTCACCATCAAAAACGACAACTGGAATAAATAAATGTGATTACCTAATTTTATTAAATCTTAGTGACAATGAAAACATTCCACGATTATATTTTTACTTTCCGAGCGTAACCTAAGGAAGTATTGTAATCGAGTCCATCAGACGAATTGCCGCTTTTATGTTTTCTCGATGTTTCATGATCCTTGTAGTACGAAAAAAGTATAGTTTTCCGTTTCCGTCTGTCTGGTGCCTGTATCCATTTTTATTAGACACGTAATTTCCAAAACTGCTGGACAGATTGTTGTCAAATTTTGTATCATGTAGATGGTTAAATGCTAACCAAAATTTAGCTAGTCATTCCCGCCAACAATTTGATGATGTCATCTCAGTGAACCGTATTTTAAAATGAGCTGAATGTTATACAAAAATATACTCCTGTACTTGTAGTGTACGAATCCGCTTTCAGTTTTTTCGCGAAACGTTCAACATTTGCAAGGTATAATAACGTTTTATTCCCGACACGGTTTCTACGTCTCGGTGGCGCACTTGGCCCTTTCCTTTTTTTTCTTGCATTGGTATAATGATGCTGTGACTATTTTCCTTTTGTGCTGTGACTAGTATTCTATTATCCATGTTGATGACGTCATCATAGATCTTTTATTGGTCAAAAATTAAGAACGAGTCACCCCATTTTCTTGAAAATATGAACAATACACACGTCTTTATATAATAATGATAAAATAAGACCTATAATCTTGATTATACTCAGCGAACGATTCCAAATTTGGGACTAGAAAACAAATTGAAAAATCAAAAGGTTTTCCGCGTACATAAGTTGCAAAGAGGATGCAGTATGACTCACTATTTCAGGTAGAGGTTAAAGGGTTATTTGTTGTTATCATCATAATTATTTGAAATAAAGTACCTGTGGCATAAGTATCGAGTCTGGCATTTATTTAATTTTGTAAAAAAGTTTTTTTCAAAATTAAAAATTGCACACCGCAATATCTGGTTGGTCAAACCGCCAAGTTATTCTGAAAACTAAAGATATTTGTGAACATTGGGTTAATTTTTGTGATAGGAAAGATACTACAAATGTTAAAAATGGTAAGTAATATTAATTTGAACAATAAATTACAACACATAAATAGTAGTATACGACACCACATAATAATATGTATTTTAGCTCTGTTAGCTATATGTATTATGATCTGTGCACTTTATTGCTTCGAACTTTATATCACAACACGTCACGTCGCGTCGCGTCGCGTCACGTCACGTCACGTCACGTCACGTCACGTCACGTCACGTCACGTCACGTCACGTCACGTCACGTCACGCATGTCACGTCATGTACGTTACGTTACGACAGGTCATGTTGTTTGACTTTTGACCTATAGACCTTTGGTCTTTTGAGGGTTGAATTTTTGACTTTTGTCGTTGACCTTTATTTGTCCCGCATGTCACGCCACGACAGGTCAAAAAATTCAGGGATGTAGATCTCGATTTCCTGATTCCAAAAATATAGAATGTATATGGTCCTGGAGCAAAATATTGGCTAGAATTGGTATGAAATGCGAATTTTTGGAAATTTCTAAAAGTTTCTATGCAAATTCAACGGTCAATTCTGGGAAAACGGTTGCAGTTATCGATGAAACGAAACCGGAAGTGTGTTCTGGAATTCGAAATGTACAAGAAAATGTATTTAGTTAAGTTTCGAAAATGTCAAAATTTGGCCGAAATTTGAAGAGAGGAAAAATTTCACAAAGTCGTTTAGAAATTCTGAAAAAATTCAGGGACGTAGATCTCGACGTGCTGATTCCAAAAATATAGCCTGTTGATGATTGCGGAGCGACATTTTCGAAAAAATCGGTACGAAATGCCAAATTGATCGAATTTTCAAAAATTTCGACATTTCAACCGTCGATTCTGGAAAAACGGTTGCAGCTATCAAAGAATCGAGGCCGCAAGTAAGTTCTAGAGCTCGAAATCTACAAGAAAATGTACTCAGTTAGGTTTCAAAAATGTCAAAATTTCGGCGAAATTTGAAGAAGGGGGGAACATTGGAAAATTTTCACTTTTAAAAAAGTCGTTTAAAAATTCCATGACCATTGGAAAATTTTCACTTTTGAAAAAGTCGTTTAAAAATTCTGAAAAAATTCAGGGACGTAGATCTCGACGTGCTGATTCCAAAAATATGGCCTGTTGATGGTGGCGGAGCGACATTTTAAAAAAAATCGGTACGAAATGCTTAATTTATCGAATTTTCAAAAATTTCGATATTTCAAACGTCGATTCTGGAAAAACGGTTGCAGCTATCAAAGAACGAGGCCGGAAGTGAGTTCTAGAGCTCGAAATCTACAAGAAAATGTACTCAGTTAGGTTTCGAAAATGTCAAAATTTCTGCGAAATTTGAAGAAGGGGGGACCATTGGAAAATTTTCACTTTTGAAAAAGTCGTTCAAAAATTCTGAAAAAATTCAGGGACGTAGATCTCGACGTGCTGATTCCAAAAATATAGCCTGTTGATGGTCGCGGAGCGACATTTTCGAAAGAATCGGTACGAAATGCCAAATTGATCGAATTTTCAAAAATTTCGATATTTCAACCGTCGATTCTGGAAAAACGGTTGTAGCTATCAAAGAATCGAGGCCGGAACTGAGTTCTAGAGTTCGAAATCAACAAGAAAATGTGCTCGGTTAGGTTTCGAAAATGTCAAAATTTCGGCGAAATTTGAAGAAGGGGGAACATTGGAAAATTTTCACTTTTAAAAAAGTCGTTTAAAAATTCAAAAAAAATTCAGGGACGTAGATCTCGACGTGCTGATTCCAAAAATATGGCCTGTTGATGATCGCGGACCGACATTTTTGAAAAAATTGGTACGAAATGCCAAATTGATCGAATTTTCAAAAATTTCGATATTTCAACCGTCGATTCTGGAAAAACGGTTGGCAGCTATCAAAGAATCGAGGCCGGAAGTGAGTTCTAGAGCTCGAAATCTACAAGAAAATGTACTCAGTTAGGTTTCGAAAATGTCAAAATTTGGCCGAAATTTGAAGAAGGGGAGACCATTGGAAAATTTTCACTTTTGAAAAAGTCGTTTAAAAATTCTGAAAAAATTCAGGGACGTAGATCTCGACGTGCTGATTCCAAAAATATAGCCTGTTGATGGTCGCGGAGCGACATTTTCGAAAGAATCGGTACAAAATGCCTAATTTATAGAAATTTCAAAAATTTCGAAATTTCAACCGTCGATTCTGGAAAAACGGTTGCAGCTATCAAAGAATCGGGGCCGGAAGTGAGTTCTAGAGTTCGAAATCTACAAGAAAATGTGCTCAGTTAGGTTTCGAAAATGTCAAAATTTTTTGCGAAATTTGAAGAAGGGGGGACCATTGGAAAATTTTCTCTTTTAAAAAAGTCGTTTAAAAATTCAAAAAAAATTCAGGGACGTAGATCTCGACGTGCTGATTCCAAAAATATGGCCTGTTGATGGTGGCGGAGCGACATTTAAAAAAAAATCGGTACGAAATGCTTAATTTATCGAATTTTCAAAAATTTCGATATTTCAACCGTCGATTCTGGAAAAACGGTTGCAGCTATCAAAGAATCGAGGCCGGAACTGAGTTCTAGAGTTCGAAATCAAGAAGAAAATGTGCTCGGTTAGGTTTCGAAAATGTCAAAATTTCGGCGAAATTTGAAGAAGGGGGGACCATTGGAAAATTTTCACTTTTGAAAAAGTCGTTTAAAAATTCTGAAAAAATTCAGGGACGTAGATCTCGACGTGCTGATTCCAAAAATATAGGCTGTTGATGGTCGCGGAGCGACATTTTCGAAAAATCGGTACGAAATGCCTAATTTATCGAATTTTCAAAAATTTCGATATTTCAACCGTCGATTCTGGAAAAACGGTTGCAGCTATCAAAGAATCGAGGCCGGAAGTGAGTTCTAGAGCTCGAAATCTACAAGAAAATGTACTCAGTTAGGTTTCGAAAATGTCAAAATTTGGCCGAAATTTGAAGAAGGGGGGACCATTGGAAAATTTTCACTTTTGAAAAAGTCGTTTAAAAATTCCGAAAAAATTCAGGGACGTAGATCTCGACGTGCTGATTCCAAAAATATGGCCTGTTGATGGTGGCGGAGCGACATTTAAAAAAAAATCGGTACGAAATGCTTAATTTATCGAATTTTCAAAAATTTCGATATTTCAAACGTCGATTCTGGAAAAACGGTTGCAGCTATCAAAGAACGAGGCCGGAAGTGAGTTCTAGAGCTCGAAATCTACAAGAAAATGTACTCAGTTAGGTTTCGAAAATGTCAAAATTTCTGCGAAATTTGAAGAAGGGGGGACCATTGGAAAATTTTCACTTTTGAAAAAGTCGTTCAAAAATTCTGAAAAAATTCAGGGACGTAGATCTCGACGTGCTGATTCCAAAAATATAGCCTGTTGATGATCGCGGAGCGACATTTTCGAAAAAATCGGTACGAAATGCCAAATTGATCGAATTTTCAAAAATTTCGACATTTCAACCGTCGATTCTGGAAAAACGGTTGCAGCTATCAAAGAATCGAGGCCGGAAGTAAGTTCTAGAGCTCGAAATCTACAAGAAAATGTACTCAGTTAGGTTTCGAAAATGTCAAAATTTCGGCGAAATTTGAAGAAGGGGGGAACATTGGAAAATTTTCACTTTTAAAAAAGTCGTTTAAAAATTCCATGACCATTGGAAAATTTTCACTTTTGAAA